ATGACTAGAGTCCCGTCCGTCATGGTACTATCTAGTCCTTCATCACATTCTATGAAAATGTCTCACAGGATGAGTCCACTCCGGTTCGCAGGCTTCTGTACGATCTGCTCAGGTTCCAAAAGCACGGCAGTGGTCTCAGCAACACAGGATGTCACCCTTTCAGGCAGCGGGAAGACTCGAGCTGAGAGACGATACCGTCGCTGCCAATCCCCTTTCAAGGTGTTAATGTAACACTGGGTTTCCCTCATGACGGCCCATTTCTTCGTTCCCGTCCTCTCAGCTACTTTTTTCTCCTCTCCATTTACACGCAGACTTCCTGACGTTCGGGAGGGCCAGTGGGTTCGGTCGGTGAGGCTGCTGCAGTGCAGAGCTGGGGGGCTGTCCCCCCCCCAGCCAGTGCAGAGCACTGTGGACCCCGATTCTGCCAGACAGGGTGAAGGGCCTCCAGCCCCGGCACTTGCAGCCCTGGTCCTGGCACCGCTGCACCACGTAGGGCAAAGAAAAAGAAGCTGAGGCAACAAGTGAATGACGAAGTATGCCAGAGAGACGCTCACAGAGCTGAGCAAATCTGTCCCATGCCACTCGAAACAAGCCAAAGGACACTAAGTAACAGAAAATGACAATTTAAAGCAGAATTTGACAACTCAGAAGTGTGACAGGACTCAGGCAGGCATTAGAAACTTTAAAAATAAGTTGAGGAATGAATAAAAAACATGGGGTGAAGAAACATGATACCTAATTGCCTTGAAAGGAAATAGAATTTGACAGGAAGGAAAATTTTAAATCAAAAATGAGAAAAGTTCTCCTTCTTGTCCAAGAGGGAGGAACAGTATCTGGGCTTGTCCTCCTGGACTAGGCGTCTAGAAAAGCACAACAAAACACACACACGACTCTTTAGCCCCAGCCTGGCAGGGACCGCAGGCAGGATGGCCTCCCGAGAAACACGGTGAGTCTGGACTCATCCCCAGCTTTCCCTCCAGAGGCTGTTTCCAGACTGCTGTGGAGGAGCAGGGGAGGAGGCCAGCCTCCAAGAGGCTGGTGGTCGTGGCGACCTGAGACGGAGCGCAGGGAGGCCAGAGCGGCCGAAGGTGCAGCACAGAATGTAGGAGAGGAGGAAGCTACACAGGGAAAGTGCCCAGAAATCTGCACAGGGTCTCTGCGGAGTCCGGCCACATGCCTGTCTGTCCACAGGTGCAGCGTGACTCCACCAGACCCTGCCGAGAACAAGTTCAAGGGAAGAGCAAGTCCTGGGGAAGGAGATCACACGGGGCTGGGAATGCTTTAGCAACAGCCCGGTGGGGACACCTCAGGGAACATCCAGGACATCCAGTATGTTCCCCAAAGAGCCATCCCCCAGTGCTGGGGCTGAATTAGACTCATCTGGGGCTCCTGGGTGGCTCAGTCGGTTAAGCATCTGACTTTTGGTTTCGGCTCAGTTCATGATCTCAGGGTCGTGAGATTGATCCCCGCATCAGGCTCTGCACTCAGCAGGGAGTCTGCTGGAGATTCTCTCGCTCTCCCCCTGCCCCTCCCCTCATGTGTGCTCCCACGCCCTCTAAAATAAATAAAATCTTTTAATAAATTAAGCTCATCCTAAAAATGTGTGAAGAACAAGCTTTGAAAGGAGGAAACCAATTCCCAGCGGCCGGCAGAATAAAGTCTAACACCCTTTAAAGGAATGCAACACAATCCACCACTCAACAACATAAAAGCACTAATTCTGGAATCCAAGAAAAATTAACCAGACATAGAAAAGGCAGGAAAATGTGACCCGTCGCCAGGAGTAAAGATCCATCAGTAAGATGGGCCCAGAAATAAAAGAGAGAGAATTAGCAGTGATACCAAAAGCACCTATCACCCCTGGGCTCGATGTGCTAAAACTTCGAAAGGACAATCTTAGTAGGAGGAATGCAGCTGTGAAATCCCGCGACTGTCAAGGTCACACAAGGTGAACCTGAGTTACTGTCACACACCACAGACTAAGGAAACATGATGACCAAAGGCCATGTGGTGTCCCCGACTGGACCCTGGAACAGAAAAAGGAGCGACTCATCTTCCTCAGGCACGCGGCACACAGCCCTTGTGCTTGGCCAGGAGGCCACGGCATGGCTCCTGGATACCTGGGTGCAGGCACTGGCAGCTCCGCTGGACGCCGCCAAAGGCGTCTCTTGGGAGCCCTGGTCTCCTGAAGTGGTAGCATGTCGCTGGAAGGAAACATGGTCTCTTCCTCTTACACCAGGAGAGAGAGGGAGCACCTCTTGGGTCGGAGCTGCCACTGGCACGTGTGACACCAGGCCACAGGGAGTCTGGCTGCCTGCTCTACGGAGCTGCCAGGACTCGGGGACTCTCGGTGCCACGGGACACCCGTGCCCGTGCAGATGGGTCGCCTCCACATCCGTGACCTTGCGCTTCTCTTTTCCTGGTGTTCGCTGGCAGCCGCCAGCCTGGCTTTCGGACATTTGAGAAGTTGAGCTCAGGCTGGTGCTGGGCTGCTCTCACCAGAGCCCGAGGGTCACCGTGGAGCTGGGGTTTCCTGGAAGAGAAGATCTTTCAAGAGCTATATTTCAGATGGAGAACACATCCCTTTTTAAAGTTTAACAAACGGGGCGGAGTGCTTTTAGGGAGAAGATTAGAGCAGAGAGATGGGAGGAAAACCAGGAGAGGGTGGAGGGCCACAAAACAAGGGTTAGGGTTTCGGAGAGACCATGGTCAACAGTGTCCCCCAGGACAAGAAACTACTGGCCCGAAACACACCTGCTGCCTTTGGTAGCACGTGACCAGACGAAGGGTGTCTGCCTGGTGACCAGAGGGAGGACGGTGCAGCGCCAGGTGACGGTGTTAACGAGGGAGGACAGGAGGGGCCAGGGTAGGGACGCAGAGGAAGAGCCGAGGTCTTTCTGCCAAACAGATGGACTGTGTGCGCTTCTGCCCGCCCGGGGCGCCGCTGGCTCTCCCTGGACCAGCGCAGGGCCTTGGCCTCCATGCGTCAGCTCAGCTCCCGTGCTCGGTCCCCCCATGGCACAGAACACGAGTTCACCCTCGGCGTGGTCAGGGTCACGGTGCTGCCTCCAGCGGCCCCCGCTGCACCTGCCCACCTGGACCTCACGACTCGGCCCTGCCACCCCGTGTCCTCGGCTTCCCACACTCAGCCTCTCAAACCACCACCCTCCCCACCCTGGCTCCGGTACAAGCTCCTGCCTTGTACCTCCCTTGCGGTCCCCTTCATTCCTCAGGGAGGCCCCTCCCCACGCCCGGCCCAACGCACCAGGATTTCCATCTTAAAAATGGCCCGTTTCGGTCTCCCCAGTGCAAGCTCAGTGATGCCGTCTCCTCTGTGATGTCCCAGGGCTTTTCAGGCTTTTCATAAATGTGGCGAGCGCAGGGTCCACGAATACGGCCACCGTGGCAGCTGACCAGCCCCGTCCACCGCCGGAGGGACACGGCCTTGCTCCGGCTCCCTGGGGCGCACCGCAAGGGCACTCTTCCGAGGGTGGAGGCACCAGGCGGCCCCCACGGGGCTTTGCGGTTTCCTCCTGGAGATCCGTCACCCTCGCACTGCCTCTCCTGCGCCCCCTGCCCCGGGGACCTGCGTTCACATCTGGAGATCCGCCGGCCACAGGGCCCTTCTCTGCTTTTCCCGGCCCTGACCCAGGATGAGGAGCGGGACCCCACTCGAGCCGAGAGCGGAGCTCGGGTTCTGCGAGGATTCGGAGTTGTTTCCTGCCTCACGGGTCTGATCGTGAGAGACCCACTAGGCCAGGGGGAAAAGGCTGAACAGGTAAGGGCTTCGCAACCCGGTGCAGACCGGCACCACCCCAGCCCTGACCAAAGTGGCGATTTTGCAAATGGGAGATGCTTCAGAATATTTTTTAAACCTTTTTGTCAGAGAAGTGCTTTGAGAATTTCTATAAAACCATGCAGCAGAAAAGCTTATTTTAGGGTGTTCATGAAGCACAAGCTAAAAGCTGGTTTTAGAAATTGTGAGGGGGATTCTGAGCTATTTTAATTCTTAGTAATCCCCTTCAATGTCAAATACATTCAGTACGATAGAAATCGAATCTCTGTCACAGAATCAATCTGAAAAAGGCTGCCTCAAAAAACCCCAGAAGACTAAATTTAACAATTAAACAAAAAGAGACTTTAAACAAGGGAACAGGCCATCTTGGTAAACACCCCTCAGGAGAAACCAAAGTTCCTGTCTCTGTTCAGCTGCAGGGAACACAGTCTCTCCGTTTGTAAGGACCTACGAACTTCCATGTAAACTGGTTACCTGGAAAGAAAGAGAACCGAGCTGATCACATCGCACGTCGGGAGCTGAGGGCTGAGCCCGCGGGCCAGCCCACGGCCAGCACCCAGCTGCGCCAGGGCGCCAGCCAGAAGGCGGGCAGGCGAACACACACTCAGGCGCTTGTATAGATGTAAAATATTTTATTTGTAAATGGTGATCTTCTAAATCTGTGTCCACAAATTCCAAAACCCATAACACTCTGTATACTTCAAAAAATTCAATTTTTGCCAACATTAGGTACTATTATACAGAACAGAAAACAAAAACCCGGTAGGACAAATACTGGTAGGATGTCAGAATATTGTACAAGAGAAGAAAAATATTCAAGAAACAAATTTCATACAGCTATTTATCAAGAGAAAAATATATACAATTGATTTATTCTGTAAGATAAAAATACATCATGCCATATACATTACAAGTTCAGAACTGCGTCACTGATATACCAACAGTTTACAGCCCACTTGAATTGTGCACACAAAAACTTCATTTATACTTAGCCTGTGAAGTGTCAGTACCAGAATTTTAAGTACAAAATAAAAAGCTAACCTGGTTCAAAATGCTGATTAAGTTTCTACAAGCAAACACAAAACAGTGTTTTTCTTTTTTATTAAAGAAATGTAAACAAACAGTTCATACAAACACATTTTAAAATTACATCTTCCGAAACCCTACTGTCGGGGTCCTGCAGCTGCAAGCGTGACCACAACTCTTTTTTTTTTTTTCCTTTTCAAATTTTTGTGTTAAATAGAAGGCTAGAGTTAGGCTGGAGTCCTGCTACACAATCTAGTATGTTTACATGATTCTCTGTGGCTTGAAACAAAGTTCTAATCAAAACTACATCCGCTGAAGAAAAGTTCAGCCTCCATTTGGGTGTATTTTTAAGCATTATTCACAGTTATCACAAATTGTAAGCACAAAAAAACCTGACTGAAGAAGTAGGGATGCAACAATATAATATGAAAAAGTTAGTTTAAATTACCAAAACAGCTATAAAAGTCGTAGTCTTAGCCTACACTCCGTTCTATCAGAAGGTGTATAAAACAAGTACTAATAGACCGTAGTTTCCAAAAAACCCCAAATGCTCTAGGTTGAAATTTTGGTTATTACATAATTATAATGGCATATTTAATAACACAAAATTATATTGTGACATCCCTATGAACATTTTATAAGCACCCGAGCTGCTGCAGAGCCTGGTAGCATTTGGTCAATACTATTTTTATACTGTATTTTTTTCTCAAAATATTTACATATTTGTACAAAGTAACAGGGTCTGTTAGTTCTGCAGGTAACAGCAGCAGCTTGGCTTTCTTCTAACTTTTATTTAAAAATAGCTTCATTCACTTATTCAATAATAAATACAAAAAGTTGCTCTTATTTTACAGAAATCAAAAACTACAATAAACTGACTCATGGAATCAAGTATTTAAATGTATTTTAGTGCAAGTTATTACCCCTTAGCTCTATCCCTAAGGAAGTCATTTCAGTACATTCCTTGTTCAGTGGTGTCTACTTTATTTTAAAAAATCTTTAAGTTAGAGGGCCTGCCCCTGTTTCAGATAAGGCCGTGGCCAGCACTTTGGACGTCCGTCCCCCTTTCGCTGGTGATCTCAGTCTGTACATTCATAGGAAGGCCCCCACCCCGGGGCAGGGCGGCGAGCGGCTCTTCGCCCCCAAGGGTCTCCTCAGCGAGACGCAAAAACACAAAACAAAACAAAACCCACCCACAGAAAGAAGGAGGAAAGAAAGAAGAAGAAAACAAAAGTGCTGGACTGCTCTGTGGTCCTGGCGCCGCTCCGGCCCGAAGGACTGAGGAGGGAATCAGAACTCCCAGAAGCGAGTTTTCAGAAAGTCATAAACAGAAAACAAAAATCTCTTTCTGTCTGCAAAATTCAAATGGTGTGTCGAATCGCTTCTTCCTAGGGACAAGCCGCCCGCCGAGACCGCAAGGAATGCATTCAGTTCATCCACTTCCGGCAGTTCACGGCCCCGCAGTGACACGGAATCTTGTGCTGGTCATCTTCAAAGTCAAACTTATAGTCATAGCAAAGCTGCCCACGGCAAAGACACAGTGTGAGAGAGGCCGGGGGGGGGGGGGTCCTGCCTCTATCTGCCTGATCCACAAACCCAGAAGCACAGCCGACCTAGCAAAGCACCCGAGCTGCGGCGTCCCCGTGGGCCTTGGACAGAAGCCCACCTGGGGTCCCCACGGGGCAGAGACAGTGGCCGGCAATGTTTTCAGGCCGCACCACATCTGAGGAAGGGGAGGCCGGCTGGGGAGAGCTGTGTTCCCACACCTCCTCGCAGCTCACCCCCACCCCCAGGCCTTCCTCCTCCCTATCTGGGGGAGGGACCAACCACCCCCTGCCAGCTGACAGCTTCTCTTCTTCTTTCCTCACTTAAAAGAATGTTTAAAAAAGATCTACTTAGGGTCATCAAGTTACTCTGCACATCGCAGACCAGCCCTGCTGCCCTGGAGCCCAAGCCCCCTGACCCCCCCCCCCCCCCCCCCCTGCCAGAAGAAGGGGAGGCCCAGTACTCTCCGAGGGTCTTCTGTCGCAAACGTCCTGAGGGGCTGTTTGGAAAGACTTCCTTTCTATAGTGAAAGGGAAGACACCAACATTTACTGGGTAGCTTATCTCAGTAACAAAACCACTTAGTACCTTTTGTTAGGTACTCGCGGAGTTCTTCAGGGAGACTTTCGCCATTTCATATAAATGAAGCAGAGACTCAGAGAAGTTAAGCGACCTACTCAAAGAATACTCAGGCAGGAAGGGGAAGGAAGGACCCGGAGCTCGGGGGGTCTCCATCTGTCCCAACGCCCCTGGTGGTTGCTGGCACCACGCTGGGTTCTCACATACTTTGATTTACTCATCGAGATACTTCGAGATGCGCCATGGGTATTGGGTAAATTCTTGATTCAAAAAAGGGAATTCCAAAAAGACGACCAAAAAATACAAGAAATCATCGCCTAGCTCTGATCCAAAGGACTGGGGGGTTCCAACATAGATATTCCCCCTCATCCCCTGCCCCAGGAGAGGCTCTCACAGAAACCCACATTGCTCAGCGGCACCACCTAGAGCACCTTGAAATGTGTGCTAATCGCCTTTGTGGAAGACAAATTTGGGAAACATAAGTGGTCTAGACTAGTAATAACTTTAACAGGTGAAAGTCACCTGTGAGACCAGAGAAACAAATGTCAAGTTCACCATCCAGCATTTTGTAACGAAAGAGCCAAATTGAAAATCTGTTGAGAAAAACCTGTAAGCTTGTACTGATGCTAAGTGTGAATACAGGCGATCTGGACCCACATGCTGCCCGCAAATTGGCCACCTGCAGCCTTCCAGTGGCCTCGCATGAGCATCATGTTCCTGGAGACCACGGAGGCCACAATCCCATCAGTGGGATGAAAGGTAGAATATCTTTAAAGAGAGGAATCCTGTCGATCTGTGACCCAGGGGGTCAGGCAGGAGCCCAAAGAAATGGGGAAGTGTTGCCACATGGGTGCTACGGGACTGTGTGGAGTTTGGGAAGCACAGAGTGAGGGAATTGTGGGGAGCTGGTAGTCCACACTTGCCATGCGGCCACGAGGAGGAAGGCGGCACGTGGATGTCCCGGGTGAAGTGCTGGGGTGGCACCCTCTGACCCACCACAAGGAGAGATTTCTAGCACTACAGCACTGGACGACCCCCGGGCCAGCCGACCACATCAAGCAGCAAGCCGCCACGCAGGGGGTATGAGCGGAGCAGACGGGGTCCCACGCTCTTACCTCTTCTCCTTTCTGGATTCTCCGGTTGGAGCTAATGATAATTTTGTGTCCTCTCTCAAAAGTCACCACTTCAGCCACACAATTAGGCGCACACGAATGGTTGATATATCTGCAAGCCACCGTGTCAGAAACTACTGATTATAAAACAGCTGGAAGAAGCTTTACAAACATTCAGTTTGTAGGGAAAACTTTTTGCTGATTACATTTCTACGTGCCCATTCATAGAACAAGAACAAACACAATTTTAAATGAAAATTCTTTTCAAAACTTATCTGCCCTGAATTTTTAATCATGGAGGCTGTCGTGGGCACATGGACCCACTGGGCAGAACTTCCTTGACCAGATTCCCGTTGCCTCACCTGGCAGGCCCTCCTGTGAGTGTCGCATCGATCACATGGTCATTATCCATGCGGAACATGTACACACCACGGTTCTGAAAGAGAAAAGTCAGAAACTCCTCCACGTGCACGTTCAGAGCAGGAAGACTCAGCTGCAAGTGAATGGAAACAGCCCGATCGCACTCACTGTGGGTGTCACACAACCACATCAGGGGACATGTATGTCCGTGGTGGGAATGGAAATCAATGGATCGGGAGGTTGCTCGCAATGCGAGGCTCATTAATCTACAGCTGTATCTATGTGAACGACAACCCCAACTAGATAGGGTTAGACTGACAGAAAAAACAAGGAAAACACAAGAATATCCAGATGTTAAATAAAAATCTTAAAAAAAAAGGAGGGGGGTGCCTGGGTGCCTCAGTCGGTTAAGTGTCTGTGTTTGGCTCAGGTCATGATCCCAGGGTCCTGGGACTGAGTCCTACGCCAGGCTCATTGCTTAGTAGGGAGCATGCTTCTCCCTCTGCCCCTCACCCTGCTCGTGCTCTCTCTCGTGCATGTGCACGCTCTCTCTCAAATTTTAAAAAATATCCAGATGTGGCTTCTGTTCAAAACTGAACCTCACAGGACAGTGCAACTTGGCCCTGTTTCCAGCTTTTCGATGGCACAGGGACAGAGGAGGACTGGCTCTTACCTGAGACTCATACAGCTTCTCTTTTCTGTTTGCAACTTCATTTCGAATGATCGTGCCGATGTACTCGATGACCATGGTGTGCTTCTCGATGTCCCTAGCAGCATATAGGCCCAGCCCCTGTGAAAAAAAGAAATAAAAAATGGGGGGAAAAAAGTGTGTATGTACTTCAAAAATCACTGTGATTTCTTGGACAACAAACCTGATTCCCTTTCATACAAAGGCCACATCAAAAGCCACACTGAAGATTTCACCTGAACTCGGTCTTTTTTTTTGAATATACTATCACCTGAAACAATCTTACCACTTAAAGTCATGCCATTACTATCTTGCTTTGTGTCTTTCTTTTACTAAATTCTGAAGGCAAATTTACAAAGCCATACCACTGACTGACCACCACATTCTGCCAGGCCATCTTCTCTTCCATTCATGCCAAGATTCCACCAACTAAACAGGCTAATAGCTTCTGGTGTTTATCCCATTACTGTTTCTAAAAGAATATGACAGGACAATAAACTTAATCGATAAGAAATAGGGCTAATCACAAGGGATTGTGAATACTATAGTCAGGTTTCGGATTTGGTTAGGAGTTCCTGGAAGCCAGAGCAAAAGGAGAAGCACAAGTTACTCTGCTCTAATTACCAGGAAAGGTGGAAAGAAATAAAGTTCTTCGGAAAGGCAACTTTCTCCTGTAATCTGAAGTTCAGAGGCCGGAGAGAAATGTACGGGAATCTGACCTGGTGAGAAATACTGCTGCAAGTTCTCTCGTTTGGCAGCTCGTACTCTCTATGCTAGTGGCCTAATAAATCACATACTATGTACTTTTTAAAGTTTTTAGCATTACGAATTCTGGAAAAATAACATACTGAAAAAAATATGGATAATTTCCATGAATATGTGATATTTTCTTGTCCCAATGTGAGTTTCTACCTTCTCAACTCCAGCTGGCTGCCAGAAGACCACAGTAACCAAGTAGGGAAGAGCGTGTGCTAAATGGGGAGTCTGCCAGGTGCAGCTGCATCAAGCCCCACCGTAGGGCATACGGTACCAGAGGCCCATCTCAGAGACTTTGGTGTGTGAACTGAATTATCTTCTGGGAAAAAACATTTTATGCAATTTATCTGTTCAATTCCAGATATAACTGAGGTGAACGAACCAGAATACACAAAACAGTGGTATGTGTAGAGATCAATATAGTTTGGTATAAGAACAGAGAACATCAGTGAAAAAGAACAGAGAATCCAAGTAGATCCGTGCGTGTGTGAGAATCTAATGCATTAATAGTTACAGTAGTCGGGGGTGTCACAGTTCAGTGCAACATGGAAGGGTTAGTTACTAAATGGTGCTTTTCAACTATTCAATGGAAGAAAATAGTCTTAATTAACACTTAAAATTTCTGAAATCAAGAAATCCAAGAGACTACATATACAATAAAATCTACTGTCTTAACCTAGAAACTACAGAAAATTATGTACATTTAACTATGCAAAAACTAAAACTTTTATAAGAAAAAAGATACCATACTTCCTAGTAGGCACAGGGTGTTTGGTTAGAGGAGTACATCTATTAGCACAAGTTCTTACAAATTAGAAAAGGGGCAAAGGATGAATATGTGATTCACAGAAGAGCAAACCCAAATGGCAAGCATGAAACGTTGCTCACTGGTCAGCGGTTAGAAACTGCAGTGAAGGAAGCAGGATCCGGCTGGCGGAAGTGTAAAAGGGCAGTAGCGCGACAAATGGGGAAAGGAGAGGGGGTCCCCCCAACGCAGGAAGAAACGTGCAATGACAGCCTTTCCGGAAAACCAACAAGCTCTAAGATGGAAAGTACACGCGTACTTCTACACAGCAGTCTCACTGGTGGGAAGAGTCTCCAACGGAGTGACTGTATCAATACGTAGGGATATTTGTACAAGGTAACTGATGGCAATGCTATTTTGGGAAAAACTGTAAACAAAATAAATGTTCACCAGTTGTGGAACGGTTTACTTAATTACAGTTCATCGACATCAGGGAACGTCACACAGCCAATGAGGAGAATGAAAGAATGAAACAGAGCCGCCTCAGCTGCTCTAGAGGATTCTCTGAGGGTAAGCGAGAAGGGAGGACTGCAGAACAGTGTATGGGAACAACTCCACTGGAACATTCATGCACAGACGTGCCTGCACGGTCAGGACAGTGGCACGGAACACACCGAACACGGGGGTCAAGAACTCACTGAAATGACAGCGAATAAAAGCGACAAAGAAATAGGAATGGTAACAAGTGAACGAGCTACTTGGGAACGTTTAAAATGGAAAAGTAACTGATGGAGCAGATGAGAAAGACACACCACCAGAAGCAGACCACTGGATCCCCCAGGAGCTGGAGAGGCTCCATTCTTGATGCAACAGCAGAAAGAAAAGAAAGATATCGTATTTGTAATTTAAACACACAGTATCAGATAAAAAGATCGAAAGCAGAAAGAGCTCTTAGTTTTATTTTTTTTCTAAACACAAAAGAAAGATCAGCAGATAAAGTAGAAACCACAGAACAAGGACAAGGGAACCACAACCAGAAGGGGGACAGAAGGAGGGCCACGGAGACGGAAGTTCCCGTCTGTGTTTGCAAGGTCATCTGGGGGCCCCACCACAGGGGCCAGACTGAAAGGCACACTTAGCAGGTCCCAGCTGACGCTGCTGCTAGTCTGGGGTCCACCCTGTGAGAGCCCAGATCTCATGGGTCCGAATTTGTCTATAGGTTCAAACAGAAAGAAATAGAGGTAGGAACTTGCAAAAGAATTAATACACTTCTCGGACTGAAGGCCACAATGCTCCAGGTCAAAAAGGGTCATCAAATAAGGAAAGCAATAAAAAAGAAAATGACCCAAACCTAGGCACATTTTTTGTAAAATGTCCAAACATCAAGACTAACAAGAAGATCCTACAATTTTCTCAAGAAGAGAAAAAAGGTTCCAACAAAGGAACAAGAATCCGAATTGAGTATAGACAATGGAATACAGATCGGATTTATATTTTGAAGGAATCCCAGTGGGTGTGAGCAGGACTGGATGAGAGGAGGCAGGCAGTCAGGCCCACCAGCCATGCACACAGATGCTATGGCAGGTAAAAACTGTGGCAGAGCCAGAGCGTGGACTGAGAGAGCTCTTCTGAGGGAGAAGGGCAACAGAGCACTTGAGGATGCTCTGGATCTGGGCATATGGGGCCAAGGTACACAACTCATGGACGGGGACAACACTTGGGATAATCAGGCTTAGGGACTGAGATGTTTGGCAAAGTGAGCTTTATACTTCCATCCTGGGACATCCAAGGGGAGATGAATAGGCACTGGGTTCTTTCTTTAGGTCAGCAGTTCAGCAAGTATGGACTATGGATATAAATTTACATGCTTAGCCTGCAGATGTTCTATAAATGGTGTTTCACAATCTATGCTCCAGAAAATATAGTGCTCTCATGAAGAGATGGCTTCCAAAAGAGAACTCCCCCTGTTGGAGCACCTTTTGAAAATATTTTCATTTGTATTTCTCACAAGAATTTGAAATAGCTCTAGTGAACGCTCCACAAACCCAGTGAGTGCAAAATACAGCGCTACATGCTTCCCATGAGTGCTCATCGAGATGCAGAGAAGTAGATTCCAGAGGTCTTCCCACTGGGGGAAGAAAAGCATCCATGCTCAAAGAGACGTATTCAGTCACTGCTGTTACAAACTAACAAGATGTGACGGTATTTTAAAAACATGATTCTAATCCTGCAGCCGTGTGAAATCCTTCTTCACATATGGATGTATCCTCTGACCGCCAGACCCCGTCCTGTCCCAGGGACAGACTATTTCCTTACCTGGATACGAGACCGGGCCAGATAGACGTTGGATTTCCACTCGGTCTTCATCTTCCGGTACTGCGAGGACTTGGAGTGGACAAACTGCTTACTGTAGGGCGCGTTCAGCTCCCCCGTGACCGTGCTCTGGAAGGACTTGGAAGTGCTGGTGCTGTTCAAGGTGTGAGGCCTGCACACAATGGCATGTCAACAGGAAAGAATAAAAGGAAAACTGAAGATATCTCCGAATAATGCCCCAAGCCATGTTGATTCAAATTCTTACTGACAAGAACATACATGGAAAGCCGCCTAGCAGAGCCACACCGCGAGTTCTCTGATGCGGTCGGCACAGACACAGCCAGAGACAGCAGGGTTTGTAAGCAGCAGACAAATCAAGCACAAAAACCACTAATACGCCTAGAAACCCTGGGCTGTACTATGTGAAGTTAAAACAAAATACCTTAACACAAACCTCTTGACATGGGCACTCATTTTAGGTTCGGAACGGGCACAGCCTGTGGGGTTAACGGCAAGAGGGAGCTCCATGAGAGGATTGCGGCCATACCGAAAGGTGTAGTTCTCACACGCCTCAACCCCAGGGAGCTGAAAAGGAGCGAAGCAGACACAAGGTTAATTTATTTGACCATGACTGCAGACAATCCCGAGCTGGCCCAAGGGATGGCCCAACTTGAACTTTTGTGGAAATAACTTGTCAACATATTCCCTGGGGACAAAATGGTCTTTTAACTTGTGTTAACATAATCAGCCTGCACTCAGATCTATTTCAATATTAATATACAGGTTTCAGTTTCAAAGTGGAACTTCATAAACTCTGGCAAATGCTCCTTGAAGAAAAATATTAACCCAAAGAACCACCACAGGCCAACCAACGTACATGCCTGTGTGACTTTAGATCTGATTATCCCTACCCAGTGTGTACTGACTTGCAACTTCGTTCTTTCAACTTTTATATATTTGGAATTTAAAAATTAAATATAGTTGAAAATCATAGTTAAAAATCATTTATATGGTTTAACATCTTAATTTCTCACTTCTTCCAATCTGACTACGATGAGGTTATCACACTCAATGCCCCGAGAGTGCAGGTGGTTAAGGTTTACTTGTAAAATAATTTTATGTTAAAGGCCTTTTCTAGAATACACTTCTTGTGAACATATTTCTCTATAGACATAAAAGATTTGTATCATTTAGGCAGAGCTCTACCAAAGAAAGCAAGTAGACCTAGAACTCAGCGGCTTTTCGGGTGTCCTCTGCTTCTCCATAAAAAGAGAAACAAAACAAACCCCACCAACCATCGATTATTTTTTCTTGTTCAAAATAATGCCTTATAATCACACAACTTCTCAAAAGCATTGTGTGCAGACTCACTGGCAAACATGCTTATAATCCTAAAAGACTGCAAAGAAAGGTCAGAGAAGACCCAGTGCTCCTGCGGTCACTGCCCTCTGGTGACGGCCCGGCACGGGGGCAGGAGAGTGGCTACAAACACCCGGGGGTCAGGGTCCGTGCAGGAAAACGTGAGGAAGCAAAGGGGACAGTAGCCCCCTTACCCACCCAGCACTGCCTGAGGACAAAACAGTGCCCCTGCCCTTCTCTCTGCCTCATCTGCACCCTCGAAGAGAACCTGAAATTTGTGAGCCACCTCCCTGAGGGAACGTTAACATTTGCTGAGGTGTCCAGATGAATCAGATGCCCTGAGACACACGAAGAGAGCAAAGTGCTACCTCAGAGTATCCTATTACAGCCCCTGTCCAAACGGTCACACCGGGGCGGGGACCACTACGTGCAACCACAGAGGTACTCCCGACGGCACATTGGGCCCGAGGCACTCACTGATTCCGCGATCCGTGCCACTGCAGACACCGTGAGCCCAAACAGATCTTCTCCCTTTAGATACGCTGGAAAAAGCTGGAGCATTTCAGACTGTTTTCTCACACATGCCACGGGCTCCAGTATTTTATCCCAAACACCTACATATGGCCAAAACAAAAAACAAGACAATTTAGAACAAACCTGCTCTCTGGACAACAGGATGCAGTATAAAACAGCAAACTAAAGATGGACCAACCACTCGAAGACTTACCAGTTACCAAGTAAAGCCTTGGAGGTGGTAATCTAACCACCCTGCTATTATCTGCGTATCAAATGGCAGTTTATTTTGAAGACTTTATGAAATGTTGGGGAAAAGAATGTGTTACATTAAGGAAATTAAACAATGAAAGTGGAAAAGAAAGTTTAATGTAACAAATTCACGCAAGAACTTAATTCATTATCACACTAGGCACCTAACTTTACATTTTTAACTGATTAATCTAATTAGCAGTACCTGGAAGTATGTTTCTTTCCCCTCAGATTTAAATTAAAATATGAAATTGATATTTCCATTGGAATTATCTTTAGGGCATTTTCATACTTTTTTTTAAAAAACAGCTAGACTTTTAAAAAAAGCAATTCCGCAGTACTTTGTGCATCAATAAAATGAGAGCCTACAGTCGTAATTAAGTGTCCAATTTCTAGCTCCAAATCTGTTTAGTACCTGGTAATCCTCATAAAAGACGATACACACAATATGCCGTAAATATGGTTTCCTGCCTTCTGCCGTTAGGAGGGCCCCCAACGCAAACAACAGGCAACCTTTATCTACAGATCACTGCTTTATCACTGCGTGCTCAAATACATATTCTGATTTCGAGTAAGTGTAGCAAGTGCTGAGAAGGTGGCACAGCAGGGACAGTAACACAAAGAAGCTAACTGTCGCGTTTGTAAATGAAAAATCCATGTCTGTTTTCATAAAATCTGACCCAAAGAGAGAAAACAAGGAAATACGAACATAAAGCATTCAGTGGCCGGCTCTGCCGGGCATGCAAATGTGGCTCTCACCTTTGGGAGAGGAATCACTTAGGACAAGGTCTTCGTGGCCCTGCTCCACGATTCTGACGGCGAACACCGGGCGCCCGTCCTTCTCCTCGATGGAGCACAGATAGCGGCAGCGCCTGTTGGCGTAGCGGGTGCTCCAGTACAAGCGGCTGGCCTCGTAGCCCACGGGGAAGAGGGCTTGAGCCGAGTGGAACGCCTGCATCTGTTGTGGCAGCAGCTGACCGATCGTATGGAAGATGAGGCTTCCAACACGGAAGGTGTGGTCACGTTCCCCGCGCTGCACGATGCTAGCGATCTGTCGCACCTCATCACGTTGAACGTAGACCCGTCTGAAGACTGCGAAGTAACTTAATTCCTGCTCATGAATTCCCTTTGGTTTGTGCATGGGACAAAGCATAGTTTTATCCTTAAAAAACATGCATTGTGCTTTAATGGCGCAAGTAAAGTGATAAATATTGGTGCACCGAAATCGATGACATCCGCTGGTGGCGCCCATCTTATGGCAGAAGACACATTTCATCTGCAGGCCCCGCCTCAGTGCCAGCTCCACGTTTATTAGGGCCCCAGCCTGGGTCTCATAGACCTCCGTGGACCACAGCGCACAATTCAAGTGGACCCACAGGTCTAAGTCAAGGTTGAGCAGTCTTGCTGGCCCGTCTGTCAACCCATCTCCCTCCTCGTGACAAAAGCAACACTTCCGGTAGTCTTTGGGCACAGGGTCAGGTTTAAGGGACGTGCCCAATTTCTTCAGAAACTCATCTATTTCGTCCTCACAAGGGGGTTTGAAGCTCCCCTTGGGGATTACAATGTGAATGCTCCACTTCTTCCACTTCATCCCTCTCCACTTTTTATTGATTGGCCTACAGTCTTCAAACCCGCCGTGGACAGTCCTGAGCCGAGGCTTTAACTTGACTGTTACCTTGAGCTCGTCTGGCTTTGCCTCTACTTTGGCTGCTTCAAACGCCGGAGGGAAAGTGATGGGGGGTGATGCTGGGGAAGAAGCTTCTTCCTGGAGCTGCGGGAGGCAGTGCACATCCAGAGTGGAGATGTTGTTACTGTACTGATGAAATGCTTTGGAAGGCGTCTCTTTCACAGGCGACTGTGGCAACGGCGGGGCAGACTCCTGCACAATGAAAGGGAACAGGAGTAAGAAGAGCAGTTCGTCCCAGAGCAGGAAGCCAAGCAGCAGGTGTCACGGGGCCTGTGCCCCCAGGGTGGGGGTGGGCGACAGGGACAGGGTCTCCAGGCTGAGCAGAGGCGGATGCCAAACACTGAAGGTGCTGACAAACACCCACGGACTGATGAGAGCAGGGCCGGGTCGGGAGTCCCGCCCCAGGCCTTCTCGACAAGGCTGCATCTCTGGAGAATGTTCTGCTCCTAAACCTTCCTGGACACTCTTCTCTAACCATAATAAAGCCAGAAAAACCAATGCTGCAGAGAGGAGCTAGTTTAATTTGTACAATGGAACGGTGCCTTCTGTTGGACCAAACAAAAACTTCAGAACATAATCTTCTCTGAGCTTATGCCCACTCTCTGAAATTCATGTCTGTTCATCTTAGGCTGAATTAATTGGCATCCATGTGAAGAAAGAAGGGGCAGTGGTCCCCTATCAACATACATCACACATGACTCTCCCCTGGCGCTGCCCAGCTCTGATCCAGCTGCTGGAAGACGTGAGCTCAGACGAGCCCCGGGACTTTCTCTCTGGGTACCCACAGGTTCCCGTTTTCACACACCCCCCTCCACCGGGTATCTGAGAAGATACACCTCACATAAATCCAGGAGCATGGAGGAACTGCACACCAAATTTAAAAATTGTCTGGTAAAAAAGCAATTCCTCCTCTTATAGAACCTGACATATTAATTTTTTAAAAGATTTTATTTACTTATTTTGAGAGAGCATGAGCAGGGCAGAGGGGCAGAGGGAGAAGCAGACTCGCTGCTGAGCAGGCAGCCTGACATGGGGCTCGATCCCGGGAAGCTGAGATCGCGACCTGAGCAGAAGGCAGATGCTTAACTGACGGAGCCAGCCAGGCGCCCCAACATATTTTAATTTAAAGTCTAAACCTATTTGGCATATAGCTTGATTTCATTACACTGGAGACTACTGCCTATTATAAAAATAAGAGTCTCCAAAACATTCTCTCAGAACAGACAGCAGAGCAATGATCTGCAGGGAGGAATGACTGGTGGTATCACAGCATGGGAAGGCTTCCTTCAACACAGTCAAAAATGTCTACCCATAACAACCACACATTGAGATACACTTAAATCACACAGAATCAGGTACAGTAGACCATTTCCACCATGACATAAGCAAAATGCTTTCTCCCCAAAATAGAGGAATAGACTTACAATGTGTTTGTGAACAGGTTTTCCCATCAGGATAAGATCAACAGAAGTTGTAAGTCTTACTGTTGTAATTAAATTAAGATATTTATAATTAAGTAAAACTAAAGATGTTATTAGTATTAGTGTTTTATTCAATTCTGAACTTCTAAGATATAATTCAAGTCTACCCCCACCCCCTTCTCATCAGATAAGCTGAATTTATCTGAAATAACAGCATGGGCTGCCCTTCCTCAGCCCGCGTAGCATGTGCCGGGACTTCCTGCACACACAGTGCGAGGAACCTGTTCTATCCGTCAACATAACCCCAAATCACGGAAACCCCTCATTATACACTGTTCACTGAGGCTATCCTAATCTCACCTTGCTTTCTGCATTTTTTGCTTGTGTAGTTGATGCATAAAGAACGAAGCAATTATTACTACAAAAGACAATGTCCTTCTCCATTCTATTACAGCTTTCTCGGGAATCCTGAAAAGCAAAGAGAAATGTGTGGGGATCTCAAGTCAAAATTTCATAAAAACAAGATCCATCCATTGTTGGTTTTTATGCTATGTTAAAAGAAAGCTCTCTATCGTAAAAGTAAAAAAGTAACTCTCTGCCAGTATTTAGCATATAATTTAGCCAAAGAAAAAATAAATGTACAAAAATAAACTTTATTATCCATATTTCACTCTATTTAGACATATGTGGGTCTCATATTATCCAGTTTACCAGTCTGCTGTCACTGTTTGGTTTTAAGCTAAACACGTCAACTACACGCTGAGGCTACGCGGTGGCACCTGGGGGCCATGAGGCCACCACGGAGGGGCTCCTTCCTGACACAGGAGCAAAACCTGCGCCGGACACCTCAGCGAGGGAACAGCGAGCACCTTGTTCACAGAGGCCAGGTCTCGGAGAGACTTCCTGACGCCGCTCCCGAGGATAACCACCCTGCAGTGACAGCACCACTGTGGCCTGAGTACCGCGCCTTCTGCGCCACCACGCCCAGAGTCCCGATATCCAGAGAGACCTAAATGCAGAAGACTTTTGTTAGTGATTCAAATTAACCAATAACACAGTGTAGTACAAGAGGTAAAGCTGCCCTACATCAACTCAGAACATGGCTCATTTAACTTTCCTGATACTATTCGTTATTAATAAAAATCTTATCTTCTAAGCATAAAAGTGGTTACAGGGCATCTATTACATGCATGGCCCTGCAGTATAAATAGAGGGACACAACTATGCTCAGGCAGCTGGGGAAACAATGCTTGTACACGAGAAGCACGAGAGAAAACCAATTCACCATATTAATAGTCACCCTAAGTGCAAAGCGAGTGGGGTGGGGGATACTACTTTTGTTTGAGGGTTAAGACGATAAAAAATGTTTTATGAAAGATGAAGAGCTACATGTACAAGAGTCTTAAATGAGTGTGATTTGGAAAGTCGCAGAGGGCTAAGAGAGTCCTGGGGCCAAGATAAAACGTGGTCAGAAAATCCAAGGCCCATTTGGAGCACATCATCCATGTAGGGCATGGAGGCAGAAAGGAGAACAGGGAAAAGCGAGTGAGAGGCAGAAGCAGCTGGAGGCCGAGCTCAAAAACCCAGCAAAGCAGCTCTCCCCGAGTTCACAGGTGAGAAGTGAGGAGCTGCCAGGTCCTGAGAGCAGGGCACAGACCAAAACAAGACTCCGAGGGAATGGGCTGAGGAGGACTCGTCCCTGGGAAGAACAGGGCCCGTGGAGACACTGCACAGGCCCAAAGAGAGGGAAGAGCAGGCGCAAGGCACAGAAGAGAGAACACAAGCACAGCCGCTGGCCGGCCTCATGTACACTGGCCGGAGGGGTGGCAGGGGCGGCGGGCCCTCGGGGAGACGTGGAAACCAGAGCCGCAGGGGGTCCGCAGCCCGCACGCAGAGCTGGCATTCCAGGACTTCCCGGTGACATCAGATCCTACCACAAAAGACAAGAGCACCCACAGAAGGTTCATTTACCCACAACTACACACCAACACGCTGTTACTCATTCAAAACTGAAGTGGGATTTTACAGAGAATAAGCTTAACCTGTGAATGCAAAGTGAATCCGAGGGTGACAAACGTAAACCAGCTCACCATTGCTTGCTGGAGGGAACGGCACATCGGGCTGCTTCAGCCGGTACGAGCCGGCTAATCGGGGAGGGTTTGCAGGTCCCGGCGGTGGCCCACGGAGAAATACATGCTGTCGACACTCCAAGCCTGGGTTTACTCTGCGGCTGCTGACCAAACCCACGGACGGAACATCCGGAGCATTACTAACCTCATAGCTGTTAGGAATTCGGACGTGAAGAAGGTCGGAAAATGCAGCCACCACACTGCTGATGTTCTAAAACGAAAGTGTGAACGCTGTGTCACCCCCAAAAGCAAGAGTGAGCCACAGAAGCAAACTTCAGGTAGCTGCTCTCTGCAGGACACAGACAATGCCAGCAAATCCAACCACTTTCATTTAGATTTAAGAGTCTCAAGCTTTCCTAAACAGAAATCCTCATACAGGGACCCCAATTAACATTAAGTATTTGCGCGAGCGTTACAGTATTCTAGCTATAGGATACGCCGTGAGGAGGGAGCTACACCTAATCAGGTTTCACAGCTAGGCAGAAACTTCCTTCAAGTGGACTCTGTCTGGCTCTGGGCAGAGGTCTGCAACAGCTCACAAGAATGCTGTCACACCAGGGCTGAGTTATACTGACAGCCAAAATGTCCTATCACTGGACCATCAGTATGGTTGCCAATATCCTCACAGAACCAGACAGAAAAAAATTCTCAGCAATTTGTTAGTGTTTGATATGAGCAACTGCTATGTGAACACTGACACTATTTCTGTAAAAAGTTCTTTTCCATGGCTTCATTTTCTATGTGTAATTTATCGGGAGGTTTCTCTCTAAAGGACACACCCTTTAATGAAAACACGAGGACACTAACTTCCTTTTGCCCCGGCTTCAGCTGAGATCCATGCTTATGCAGAGTGCTCAGAAGCCACCCAGACATCCGAATGACTGCTCATCCCAGCTCTGTGAGCTTCTGTTCGCCATGTCCCTGCTGTACATGTCTTGCTCTAAGCCCCCTGACAGCCCAGAATGGGGACACAGTTTATAATGTTAAAAAGCTATTGCATCTTTACCTCAGCAGCTGTAGGATGCAGAGTAATTGCCACAGATATAAGACCCGATCTGGGACCATTTGGGGACGAACCAAAAGGTGGTGTGAAAAATAAAGTGCCTGGCTCAGTTTTGATGTCATTCCTTCTAGATTCCAAACCTTAAGTGGAGGGGGGAGAAAAAAGGGAAGAAGGAAGGAGAGAGGGAGAGAAGAAAGGGGAGATGGGAGAGGGGAGGAAGGGAAGACGCACTGAGTGTTAACGGCTTTTCAAAATCAAAGTGTGAACATGAGTAAACTGGCATATACCGCAAAGAGAAATAATCTGGCTGAGCACTTTCCCTACCTTTCCCAGCACTGCTAGGAAGAATCGGAATGATGGGGGATGGCACAGGCTCCGGAGGCTCCTCTTTGACCAAGGACAGATCTGGGTACCTGCTCACTTCCGTCCCAAGCACGCTCTCCGGAGAGGACGAGGGCACAAAGCTGTCAGGAGTGTCCCGACCGCCGCCGTGGCCCTGTGCCCTGAGAGGGGACAAAGACAACGTGTCAGCGTGCGCGGATCCGCCACTGGGGCTTCCTGCACAGCCCGGCCCCGGCGACGAGCGTGACCACGAGCCTCCCTTGCACAACGGCAATGATGTAGGAAGACAGAGAGTAGTTCAGGGCCAAACAAGAAATCTCTGGGAAAAAGACCTAAGAAACACATTCAACTGTTAAGCAGTTTCAACAGTAGGTTTCCTCCTGACGGAACTTCAACACCAAAGTTTAAAGACCTGCCAAAGCACGAGGACGCTCAGATCACAACAGAGCAGAGAGAGGATGAAGACTCACACCTCTGCCGAGTCCCAGACCCCTGAGACCAGGAAGAGTCTGTAGCCGGAAAAGGAAAGAGCCATCTCACACACCCCACGGCTGCAGGTGCTGCCGCTCACAGTGGAAATGAGGGGAAAACTCAGTCGTTAGGGCCTCATGGGCCTTCATTTTTCCTAACGGATCACGTACGGTGAAAAGAAGAAGAGAATGGTCTAGCCCAAGGAGCTAGAGGTTAACTAGGGTGACTGAGGTCAGAGGGCAAGTGTGGGCTCAAGCTAGTGCTGTGGGATACTCCCAAACCTGGGGCCTCCCACTCTCCCCCCACAAAGGAGACCCTGTTATGTGGAGAGAAGCTGAGCAGCAACATTACAATGAGACCTGAGAGTGGCTTCCAGCCGCAGTCCCTGTGACATCCAGTGGTGCCCTGCCCCAGGGCACCACACATGCACACCTAGGAGGCTGCCTCCCACAACTGCTCCCGATTCACAAATCAGGCAACTTCTAGCAATAAGATGCAGAAGAGAGCAAGGACACCTGGATTCTAAATCTGGATGAGAAACTTCTCCTTTTTGGTCCACAGTTTTCTCATTAGTAAACTAAAGGACTTAATCTAAATGATGTCTCTTCAAACAGAGGGCAGTTACCAGATTATCCAAAAAAAGAATCACCTGATGAAGTATATAAGAACCTTTCCCAGATCTAACTAAGTGGGTTGTGGCTATCTAAGGACGGTGGTTTCTCCCCAGTCAGAATCTTGGGTCTAAAAAGCTGATACGAAGAAGTACAAAACTCTGAGCGCGACAGTCCTTAAATATTCTTCCCCAAAAGCATTCTCTGGCATTGGTGACTGCCGCTCTTTTATCTTAGACATCTGGAAACATCACTAAGTGACAATGATCTTTGAAATATTTTGCACAGACTCCCATTGCCTTAATGTCTATCTGGTTATTTGTTGAACTTCCTATACCATCTAAGAATTTAAAAATGCACAAACTAATTACATTCAATAGTAAGAATGTTTTATAAACTAAGTCCTAAAGAAAACTATTCACCAAATTTTTACCCCTTAAATGTTTTTACATGCTTTCCCTACATTCTGCTAAATATATACATATTTTTTTTTAAAAAAATGAACTAAAAAATATGTGAGAAAAAAGGACCTCTACCTTAATTCTTCCTGATTATTATGAGGTGGTGTTGGCAGTGAAGCTGGAACATCAACAGTCTTTGGGCCTTGAGCAATAGCTCTGGCTAACAAGTCATCCTGGGGTCTGAATGGCAGCTGAAATGGTTTAGGTCCTAGACTTTTGGTAACTGGAAAAGCGAAAACACAAAACCAAAAATAGACTTAGTCAAAACGGATACATGGGGAGAACCTCACAGCTGACAAAGGCACACTCTGCAAAGGTGTACAACTTGGAGGTGTAGCATCATACCTTCATGGCTCATTAATACGCCAGCTCTTCCAGCAAGTTCTTCAGTTGTCGCAAAACCATTTGCCATCTTCTGACAAGCCATAGGAGGTGGTGTAGGAGGAAGAGAGGCAGGGGGTGTTGGAGGATTACTTAAATTATTCTGCTGCAGGAGACCAAAAAATTTCAAATTATATGCTACAGAGCAAATATGCCATGACCTTGCTAAAACTTAGTTCTGTGAATTTTTAGCACATGGAAGCAAGGCTATAGAAATGTCATCAAGATGCATCTTCATTCCTAAATGCACACCAAGAAGATAAATAAATGTACAAGGCCAGGAGGTTTTTTGGTGGGAGAAATACTCATGTTTATATGGACAAATTAGCCATTTTCTTACTCTGCCCAGCTTGATTACTTGAAATTAAGAAGCAAAGTTACATTATTCTATTCTGTACATCTCTTCAAATTTCATTGTTATAGCCAGTGAAAGACAGCTTTAATAAATTGTAAAAGTTCTCAAAAATTCCATTATTCAATTCTCATTAAAATATGCCCCAGTTCTATTAAAAAAAAAAACAACAACTTGAGAATTTGTGGTCCTAATCCTATAATTACAACTCATATCCTCAATATTAGAATCTGGATTGTCCAAAACCTCTGTAAGAAGCAAAAGTCTTAGCAATAACACGGAAATGGCTAAATCATTAACAAATGGGAGTCCCCTCCAAACATTTCTCTCTGCTTAGCATGTCATCAATTTGTCATTGGTTGGTTGAGTGATCAGTCTCTCAGGGATTGTTGGAATCTACCAATAATACCATGAGAATCAAGTGCAAGGTGAAATTACAAATCTTGCAAAGATCTGGGATTTCATGAAAGTAATGAAGTTGTGTTGGAGAACAGCTTGCATCAGAAGAGAAGGCATTTACAAGAGTTAGGACAGGTTCTAAATGAAGAGAAAAGCCGACAGTGATAATAAATGGAGCATCACAAGAGAATGACTTTAACACTAAAGTAAGAAGAGAAGCCCTCCAGAAAACCGATGATACTCTCAAATATTTTTGCAAAAAGAGCATTTTACATAAGTCAGATGTGAAGTAAAGAATGTCTAATAAGGCTCTTATAAAACGTTGCTAATACCAAAAGATAAATTTTAGTTTGATATTTTTGTTTAAGAATTAATGTCTAGTTATAATTAATGTCCAGTTAAATCATCAGACAAAATACACTTTTCAATTTTTTTCATTTTTCAGGGAAAATTGCTAACTACTTTTTTTATTCTATTTACTATGTATTTGGATTTAAGAGTTAATAAAGGTTATAGGAAAACAGGTATTTTCTTCTCTACCATGGAAATACATAATGGATGTTCTTCACTATTTGTAGTCTTACCTATAAAAAATTACAAATATTTATGTTAGAAACTCTTCATCCAGTGAAACTGTCACCTTTTAGCTGAACTAATAAAGTTTAAATGAAACTTGGAAGATTAGATGAAAAACAAGACAAGCTCTACCAATTCTGATATGGTATCCAAAGAGGAAGCAAGGTAAGACCTTGGTGAAGAAACATACCTTGTAGATCAACTGAGAATAGTAATCCGAAACCCCTTCAAGGGTAGCACTGCCAAAAGTTCCTAGAAGTCGGCTCCCACTATTAAATTGGCCACTGCCATAAGGAAGAAAGTGCGCAAAGTTCACTCCAATGATTGGTTCCATTAGAGGGAGCAGAGAGAGCTGCTATTAAAAAACACATTGAAGAGTAATGTACACGGTCAACAAAACAGAGCGTTTCGCAACTTTTCTAAGACCCAAGGCAACTTAGTCCAATAAGGCTTGAGAAAAACAAGACTTAAAAATTTCGAGTATCAAAATGCTAGAGTAAGTAAGTGAGAGAGACCACAGAATCTCTAGGATATATTTAAAAATGAGCTTTATTCTTATCTGTCTTAAAGGGATGCTGCCAGGCATCTAACAAGAAAAACACGTTCCTTATCTTTGCTCAGCAAGAATCGGGGCATGAAGGGAGGCCAGGTAACCCCAGTGGCACTCTTAGTGGCTGTCTCCCACCTTCTGTAACAACCACAAAGGTGTAAGAATAGAGTTTACTGCAGGGAGACCAGGAGCTGCATTTCCTTGCATCCAGAGTCACAAGTAACACAGACAGGTTTTTCTTGGTGCTGAGGCTGCTCCTTCTGAACACAAGTAAATCTTGACCATCACCTACCAATCCATCTATCTTACTGCCATTTTCGGGTGCCAATAGGATATGGTGCAGTTTTGCTTGCAATTAGGAAATCTACTAGACTCCTTGTTGAGACATCATTTATCCTTGTAACTACTTTAATTAGGAAATATGGTGATAAAGAGAAAATTTCAGTTTAATAGGGTTGAAAAAGCATTTGATGCCTCACTTGACTTTTTAAAGGAGCTGCTCCGAGGGACTCACCTGCTTCAGGTGGGTAAACGTGTCGGTGGTGGAGTACACAGCCTGTTTCTCCTCTTCATCCTTCTTCCTTTTCTTGGAGCGAGGTGCAGCCTTCTCCCCCGTCCTCTGGGTCCGTTTGCTTCGAGGTTTCTTGGTTTCACTTCCTCCATCTGTTTTTGGCAATTGGTTGTTGCCACATCCAAAACCACCTTGCATTTGAGCCCCCAAAGTTTGCTAATGTAATTGGAAAGGTTAAGAGATAAGTGAACTATTCACATGCTGGATTTTGCAGTTCATGCTAATCCAGTTCCATTCTATGACACATATTCCTATCAGGGGTACTAAAAGTTGAGGAAAGGCAGTGGCCTCAAATGGTCTGTTTTCTGAAAGATCATCCCCTTTCCAAACATTATTCTCAAGTACAGAAATTGGTAAGCTGCAAAGCTTGAGAAAAGAGCAGAATTCTTAAGTGTGGCTACTTTCCCTCTCAGAGCAAGCATTACTCCTCAGGCAGGACCGCGCGGGTGCCAGTGTAGACCAGAGCTCCTCAGTCCTGCTCTGTGGAAGCTGTGGAGGAAGGAGTGCTCTTAGCCAGGTGGCCGTGACAGCCCCTGCACCACGGTCTTGGGGAGTTATTTTGGGTTCCCCTTAGGAACAGCTGAAATACAAGGTCTACAGAAACAACAGATAAGTTCCATAGCCTATGCACCTTCGCTGAGAGGAACAGTTAGCCTCAGATCAATAAAAACAAACAACACTGGTCATCGAAATTAGCTCATGATCACAAATGTGACTGAGTAATAACTGCTCTATACTTAAAGTCAATGAAAGGGCCTACATATATGCTAGCAAATAAACCCCCTCTTTTTTTTTTTAAATCTTTCTCTTACTTAATGGCTAAGAACCTTGAAGAGGTTCTTAAAGGTAATGCTATCAATACCTAAAAATATGGGAATTTTTTTAGGGGCCAGCATTTCTAAACTTTACAGTTATACTTTGCTAGATAGGTAACTACAGTTGCTAGACTTAATTTGATGTATTCTGCACTGAATCTTTGAAGGTTTAAAGATTATAGTTTCCAGTTTTATTCTAACTGGCTTGGAGCATGCATGGCAACATTTTTCTGTAAAAAGCCAAATAGTAATATTTTAGGCTCTGCAGTCCATACAGTACCTATCGTAACTACTCAACTCTCTGCCCTGCTACTGCCAAAGCAGCTATAGAGCATTCATTAATGAACAAGTGTGGCCGTGGTCCAATAAAACTTTTTAAATTCATGGACACTGAACTTGAATTTCATATAATGCTCACATTGTGAAATATTACTCTTCTTTAGATTTTTTTTTCAACCACTTGAAAATGTAAAAACCATTCTAAGCTCAAAAAAGAAAGGGTAAAAGGTCTAAGCAGGCTCAGACTACCCCTCCCAGGACGAGATCAATGGTTCTCAAAAAGTAGTCCCCAGAGCAGCAGGAGTACCACCTGGGGATGGTTAGAGATGCACATTCCCTGGTCCCACTCCAGACTTACTGAATCAGAAACTCTAGGAGTGAGGCTCAGTGCCCTGTGTTTCAATAAGCTCTTTAGGTGATACTGATACATTAAAGTTTTGAGAACCACAGGCCTAGAACTGTGCACCTCTCCATTGGCTCTTATTAAAAAACACATTCTGAATGGTTAAGTCTGTGCTGGAGAATAAGATTCTGCATTTCTTAAAAAGTTCCCAGGTAAGCTCAATGCTACTGATCCCCAAGGGCTGCACTTTTGAGTAGCAAGGACCTAAGAATTTCTTATTGGCTTATAAGAGATTAATAATGTAGTTGCTTATTAAGTACGTTTGGGTCAAGCACTTTAAGTGCATTGCAGACATTATCTCTAATCCTCACAATTACCCTAAAAAGCACGTATTACTACATTTCAAAGAATACTTCTAATTATAGGAGAGCACAAAGGTTAAAAATCATCCAAATGTCTGCCTGAGATAAAAAGTTAACATTTTAATGTATCTGTGTTCAGTCTTTTACAAACTATGCCTACATATATTGTGTTAAAACACAATGGACACACTTTGTATTCTTTTATTTTAGTGGCTTGACATTATTTCCCATGACATTAAACATCCTTATATAGCATAAATTTTAGTGGCTGCAAAAAAAATGAAAAAATAACTCATTCAGATATAGCTTTATAAAAATAATAATTTAATCAATAACTACTGTACTAGACTGACTTTCTTTCTCTTAAATTCTCTCTCTCATATTTTTTCCTCTACTGGTAGACAGGACATTAGCTATTCATGTGGTTACATCTTTGCATATTTTTAAAATTTTATATTCCTTATGTTAGATTCCTCAATACATAATTAGCAGGTCAAAGATATGCACCTTTTCCAGACATTATCAGCAGAATGTGTTTTAACTCTGTTAATCCTTGTAGCAACGCTACCTAACAGGGAATAGTATTAACTCCTGCTGTGTAGAGACGAGGAAATCAAGGTACAGAAAGTACCAAACCTGCCCAGACCATCCTCCTGGTAAGTGATGACACATGAACTTAATGCAGACAGAGTAGTAACCTCATAAACTTTCCAAGAAGGCTCTACCACTCACTGCACAGCAACCAGGAAGGTGCTCTTCTCCTAACCCCAAATTACATGTGAAGAAACAGACTCAGTATGGAGGAAAACTTGGTCTACCCAACTACTGCCTCAATAATTTTGCCCGTCGTGTGACTAGAAAGTAAATGGAATTTCATCATTTGTAAACTGGGGATAATAACCGTTCCTGCCAAATGACTAAATAGTATCTCGGGCAAGTGCTCAGCACAGGATACCTACCTGGAACGCGGTAAGGCGTCACTACCCCTAGTAATAAGGTACCCGACCCCTTGCCACCCTCCTAAATGGATAGAAGAATACGTGACACAGTCCAAACATTTGTACATATACAAGTGATCTCATTCCTTTTTCTATCCCAACATCCTCTCTATGTAACATAATCATCAGGACTAAGACTTAACTTCAATTCCATACACTGAGTATTTATTATGTGCTAATACTGTGTTAAGTACTGAGAACACAAAGGTGTTCAAGATGCAGCCTATACCCTTCAAGAAGCTATTTAAGTGGTATTATAAAAACTGCTATGTGAGCACATGGGCATCAACACATCTGAGAATGGTTGAGCTGAGGAAGGTCTGGGGTAGATGATTCTAGAACTGAGTTTTAAAAGAAAAGAAGACGCTGGCCAGATGTGAAAAAGAAAGGACAGCAACAGGCAGAAACAGCAGCATGTGGTGAGATCAGAAAGACCTTCAAGGGGATTGCAAGTAGCTCAGTATTCCTAGGGGGACAGAATGCAGTGGAGAAAGTGGTTAGAGACTGGGCGTATTTGGCGGCGACAAATATGACTGAAAAAAATGTTACTACTAGAGTTTACAAGTTACCTGACTCTATCACGCCAGCACTCAATCGCTCCAAAATGGTCAAACACACAAATAAGAGAAAACAGAGTAAGACAACACTTTTGCTAAAAGAACGGCTTCATTAGCATCCTTAAAACTGAAAATCTGAGCGAAATATACCACTTCACCCCATTCAATTAAGAAATGAAAACTGTACAATCCCAAATGAGAAGCACTACAGGGAAAGCTTTAGGAATGCGCCAGTAAGGAAGCATGAGCATTCAAGCAGACCAACCTTACAACCCGGAAACCCCAGTCTGGGAAACGGCTCAGGGAAGTTCACTGAAATGCAGGGGATGGAATCTTGTAAAGGTGTATTTTCAAAGAACCTCTTCATACAAAAAAACGAAAAGACAAAAAAGCAAGCTCAATGTTTTGTACCTTAAAAAGGGCAGAATATTGACGCATGGAAAACTATAAAGATAAAATAGTGTAAGATTCCATTTGTATAAAATCAAGTATGAATACACTGCAACACAATGGATTCCCAACAGGGTTACCCGAGAGCCGAGCCCCCGCGAGTATTAGCAGGTGCAGGAGCTGTCTTCTGTACTACGAAGAGGTTAATGCAAACTGCAAACTGATTTGCAATAAAGATACATAGACATTCACTTTTTTCTTCAGTTAGATCAGCTCAGTGTGGTAATAATTAGCTGACAGGCACGTGTTACATATTAAATGCATTAGTACATGTCTTTGATTTTTGAAGAAAAAGTAAACAAATTATGACTTAATATGGGTTATGGGTATGAGTCAAAACATGGGCTCCTCAGAGGTAGAAACAACAAAATTAAAATTTGTCCTTTAGAGTAAAAAGTTGCGAAATCTTGTTGAAATTAGTATCGTGGCTGGCACTAATCGGCTTAACTGTAATTTAAAACAAAGGGGAGACAAGGAAGTTGTAGTTTTCAGGGAGCACACTTACCAATCCTTCCACTGGGTTCTGCCTCTCAACTAGTTTGTTATCCTTTGTACAGTCGTCTTCTGAAGAAAAGCTGCCTTCAGGTTTTTGACTTAAAAGGGAAGATGATTTCTTATTTTTCAGCAGATGCTTCAGAAGTTCATTGCCCGCATCTCCCTTGGGAGCCGAGGCCCCAGCAGACTGGGGAGGACTCTGCCCTGAGGAGACAGGACCAGCCACCACTCTTTCTTCGGCCTTATTGCCCATCTGTTCCTCCGGCTCAGGCCCATCTTGGCCCGGGCACTGCTGCGGCTCAGCCGCCTCTAGTTTGACCTCCTCAGCTGGGGCGGGGGTTTCCATGGACAGCTTATCCGCCTCTGGGTTTGTGTAAGTCTGTGGATTTGGAGTTCCCTGTGATAAATCACTGTGGGGCAGCTTGTTTTCCAGTTCTGTACACAGCTGGCCAGCTGCCGTGCTAGGAGCTGATGGGCAGACGGGCTCCGCTGACTCAGGTTCGACTTGCGGAGGAAGCTCGCCAGGCGTGTTCACTGTAGGTGTGGAGGTAGTTTCTGAGACACTCGGGGTCGGAGGAGCAGTTACATCTGAGTGGGGGGTGGATGGTGCCCTGGTGGGTTCCACATCCTCATCTTTCTTCTTCTTTCTTGTTCTTTTCTTTTTCCCTTTTTCTTCTGGGATTATGTCGGAATACAACTGGATGAGAGACTGGGCTGATCCTGGATAACTCTGTCCATGGGTTGCTGCAGGGTCTTGGCCACAAGGGAGACTGCTGTTAGCTACTGCAGGTGCTGCAGGTAAAGCAGGTGTAAAAGGAGGCCTCACTGGGGACTGCTGGAAGCTGGCCCCAGAAAGACCTCCATGTACCTGCTTGACAGAATGGAAATTTGGGCTTCCACCAGGAATTGACGGTGAATCAGGAACGAAGGAGGGAGGTCCTATCTGCCTTCGCTCACTGGTTTGCATGAAAGTCTGGGCGGGAGGGGAATTAATAGACCCCTGTTGCATACTCTGAGGCTGTGAGCCCTGCCCCATTTGCTGTTGGTGCTGTGGAGACTGCTGAAGGGGCCTGGGAGGTTGGGGGAAGTCACAAGGCAACTCAGAACTGTAGAACGGAATCTGGGAGCGCAGCGAGCCATGCGGCTGCATCCCCACCCCTTGCTGCAGAGCTCTCTGTCTGTCTACCTCTTGCATGAGCTGGATTCGTTGTCTTTCCTGCTGTTCTCGTAAACGTTCCTTTCGTTCCCGTTCCTGGAAACTTTCACTGAAGGGGTTATTGTCATCAAATTCCACCCGTGGTGGTGGTCCACTCTGTGGATTTGCACCGGACACCGTCCCTGGTGCTGGTGTGCAAGTTCTTATTGGTAACTGGGCAACGGGAGGCTGAATCCTAGCAGGATTGAGGGGGAGGTGGGCAGGAGCGCTGGAAGGCTGCCACCCAGGTAAACTAGGCATTCTAGCGGGGCTGGAATGCCCCGAAATGACCGCTGTGTGCTGCTGGTGCTGCAGCTGCTGTGGCACCATGGGAAAGCTGGGCTGGCTCATGGCAGGTGCGGGGGCACCTGGAACTAGGGGCGGCTGGGGCTGGACACCTGGCATCACGGAAGGCGGGGCCATTGCGCACTGCTGCTGCTTGATCCGATAATCTTCAATCAACTCGGCATGCTCTTTCTGTTGTTTACGGATCTGGAATCAAAAAGTTAGGCTTACTCATTTATTTATACTGCAGGTATCAAACTAAATCACTGGCTGATGATTACGGTGGGAGTTATATATGAGGTAGATCTTGCAGAGGCAAGTATTTTGTTTAGGCAGTGGCAAAAAAAAAAATTGGATAAGCACTAACGAAAGACTGCCAACCTTTTTTAACAACAGAATTTTCCTAAAGTCATTTGTAAAAATTCTTTACATATGACATACCAAAAACAAATTCGAAATATATTTTTCTGAAATAAATATTTTAAAAACCTTACCACGAAAGTTATAAACTATTTAAGCTACACATCAAAAAGTAAAATAGAACAATAAAGGCTGCACAAGAATTAGCAAACTGACCTGCCTTAGAAGTTACATTAATAAACAAGGTCAGAATAACCAAGATTTAACTCAAACTCGAACCATTTAAAACAAGTTAAGATTTCATTTCTTAAGTATACAAAAATCACACAAGGTATTAAAAAAAGATGAAATACTAGCAGGTACACCACCCCGCCCCCCAGTTAAAAAGACTAGATTGGTGAAACTCTTCGAATTTAAGGGATCACATGCTCAAATGATAATTTCTAAAAAATATACAAAACTCTGAGGTAATATTTTAAATAGTTCCTAATATAATGACTGACTCGTGTCCATTAATTCATTCCAAAAACCCTTGTGCCATCACAATGTACCAGAGGCTACAGACAAATCTCCATAAAGATGCAACCCATGTCCTCAGGATGCACCTTGCTCAGGAAGAGGAGGAGGTGATGCCCGGTGTTACCCATGTCCTCTGTAACCATCCAATCTGAGATGTATATTATACTAGTACACTGAGCCCAGCAGCTCTAATGGTTTTTCAACTTATTTTCTTCAGTTTCCCAGACGACTAGCATGTTCTCTGCACATGGTTTTGGTGGGTCTCCAGTGGCTGTAGAACTATCTAATTTTCTTCTTTCCTGACCAGGTGCCTGGCCAGAACTGAGGGATTACCATGGGACTGGTGAAGCAGTAGGAGTACACAATAAGTCCCTATAACAGTATTAGGAATACAGGAAGGGGGTCATCCATGCCTTTCCCATGACATTTTAAAATACTTTTAAACATGTTATCAGCTGCTTATCTTAATGGGATTACACTGGATTGTTGGCAACTATACAGTAACAGATGATGTGTTCCATTTTCCAAGTACAGTATTAGCTTCTAAATAGGATTTGATCCAGGGATATGCGAAAGCCAGGCCCTCATCATAAGGAATTTATAAAGACACCAGCAGGCAATTAAAGTGCTAAAATTACTTAGTAGGAAATATTTATCATTAAAAGAATTTTACTCCCAACAAACATGGACCCACAGAGTAAATTCAGAGAGAACCATCTCATTCCAGAACTGTCCTAGTTTTAAACAATAGGGATTACATTACAATCACCTTACTGTTGGTACATTATTGTGGTTGCTATAGCTTGGAAATGAGACATCTGAACCAAAAAAAAACCTACCATGATAATCAGCTAGGAGCCAACATGTCACCTACCTCTGTCAGGACTCAAGAGACTCTTGTGTAAAATAGTGACAACACTAGCTTCTCCAAAAAGTTGTGGAGAAAGTTAAATAAGACAATCTATGTGAGTATGTTTACCAGAGTGTTCACTACACTGACAGTACTCCAAGTTTTATTAAGTCAATCTACTCTGGACTCCTCCTTTTCTACTGTTAACATTTGGATTACTTTTCAACTTTCTTTAAAAAATTAAAATTGATAAAAGTAAAACTGACATTTAGAAATTAGCGTAGCCATCACCAGTCAAGATTCAGAAGAGTTCTGTCACCCCAAAAAATGTCCTCATGCCACTCACTTATAGCCAAACCCTCCTTCCCTCATCCCTAAGCCCTGGCAACCACTAAACATTGTCCATCCTTGTAATTTTGTGATTTTAAGCATGTTATATAAGTGGAATCTGTATATAACCTTCCAGAATTAGCTTCTTTCACTCAGCATAAGGCTCTTGAGATCCGTCCAGGTTGTTCTATATCAATAGTTTGTCTTTTTAATTGCTGTGTACTATTTCAGTGTATGGACATACCAGAATTTGTCTAACTGTTCATCACTGAAGGATACCTGAGTGTTCCCAGTTTTTGGTGACTATATGAGTAGAGTGGCTATAAATATTTGTACACAGGTTTTTATGTGAACCTAAGTTTTTAATTCACTTGGGTAATTACTAGGAGTGGGCTCTTAACCCATTTTGAACACTACTGTCTCACTTTAAATAAAAGTTTAAATTTTACTTCTTTTTAAGTATAATTGTTATTTCAGTATAAGCATTTTGAGAAACATCTGGTTTATAATGGAAAGTAATAGCAAAATGGTTTCATTTGGGGCACCTGGGTGGTTCAGAGGATTAAGGATCTGCCTTCGGCTCAGGTCATGATCTCGGGGTCCTGGGATCAAGCCCAGCGCCAAGCGCCCTGCTCAGTGGGGAGTCTGCTTCTCCCTTTCCCTTTACCCTTCCCTCCCACCCCACTTGTGCTCATGCACTTTCTCTAATAAATAAAATCTAAAAAAAAAAAAAAGTTTTATTTTTCAGGAATGTGTCTTTTACATAAGATATACCAACATATTTTAAGACCAAAATATTGAGAAGAAATAATAAAAACAACCCATACGAAAAAGAACAACCAGAATGCTTCAAATTACCTGTTCTAGCTGTTTCTGAACCATGCTTTGCTGTTCGGTAACATGCTTGAGTTGTTCTGCATCCTCTTCTGGAAATTCACGCCCAGCTTTCTTAGCAGTACGTTGTTTTGCTGAAAGGGCTTTCTTAGATTTTCTGTGTGCACCAATTTGTTCTTCAAGATATTTCTGCTGCATCTGAAGAAGCTGTTGGGTCTCCTGAAGCCATTCTTCATACTGCTTACGCTGTGAATCATCTAAGGAAAAAATGAAAAATTCATCTGTGTTAATTTTCTAAAGGATCCAACAATGTAAAAGTTATACAAATCCATTTTATAAGGAAATGCAGTTTCACCATGACCTTGTAATAGGTGTCATTAAAACATAATACTAAATATTAGACCATAATATAACTTTATCAAATAGGAGACTTTAGAAAAACATTTATTTGAGGAAAGCAAAAAATGCATGTTCTTAGTACAGCGTTAACTTCATATTCAGAAATACTATAAATCCAATCTTTGAAAAACAAGACTTTTATCTAATGGAATGCTTTTCTCTAACCCACATGCCAACTATCTATTAAGTTATATATGTATTGTATTAATTCAACTTTACAGAATGTAAATATTTTTGGTTTTTTTAAAGACATTTTTTGGAAATGTTTTGTTTTTAAGAAACAAAGTTGGGTATATACTATTACCAGAGCATGGATTAGGTATCATTTCCCATGCTAATTTTCCTAAGTATAGGTTTTCTTATTTCTTAATAGCGAAAAAATACCCTAAACTTTGAGGAAGGGAACCTAAACTCTTTTAGAAGGGACCAACATGAAGTCTATGTTTTATAAAGGAAATCCGTAAGTTAAAAACATTGCTAACTTTTATGAATTTTGTAATTTATATTTCTATAAATAAGCAAAGGTATGGAATAATTATTAATCAGGTAAAATCTTTCCTACTTTTATGACTGTCATAAATATCTCCCCAAATAGTTATATCTCTTCATTTTGTACCAATATTCCTTCTTTATTCTTTAAGGGCACTTTACGTCACTGATGCCAAATCCCAAAAACAAAAAAAAAGTCATCTTATGGTAGTAAAATTCAAAATATACCTTTTGACTCACTATAAGACAAAGAAATGAATAAATACAATTCCAAGAAGGACATTAGCTGAAAAATTACATCAATGATAACAGAATATTGTCATACAGTAAGAATCCAACCAAAGCCAATGGGCACAATAAAGCCAGAAAAAGCCAGTTGGTTATAGCAGTATACTTGTTTTTAATGCAAATATGTACTCAAATTATAATTATGATTAAATGCAGGGGTTAATTTCAAAAGGTCAGACTTTGGGTTTGTTCCTAAACCCAGAAGTTCCAGTACATGTATGAACTTGAAATCTAGTCTACTAAATTTGAAGGGCATTTTTCAAGAACAGGCTTTTTCACAAGATTTCAGAAGTTCTGCTTCTGGTAGAATGAGACCTACCGCAAGGAAAGCCTTTCTGGTTTCTGGAACCAGGAGAGCAGAGGTGAGCAAAATGAAAAATAATGGTGAAAAAAAAGTTAGCTAAACAGTCTGAAGATTTCAGAAAGGTTCAGTTTGGGGAGAACTTTAAATACTATCCTGAACCACCTTGGGACCCCTGAAGATAACTAGAAAGGATTCCGTGGCATCCTGTATCCTTGACCTTCACACCATGCTGCTAACCCAACTTATTTCTAAGCCTATTCCCTTTGTTGTTCCCATTTAGTGTCCTTGTCACTTAGGCAGACAGTCATGAGAACAAGAAGCGGTTTAATTCTACAGATTGTAAAGTGCCCAATCTATATATAAAAACAGCAACAACAGTATTGAAGAGAATGGGGAAGATGGTTTTTCTGTATTAAAATATTGATCTCTAACTAGAATTCTTCATGCACAGAGAAAAAGAGCAATGAAAATACATGCCTTCAGGAACAGATTTCTAAAAGGGCAGGGATGTTCCATAAAAGATGAGGGCACTTAGACTTAAAATAACACATCTACACTAACTCCAATTTTTTTGTTTGTTTGTTTAGAAGAACACAAATATAGCGCAAACAAGCAATCCCCAGAGAATACATAACTTATTAGATTTATACTTACTGACAAAGCCTGGACCAAAATTTGGAGGATTAGGCCTAGAAATCTGATGTGTTATACTGCCATCCTAAAATAAGTAAAATTTACAAATAGGTTTATTCCACATTTCAGTTAAAGGGGGGAAAACTTAAAAAAAGAAAAAGAAAAAAAGAAAAAAAGAAATGGAAGGAAAAAACCCCTTAATTTCCTAAGGCATTTTTAAAGGTTTGATTTTTATAAAAAGTAGGATGAATTTTACGATGACAAACTAATTTCTGAAAATTTAAAACTATCTCTGAACTATTTTATTTTCTAGATTTTACTTGAAAAACAATTATGTTTGAGGTAAGGGATTACTCATCAGAAATATAGTATTAGGGCAGGTCAAATATCATTAGTACTTAGCTAGAGATCCACATAAAATCCCATTTTTTGATGAAGTCTACCTGGCTTTTTCTGCAATTAAGACATAAATATGGGTTCCAGATTTACTAAAATCCACTCTATAACACAGTTATTTACAAACAAGAACTACTGTCCCTAACATGCACAAATAATAAATATACACTTACTAAAAATATTAGTCTTATTTTCTAATTAAATATCTTGTTTCTTCCAGGGAGACTAAATAGTTATTAATCTAAAAATTCCCTGGCAACACTCTGATAAATAAAATTAACTTTGAAAAAAACATTTACTCAGTTGTTACAAGTTCTGTTAGACATGAGCTGCACACAAGGTAACAATTATCAATGTTCCTAGCAGCCAGAATACTTCACGTAATCCTTATAATACTGCAAAGTGAGTGGTGTAACATTTGACAGATCAGAAAACAGGGGTTAAAGACCTTGCCCAATGTTGCACAGTAAATTCATAGTGGAACTGAGATTTTTTTTTTTAACTCCACTATGAAGTCTATGCTTTTTCCACTGTATCAGATGGTGCTCTGTTCTTTTAATAATGAAAAGAATATAATTATCAGCATAGTAAATCTAAGGCACAACTGTCATGGCAAAAAAGAAAATTTCAAAGACATATAGTAAGTAGCTTTCTCTTTTTTTTTTCTAGGCAGGTAACTTAAAAAAAAAAAAAAAAACATCTTATATGTGCGCTATGGTGAGCACTGTGAATTGTGTAAGACTGATGAATCACAGACCTGTACCTCTGAAACAAATAATACATGTTAAAAAAAATAAAAGAAGAAGATAGTAGGAAGGGAAAAATGAAGGGGGGGGATCGCAGGGGGAGAGGAACCATGAGAGACGATGGACTCTGAGAAACAAACTGAGAGTTCTAGAGGGGAGGGGGGTGAGGGGACGGGTTAGCCTGGGATGGGTATTAAAGAGGGCACATTCTGCATGGAGCACTGGGTGTTATGCAGAAACAATGAATCATGGAACACTACATCAAAAACTAATGATGTAATGTATGGTGACTAACATAACAATAAAATAAAATTTAAAAAAAAAACCTTATGAAATGAACAGTTCTACTTTCCTGGACACTGCTTGACACTAGACATTTAAATATTACACTTAAAGCTGATTATTATGAATGGAAAATATCTTAAAAGCTAAATTATTCCAAGGAATAAATAGCAGAACATGACTATCGACAGCCAAGTCGAATGATTATAGTCATTATTTTGCAGTTTCACGTTATGGATTAATTCCAAAATGTAGGACATGAAAATGTTCTTGTGGAGTTGAAAGTAAATAAAAGCAAAACCCAAAACGCTAAGTATTTGGTTTCCCTCCAAGTGACTTTCTACCTCATAAATATAGAGGTCCTTTTCAGAAACTGTCAATTTTTTAACCTCAGTTTGGCATTCCTTTAAAAAAAGTAATAAAACATCTTTATTTCTGCTGAGCTGAGAATGCACTTGGCAGGGTTTTCAGGCTTCTACCGCTTTCTACAAGTGGCCTCCCTCTAAAGAGTAGGGTTTGGTGAGAAACACAGGACAACGCCCCCTCTCAGCTGACTAGCGACAAGCAGCAGTACCTGCACGACGGCCTGTGGGAGCAGACTCTGCCCTTCACCAGCCTGCGCTCCCGTCACCGACTGGCCCATAAAGGGGAACCTGTGAAAAGGAAGTCCAAGTATCAAAATGAGGAGCATTTGGAACAACAATTATTTTAAGTGTTTAACAATTTCCTCTTCAGGGGAGAAAGAGCAATGGCATCAAAACCATGTACAAAAGCCCCATTTTGTGGCGTATGCCCACGTTTAATCCTCACCCTGCAGCTCTGAGGTGTGGACTCTTTCTACTCCCATTTCATTTATGATGAGAGGAAGACTCATTACTTAACTTCTACCACAAGAACCAAGCAGCTGGGATAAGAAGCCAACTAGGCTGCTCCCAGGGCTTCACTCTCTATTACAGGTCTCACTATGCCTTAAAATAAAATTAACTCAAGTCTTCATTTACTACATACATTCTTAGAAAATTATTTCTTGTTTCAATTATTACTGGCGGAGAGTGGGGGAATGGACAAATTGGTGAAGGCAATTAAGAGGTACAATCTTCCAGTTATAAAATAAAAATAAGGAACAGAGAGGTGAGAACATAAGCTGAGGGAATGTAGTCAATAACACTTTAACAACTTTGTATGGTGACAGATGGTAACTAGACTTATTGTGGTGACCATTTCATAATGTAGATAAATATCAAATCAGTATGGTTGTGTACCTAAAACTAACACAATACTCTAAGTCAATTATTCTTTAATAAAAAAAATTGGTAGCTTATTTTGTATTCTAAAACAAAAGATGTATCTCAATTTAAAAGTTTCGTACATTTTTGTACATTTTTTATCTAATGTTAAGGCAAATCAAAAATTTGTCACTGACCAAGTCTATATGGTTAAAAATGTCTGGCAGGGGCGCCTGAGTGGCTCAGGTGGTTAAGTGTCTGACTCTTGATTTTGGCTAAGGTCATGATCTCAGGGTCGTGAGATGGAGCCCAGTGCTGGGCTTGGAGTCTGCTTATGATGCTCTCTTTCCTCTCCCTCTGCCCCACGCCACCCCCCGCCATGAGCGCACGCCCTCTCTCTAAATAAATAAATAAAAATGTTTGGTAAAATGTGACTTATTCTAATTGGAGCTATAAAAATTTCATAGAAACATTACTGTTTTAATGAAAACACTTCCTCCAGAGTTACCAAATGCTTTAATACAACAAGCATAATTTCCAAATTATGTATCAAATATTATATATTAGTACTTAGGTACTATTACAATTTAGAGCAGACGCTTTTTAATTTTTTTACTCAGTTTTTTTTTTTAATTTATTTATCAACCTCCTGTCCCCACTACAACCCTCATCTGGAATGATTTCTGGATCCAAATACCACAGTCTACCATCCTCCATCAACCCAGCACACTGCTTGAAGGAGGAACCATCACCACTTCTTCAAAGCACTCAGCAGAAGAGCACACAACATCCTAAGACATAACTAATGTACCAATGTGTCTCTCTCACTGGTAGAGGTACCAATGCTGAAAGATCAGGGGTCTGATTCTAAGGCTTTTTTTTTTTAACTTGAGGTCCCTACTTTATACTAAATGCGAATGAAATTAGCTTTTCCTTCTATTTTTGACTATAGCAGCAAACTACACTATTATTAGCAGTACCATGACTTTATCACCAATAGAATTCACATTCATAACAAAAGTTGCTGCACATACCTAATTTGGTCATTTAGGTTCATCATTACATACTATGAAATAATGATAGTTATTAGATCTATTGCTAAATTTGTTAATGCATTAAGAAGCACATATATCGTAATTTTAAATTTAAATAACTGTATTTCAAATATAATTGATTTCCCTGTAATGCTACATTTTTTGGTTTTGCATATAAAATGTTGAGAAGTAATTCAAAGGTTTCACTGGATTGTCAATAATGTTCATGACAAAAAAGTTAAAAACCCCTGTGACAGAGAAATTGTGGAAATAGATGCCACGTAATAATGAAAATCATTAGAAACTACTATCTCTACTTTGATCTCAACAATGCTTCTTGACCATTTCCAAAGTATCTCAACAACTGCGAAGAAATATACCTTTAAGGATTCCCAATTTACCTGAAATAACATGTTTATCTTAAATTCATGTAGATTTTATATTCAATTCCATAATCACCCATAATCCTTTTTGTGAAAAAAAGTTCTTCAACAAGGTAATTAGGCTGAACTGAGGCTCCAGGCCTACTCTATTGACAGAGATTCTCAACCACAACACACATCAGAATAATTCATGGTGCTCATCAAAAACACAGATACACCAGCACCATTTCCAGATACTCTGATTCAGGACCTGCAGGTGAGTCAATGAACCTGAACTTTTAAAAAACTACCACGTAATTCTGATGGCAGTCCATAATCAAAACTTAAGAAAGACTGCCCAGCAGTTATCTAATATACCTTCAGGGGCATAAATACTCTAATTTCAGAAATCCAGAATCTAATAACTCTTATAGTCCTGTTTAATGCATAATTTCCACTTCTCTGCTAACAGTAAAAGGACTTACAAATTCTCCAACTGCTAACTTTCAACCATCCTCTTGACTTTTCCTTTCCTGATTCAAATTCAGTTTGGGGACATTTTATTTTAGAAATAAATTCACAGTTGCCTTAACCACTGGGGATCTTTACTGAAATGTCCCATTTTTTTCTCATTGTTCCTTTGATGGAATAAAAAATATTCACAGGCTTAAATAAGCTATCTTCTTTTCTCAAAAGAGCAGTTAAATTTCTATTTTCCTGTTTCATTTTCTCATCTTCCTCTATTTTGGATGAAAGATCTCTGTCCCAAGCAGCCTTTAGTTAGATTATTCTAAAACTACTTAAAAGAACACACTTAAATACCCTGATTTCCTGATTAATCAAGTCAACCTTCCAACCATTCCCTAATCTTTCGTTTACCTTGAAACTAATAGAAATTAAATCCTTACATTTGTAAAACATTTTACATTTGATCATATCCAGCTGACATCACAACCAATTTAAGTACTTACTGTTCATTCCTAGAACATAGATTTTTGAGTTACTATATGTTTTTTCTAGAAACTAGTAATAATTCATGTACTTCTTGATGCGCAGTAAAAATGAGAAATATCTTCACCTACCTGTTCATAACCATTGGTGGCATGCCCATATTGTTTTGTGCCATTACTTTATTTATGCCTTTAAGGGCCACCATTTTGGCTTTCATTATAGGATCTGTAATTGCATCAAAATCTAAAGAAAAAATATTTTAAAGTTACTTATTTCATAGTACTTGGTTCAAGTAACACTAAGAGGAAATTTAACTATCACAAACGTCATGTAATTTATAGACTCTTATTCCTTATAATAATCGCCATTATAGGTTTCTCTACTAGGTAAAGAATTATGAGATAGTAAAAACCTCATCCTGAATCTAATCTCATCTCCCTAATCCATACTTGCATAACGCTTGCATACCTCAGTTGTGCAAAAATCAGAGCAAGAAGCTTGCCACATTTAAGGGAGACAGTAGCAATGATATAAAGCAATGCAATTCCTTTCCACCCAAAATTTTCCAATGCTAATCAGAATGGCTTCTTCAGTAATGCAACATCATAAACAAGCAATTGCCATTGTCTCCAATACTAAGGAATTCTACTAAACCTAGTTATCACTTTTTAAAGGAAAAATGTACCTATTTCTTGAGGGTATACCTTTGCAATAAGGATAGGCTACTGAAAAAAAGACCTCTTTGCATACAGATGAAAAAGAAATGCCCCCCATGATAAAATTGGTAATGCCTATAGGACAGAACGTCAGTTTTCCTGTTTAGAAGAAAGCATTCCTTTGACACGTGCGCTTTGACTGCAAATTCTTACTATTGGAGGCACGCCGGTATTTTAATTGCATTGCTATTTTATGTTTTTTTTTTCCAAATTAATAAGGTACTGGATACAAGTTAAAGAGCTTTATATGAAAAATTTTGCCAAGCATTTGTCTAAAGTACACCAAAGACAGCAAGATGTTTGTTTCTATCATGACTTCTTTAAATTCATCTTTCAATGACTCTGAAAATATGTGGTAATAATGGTTAGAGGGAACTAAAGGGGACGAGTCTGATTTCTGTTAAACAATACCGTAAGTAATAGAAGTGAGAAGGTCTGAAACTCAGAGCTTTGAATCTCTTGATCCCTGGGAGGACTTTAAAACTCTCAATTGCTTTCATTTTCAAGCTGAATGAGGAACAAAAATATGACCCTCATTGCTCTGGTCCACATGTGATTTTAATACCGAAATCCTGGAAGCTTACTGCATGCCACCCTAAAGCCCACAGCAATTATTGAAATCCAAGGGAATTCCTACCGATATTAGGGAAGAATGGCTCTGACCGCTGACGAATCATGGCTTGCATCTGTCTCTGCTGTTGCTGTTCTTGTCTCTCCTGATCCAGAAGATCCTGTAGAAGTAGAGGCTGTTCCTCTAGAAGGAGGGGCCTCTCTCTATTCTGCTGGGCTAATGTTTGAGGGATCATTAGCTGCTGGGGTCCAGAAATGCCACTGGTACCAGCCTGGTTTGTTAGAGGCACAGTTTGATTTGTAGGTTTTCCTGTCCCAAAACCGTGATTAACTGCTGACTGCCCCTGGATGAATCCTGGATTTACCTGCACACCCTGAGGAAAAGTATGGTTTACTCTAGAGACTACTGCCACACTAGAATTCACGGTATTATCCAAAACGTGACCAGGCGGTGTCATCAAAGGAGGTGGCAAACCCGACACGTGACTGGATGGTGAGGCTGGCAATGCTGGTGGTGGAGATCCCAATGGCCTAATGTCTGCATTATCGGATTTTTCATGAGCAAGTAAACTTGAGAGAACTGGAGTTGCTCCAGTTATGCCACAGGAGTTTATTACATCTTCAGTGGGCACCTGAGCAGAGCCACGAACACCACTGGTGCTGGAACCAGCAGTTTCTCGATTAGTTCTTGTCTCCAGTAAATCTGTACCGCAGGACTGCAAGGAAGCCTTCTCTCCATCGGTTACGTCTGTGGGAGCAGAGGCCTGTGAGCGGGGAGTGTCAACGTCATCCTTACTCTCATCACTTTTCTCACTTCCGCACTTGGTTTCCCCTTTAGAATCTGGAGACAGTACTTCTGTTTTTATCTCGCTGGTACCCGCGGATTTTTTCCATGGAGAATGTTTATCAGGAGGAACTACAGTTTTGTCCTCTCGCTCCTTTTTTTTGGGTTCAATAGATACACACTGATTATCTATCTTATCATCAATCGGAACATTAAGGTCTAGTTCCTCATTAAACATGCTTTTCTTATCTCCTAGGTCAAGTTCTGGATCTGTATATGCAATGAGATCAAATTCTCCCGACTTTAAGAGGTCATCCAGGTTGGGATCATTAGTTTCCAAATTACCTAAAGTATCCAATTCATCTCCCTTGCCATCCTCTGTATCTAGATTTAAATTTTCCAGATCTTCATCATCCAAGTCTTTGACTTCAACCCCCTCAAGATCTTTAACATCTAGTTCCTTTACAGATGGGTCATCAGAATCAAGTTTTTCTTCAAGACCATCAGAAGATTGGGTGGTTATCTGTAAATTATCAGATGTTGTTTCAGCTGGTGTAGATGTTGACAAAGAGGCCTCTGAAAATTCACCTCCTAAGGGATGGCTTAGAGACCTCATGACCATAGAAGATGAATGAGCAGGATGACCTTGGTCTTGCTGAGATGGTGGCACTTGTTCCAAACTTGGATGCAAAGGTAGCTGAGTTGGTAGACCTTGAGAAGGTCGTCTCAAAGACTCTGTGTGTCTAGGGCCTGGAAAGTCGGGCCGGGGAATGAAGTTTCCATGTCTCGGATGAGAAGGTCCCTCTATAACGCTGCCGGGAGAAGCAGTGAAGGGCAGCCGTGGCCTTCCATCAGGGGCCCGATGCCTCAATTCAATAAATGCTTGGCCCAGTATGTTATGCTGCTGAACCGTCAGACTCTGTGGTGGAAAATGCTGAGGAAGGCCAACTGGATTATTCATTTGTGAGTTATTTAAAGGCCTCGGCATATCTACAGATATTGATCTTCTCAGTTGCGGAGGAACCCCAGATCCTTGTATTTGTTGAGGAGGTACAAGGAAGCGTTCCTGACTTGACAGGGTACCATGACTACCCCCTGGAAATCCAAATCTAAAAAAAAAGCAGATCATTAATATTAAGAATCATGTTGATTTTAGAGTTAGGTTGAAAAAGGAAGAGCCTGAGGTTAAACTCATATACAAAATTAACATTGCCAAATACAACAACTTAGCAAAACAAAATTATCACCATTAGAAAGCACTTACAAAGTATCTATATGCAAGTAATTTTTACTAAGTACCCTATAATGCTCACCATATCTGAGCTCTAAAGGCATATAATCTAAGACAACATAAACTAACTGCCAATAAGCAGATGGAATCAAATGTTTAGAAATAAGCATAATACTACTGGAGTTGAGTAACAGTCTCTTTTTTCTTTATTTAAGAAGGCTATAAGGGAAGGCTGATATGGGGTGGATGCTTGAAGAAAGCAGGTGGTCTACCGAAGTATACTAGAGAGACTTCTAGGTCTCTGTCCTTGAGAAGACAAAGTCACAGGTATAATGACTGGATAGACTAATTTATTTGCTTAAAAGGAATGAGGAAAGGAAGCAGTAAGAGATAAAGAATGCCAGGCATCTCTTGTAAAAACTTAGATGAATAAATTATAAGACTATTTTTATTATTTATACTGTACCTCATTCTAGAAAGAATTAAAGGTAATTTATAAATAAATATAAAACAGAACAGGCATAAATTATAATTGAGGAAGAAAAAAGGAAAATCAAGTTAAGACTATAACATAGAGATAGGTATTAGACTAAAAAAACATACATGACAAAACCAAAGCACATCCTAAAGAACTCTCTATTATAACATGTTTGGCTTTGACCCTTGTACCAGCCATTTCACACAAAAAAATAAACAAATAATACCACTAACTTGACAACCCTCTCTCATCAAGAAAAGCTCCTAGAGCAAAACACCCCAACAATCTGGAAATCTCCACATTTACTATGTAAATTAAAATGGAAAATTTGGGGCGAGGACAATATTCACTCATCACATCACAGAAAGCTTTCACAGAATGTGGCAGTTACATGCCAGAGATCTGACTGGTTGATAAACTACTTCCCTGTGGCTGCAATGTAAACCGAATACAGTCAATACTGAATGACAGAGGGAAGGTTTCAAAGAGTCTGTAGAATTCTCAGAGGTTAAAAAAGAAAAATCCATGACCTCTCATAAGTGGAAAATAACACTGATTATATCTCAAAGGAATCAAAAAGTAAAAAGCACTAACAGTGTCTTAAGATGAGCACTGGGTGTTACACACAAACAACGAATCATGGAACACTACATCAAAAACTAATGAAGTACCGTATGGTGACTAACATAATTAATTAATTTTATATATATATATATATATATATATATATAAATAAATAAATATAAATATAAATAAATAAATAGATAGATAGAGTAACTTCATTTTTCTATTCCCTTCCACCAGTTTAAATCTGGTGTGAAATTAAAAGCATTACCTAAATCCATGAGGTCTCATCCCCATACCAGTAACGTCAGGAGGATAGGGTCCACGTGGATCTTTCGGGAAAACTGTGTATCTAGGTCCTAGAGGAGGGACAACGGGCGATCTGATGTTCCCGGGATAGGGGGGTGGAGGCCTGCTAAAGGCCTGGCCAATGCCCTCGGGTTGCCAGTGTTGCAGGGGGGCCCCGTGAGGCACCACCGCTGGATCCTGCGACCCCTTCTCCTGCCGACCTGCCATCTTCTTCTGCTGCTGCTGCTGAAGAATGATTTCCCGTAACTTCTGCCGCTGGATGGAAAGAAACGAAAACCATGGGGACTTCTGATAATGAGCTAATGGCTTTTTAAGTCTGAATACTTTGATCATGTGACTATGGTAATGCTTAAAATATCTCAATGTTTACAAGTTTGATAACACCAGTTACACTTAACTATTCAGCAGGTTATAAAAACAAAGTAATAATTTGGGTCCTTTTCCTTGCCACACAAGAATCATAAAATTGAAAGTTTTCATACTGAAGAATTCCCAAATTCATGAAGATCAAAAATGAGACACAGAATAAAATCAAATTCAATTGTATTAATTTTACCAATTTCGTTTTTCTTCTTTGCAGTATGACAAATTCTACAGAATAAGATAAACTTTAACATCTCTGTAGAAATTACTGTTTGATGAAATGAACAGCATTCTCAAATAATACGTTTAAAACATCCATGAAGATACGATGTGTTTTTACCTGTCTCAATTTCTCTGTATCTGCTTGTGACATATTTACGGTATTCTGTGTATCAGTGACTCCTGAAGTTGGTACAGGTCCAGGAAGATGGGAGACACCGGAAAACTGTTGGTTCTGAGAACTCATTGGAGAATTTGAAGGTGCACTGAAGCTCCCTTCTGATCCAGGCCTTGACTGATCAACAATATCATGAGCAACCTGACTTGTTCCAAAAGAGTCAGACTGAGATCTCGGAGTCATTGGAGGCTGATCATAGGGATCACGAGAAGCAGATGGGGAGACTCGGCTAAACGTGTCTGAAATACCAGGTCCAGGTGGCCGAGGCGTTTGGGAACATGCGTCAGGTGGCCTTATCAATGGGCCAGATAAAGCTGCTCCTCGACTTTGTGCTGCTTGCAGGAAAGGATCCTGATTTGGCATGAGGACTGGTCTTGTCACTGAGGACCTAGTAAAACCCTCCGAAATCCTTGGCCTTGGTGTTGCTGGTGGCTGAGAGTAAGGAACAGAAATTCCAGGTCTTGGTGTTCCAGGGGGATGGGCATATGGATCCGAATGCCTCTGATTAGTGGCAGAGGTAACAAACAAGTCTGCCTGTGTAGACGGCCTTGGGGTTGGTGGCTGCTGACTATAAGGATCAATCGTGGTGGGCCGGGGAGTTCCAGGAGGTTGAGAGTAAGGGTCTGGATTGGAGCGAGATGTGCCTGAGGGTTGGGAATAAGAATCTACAATAGGTCGTGGAGTTCCTGGGGGTTGGGAATATGGGTCCTGAGATGTTGGCCTTGATATGGTTCCAGGCTGGGAAAAAGCCCTTGAAGGATGGGCAAAAGATTCATTCATTGCTGGATGTGGGGTTAGGGGAGGCTGGCTATATGGGTCACTTGACTGGTTATGAGAAAAGTTATCTACAGGTCTTGGTGTCAAAGCAGGCCTTTCATAAGGATCAATAGACAATCGCCTTGGTGGTTGTGACACTGATCCATAGGGATCCTGGGAAGATGGAGGGGGCTGCATTGGAGTCTTAAAAGGTCCAGGACCACCATCTAGAGGGGCAGGTGTCAACAAAGGTCGTGTGTATGGGTCAGGTATCCGTTGTCTTTGAAACACATCTGTCCTAGGAGATGGTTTAGTAAAGTGATCATTGGTTCCAGCTGCTAGGGGACCTTTTGCAGTTTGTTCGGAAACTACAGGAGACCGGGGAAGGCCCAAGGGTTTAGGAAACTGATCTGTCATCACAGGTCTAGGTGTGTCTGGAGGCTTTGCATAGGGGTCACTATTTGTTGTGGAGGAAGAACATAAATCTCTGACTGGGGACGGCCTATTAGCTGTTGTTTCACTCATCTGAGCCGGCCTAGATACTGAAGGTGGCGGGGCACAGCTGTCCGCCAGTGCAGCAGAATTTCTTCTGGAAAAACTATGGCCCCCAGGAGGTGGTCTTGGGGTACCAACCATTTTCGCGTAAGGATCCACTGGAGATGGAGGTCGGGCGTGAGAAGATCCCGGCGAGAACACCTGCGGGGAGGCTGGCTGACAAGCCTGAGACTGTGGCAGGCCCTCCTGGACAGGCACGCGGGACGGGGCTGCCGCAGGAGGGGGAGCCTGTGGTTTTAGGAACACGTCATCTGACGACGCAGAGGTGGGGGTGCTGGGTAGCTGCTTTGCAAACAGGTCTTTATGGAAGGACTGTGCAGGAGACACATTCCCATTGCCCGGCTGAGGAGTCAGGGGGCTCTGCATCCCACTACTGGGTGTGTCCGAGCCGGGCTGGGCCAGGAGAGGCTGGGCCCCGAACTGCTGCTGCTGTTGTTGCTCATTCTTGACCTGCTCAAGTTTCTGTGTGGCTTCAATTTTGGCCTGCTGCTTACTTTTCTGACGCATTTGCTGTGAAACAGGGAAGAAAAAGCAATCACATGGTCGAGAAAAAGAATGTGATGGTCATGGGAGGAAAAAAGCGACAGAAAATTAATTTGTTTGATGTCATCAGTTATCAGATTGTGCCCATATTAGAGTATAAGCTCCTGGAGAGGAGACATGATTGTTCGTCACAATGCACCTCACTTGTGCCAGCAGTACCTTGTCTGTGCTGTTCCAGTGAACGTCCCAAATCAACTTAAGTATAGTTTACTGAGAAAGGGAAGTCTATTTTTAATCTCGTTTTTATATTCTAGTAAGAACTAGCTTCTGAAACAATGACATGAACTGCTCTCCTCTCAAAAAGTAAAAATGCAATTTAAAAGCAAATTATTAAAAAAAAAAAAAACACATACCTGTCTAAATTTCCATTCCTGTTCATGTTCTGATTCTCTTTGCTTTAATGGATCTTTAAAAAGGTCCGAGTCAATGCGAGAACCGGGATCGATGCTGTCCTGCTGTTGCTGTCTCTTCAGGGGGTCATTTGACATCTGTACTTTATTAATGCGTAAAGCAGCTCTGTTATCTCTGGCTTTTTGCTTTGAAAAAAGGAGAAGAAAGTTATCTCCCGGTAGATGTAACATGTTTCAAGAAACAAAACAAAGTAAAACTATGATAAACTTTTTATGAAAAAGTTGGGTTAAATAGTCAAAAAGAGCTTCCGGACTCTCGTGTGAAAGCCTCTGGACACGAGCCCATCTTCTCCCGTTTTTAATACATGTCACCTCAGTGGAGGATGGGCTTCCACCTCTCTGTCTGTACCAGGCTACAGAACCCAGTAATCTACTACTTTCAATCCTAATCTTCATAAAATTAAAAAATGGGAAAATTACCCTCTCCCCTAATTGAGAGAAAAGGAAAATATCAAATCAATCCTCTAAATCTAAAATCTGGAATTTGAAGCTTAGCATTAAAGAAAACTGAGAAACAACTAAAAATATCCTGCCTTTACCTTACTACAGTCAAGCTGAAACAAAAACAAGGCATTATCAACACATCAAAAACATTATTTTGCTTTACCCACGCAATCATTACATCTGACATATATGCACTGAAAGCCATGCACTGAAGGCCAAGTCAGAAACGCATGTTTTTCAAAACTATACTGTCCATTTAATACGCTTTAAAATGGAAGCAAGGATTTGGATCCAGCTGACAATCTTAATTTGGCTTTTTGGGAGAAAATAATTCACCATCTAAACGGTAACTCTTATTATAAAATATCCTGACTATTCCTCACAAAATTCATGTTTCAAAAGCTCTGTAAAGGCATCTAGGTACGTCTCTTTCAAGATACACAAAGATTCTTCACTAAACCTAACACAAAAAGAGCTTATTATCGAAGAAACTGAGGCACACTAATGCACCCTCAAAAATCAGTAGTCTTTTGAAGAGATAAAAGAATTTTAAAGTGAAATGAGGGGTGCCTGGGTGGCTCAGGTGGTTAAGCATCTGCCTTTGGCCAGGTCATGATCTCAGGGTCCTGGGATTGAGCCCTGCGACCAGCTCCCCGCCGAGCGGGGAGTCTGCTTTGTCCCTCTGTGTGCACTCTCCCTCTCTCAAATAAATAAATGAAATCTTTTTTTTAAAAAGAGTGAAATGAATTAAACATGCTCCTGAAATAACTGATTTCAATCTTCAATATCCTGGTTCTATTAACTAGTTTATGAAAACACCACATTCTGCCTTAAGACATAATGAATTAGGAAATCACTATAAAAACAAAATTGTTTATTAGCTGTGCAAGTATTAATATGTGTTTTGTGCAATGGTAAATCTTTTTATTAACCTAAGACAATAAAAATAAGGTTTAGGTATTGTGTTTAAGAGTATGATACATGGGAGTTTTGGTAAATACCACGTAAGGCGCTCTTTCCTGTGAGCTCGCTTTTCTCCACAGCTTGGCAATCTGCTTCACTCTAGTAGCCCAGTCTGCAACACAAAAGCATGGTGCACACATTTACAGAGCTGAGTCAGGATACATTGCCACATGGTGCTGACAGCTCAACTTAGTCTGGCTGTGTTCTCATAAAATGAGTAGCCCTAAGTTCAGTTCTTTGTATACCATAAAATCCCAGGCACACAGTAGGCCAAACAAATATTTGCCGAATGAAGTATTGCCTTATTAACCATCTCACTTGTAGAGTGGGGAAGCTTTATTTTTTTTATTTTATTATGTTATGTTAATCACCATACATTACATCATTAGTTTTTGATGTAGAGTGGGGAAGCTTTTAAATCAAAGGGGCCAGCAGCCAAAATAAAGTTAAGCCAAACATAACAAGTTCCCTCAACCATGTAAGATGCTACCAGAACCAAAGCTAAGAGTTTTGTAAAACATCTGTACTCAAGAGAAGTCTATCAACCTGACCAAAAAAAGTAATAATTATAAATAAGCATCTCACCAGCATTTGTACACAACAAAGATATGGAAAACTAACAATTTCAAGCCATTTCCATGAAATTCACAGCCTCAGGATAGTAAACAAAATGAAATATGGGTGAAATCAACAATGATAAATGTAGAAATGATTTAGCCATTAAAAAAAAAAAAAGCTTCAAGACAGCCAATGGAAATGGAAATGAAAATGGTGACATATGAACAGCCTTAACATGGTATCTCAGGAGGTTCTAGAATCACACAGTAAAATTACTAAAGAAAATCACTTAAAAAAAAATCATAGCTCTACTCTGAGGATAACTTATATTGATACAAAGTGACTTAATAGAGCCAGATATGCTCATCTGTAAACAGCAAATAAAAGTGGGATAAAACAGTATTTGAAGAGTATGTACATTCCTTTAACAGATGACCCTGTACTAAACCACTAATTTTTATTGTTGGATAAGGTAGCATTTATTTCTATATATAATGAATAAAGTATCACAAAGAGGCACCTAAGAGACAGGTGTCATCTGTAAGAAAATCTACTTCTGGGTAACGCCCTGGTAATTTAAAAGAGGTATGTGCTGATAGCAGGGAAACTACTATAAGACAGAGTGTGAATGACCTTTTCCGTCCTGGTCTGTCTGGCCACGTAAACTCACCATAATTAACCAATGTTTGGTTACAAATATTCTATAAATGACATTCCACTAATCCAAATAGTTCATCCTCTGGTTAATCAGAATTTTCAAAAACGGTGCCATTACATCATCTGACTTTTTCAAACAGACTGGACAGATGGGGAGTAGGGGAAATACTGTTGAGTTAGCTTGGTTGGGAACAGACTCCTAGAATGGAGGCTGATTTAGCCTAACAATACTTGTGACTAAATGTTAAGTTTCTGTTCTAGGAATTTTTCTTTTTTTTTTTTTTTTTTTTGCAGAGTTACACATGTAACCCAACACTGAGTTCCACATTTAGGAAGACTGCTAAGAGCTGGAAAATAGATTATTTCATTAACTGAAATTAACTTTTAGGAAATATAGAAATGGATACGGAGTCTAGGACTGAGAAAATGCGAGACGTTTCCAGACACCTACGGAACCTTCACACTGTAGGCAGTCATGTGTACCCTTCACCAGACAAAATTTAGTGCTGATGCATGGACTTTCTACTATCGTAACAAAATAACAAACAGGTATTACATATGCAGGAAAGCTGGTAACAGACAGCAATACAATATCCGTGAATTACCAGGGAATTCTTCCTTTAGGCTGGGGAAATTAATGTTTGTGTAGAGAACCGGGGCTACTGTTGCCATTTCACCCAGAGCCTCCTCCTTCTCCCACTTCAGTGTACTTCTCTGGGCGTTTGACATTGTATCGTTTTCTCCTTCCCCCGTGGGAGTCGATGATGTCCAAGAGCTGTTAGGATCACTTGCCATTGGATTAAATGCTGGATTTTTATCCCTGGGAAATAATAAACAACTTGACTTCATACACATAAAATTACTTTCTAAATACAACAGTCAAGTACAATTTCATTAAGACCTCTTCTTATTACAAAGTAGCTAAAATGTTAGATAATTTTTAGCCAAAATCCCAATATATGTAACATACACTTATATAGTGCACAGCAACTTAAAACAGACCAATTAACATTCATATAATAAAAATTAGTGTAACTTAAGTTTCCATGGAAAATGAAGCCTATGCTACCTGGCATCAGTGTAAGGAGATTGTGCTATGGCAGAAAAAGCTCCCAATCCATTTCCAGGAGGCAAAGAATTGTGCGGGAGAGGAGGACTGGGTCCGATGAGGCCGTTCATGAGTGGTATCCGGGAAAAAACATCTTTAAAGAAGAAAACAATTCAGTCTGCATATTATTCATAATTAATAAAAAAGCAGCTTATTTATAAGTAATATTTCTAAATAAAAATTTCTAGCACTCTTTAAAAGTAGAATTTTTATTCCAATATTAAACTAAAATACTGCATAAAGAGCAATTTTTGGTTATGATATTTTGCAATATGGTCTCTGTAATTCTCTCTACTTCATCATGGTATACTGCAGATAGCATGTGTTTTGGAGTCTGATAGCCCTGGGCTTGAAGCTTAATTTCTGCTACCTGTTAGCAGAGAGTCAATTACTATTTTTTCTTTTTGAAGATTTTATTTATTTGTTTCACGGGGGGGGGGGGAACACAAGCAGGGGGGGTGGGAGAGGGAGAAGCAGGCTTCCCGCCGAGCAGAGAGCTCAATGCGGGGCTCAATCCCAGGACCCTGGGATCATGACCTGAGCCGAAGGCAGACGCTTAACGACTGAGCCACCCAGGCGCCCGTCAATTACTGTTTCTATAACATGAAGGTACTCTGTAATGTTACTGACACAACGTGCATGGAGTTCTCAGCATAGTGCCTGGCATGCAGTGAGCTATTCAATACGTATTAGCTCCACAAAAAGAATAATTCTCACAGCAAATGCTAGTACATTTTATCAAATATTCTTTCTCTTCTTCATTCAAAATTTAAGAACAGATGGTTCTTTACATTTTACTCTTGTTGCTATTAATACAAAAAACTATCCATGACTCTTAAATTGGTACATGGTCTAAAATTGTTTGGAACAAACAATATTTCATCTACCATATCCAATAGATGATTATTGTTAAAAATACATACATTCTGTTTTGGGCCTAGTTTTCATTACTGTGCTTACAGTTTCAGTGCCCCCCCCCACCCCATTTTAACTCTCATTCCAGCTTATTCACAAGCTTCAAATCCCTGATCGTCGTCTTTCTAAACAGCCATTAGTCAAACCAAACAAGACCACCTTGTGCTTCCCCTAACTCTCCTCAAGCTTATAACTCCAACCTTGATTATTAAGATTTTCTACTGGTCTGAACTATTGAGGAACAGCCAACTGTCCTTATCTGCACAGTTTTCTGCACCTTCGAAAACCTCCTCCCAATTTAGAGACCTACTCTGAAGTAATAAATGCATGGCCTCTGTTGCAACACCCAGAACAACACTAGGAGACCACATGCACATCACCAATCAATGATACAAATGGAAATACAGTTACAGAGGTGGCTAATACTTGGCCCAATTGGTGTAATGACAGAGAACTCCTAACAATGACTTTGCCATGCCATTAGAAAAAAGAATAACCAGCAGCAGTGTCTCACCCACATATTTTGTACTGCATGCTGTCCTATCACCTAAACCAGATCCTCTAACTGGAACAACTGAGTACAGACAGCTCCAGTTCCTATGTGAGGATACTGGGGCTGATTACCAGGAGGTCTGTTTTCAGGATGTTGTCTCAAGGACTTCTAAGAGCTATCTGACTTCCAAGTTAAGGCTTATTCTACTAAATGGCAGAGCTGGGCCCAATGGATCAGAATACTACAGTGACAAGTGTCTCAGGACATCTACGCTCACTTCAAGGATGAGATGAGGAAGCAACATTTCTGCTTTTCTTCCAAGTAGAATGTTACCTCTATTTTCAATCTCAATGGAAAGTAGGTTCCATTAAGGGATATGAGGTTTGACTGAAAAATGTCAAATGTCTTTCATGTAATTAAGACAAACAAAAGCTGCTTTTTTGGTAATGACAATGTGATCCACATCCACACTATCTTAACCACAACATGACCATATCAAAACCGTTCATAATAATAGCTTATTAAGCTCTTCACTATATGCCAGGCACCGTTCTGAAAGCTTTACATGTACTAACTCTTTGATCCTCACAACCACCTAGGAAATGGGTTATTACATGTAGCTCCTTTGAAGCAAAGACCCAGAGGTTAAATCACTTGTGAAGGACACAGAAGTAAATGTAAAGCATTTTTCCTTTATTACTATTTTAATTAAGGAGTGGTGTCTCTGTCTGTCTCTCATCTACCAGACCAACTCAACCTGATGTTACCAGCTTATAAAAGTAATCTTTTTCAAGGCGTGAATCACAGTAATGATAGAAAAGTTACTTCACTTAACCTTCAGCTAAAGTGATTTCAAGTTACTCTATCTCAATCTTGAAATTCCCCTTCTCTTCTTTCTGACTTTCTGTATTACTGTTGACATTACATTCTGGCATCCTTCCCTAACCACTCTTACTGAAGTTACTCAATGGAAGATTTCCAACAATCTTACTGTCCAATGAAACATCTTTCAAGCACTCATCCTACCTGACTTTATAACCTATCTATCTCTAAGGCCCTATGCGTCTCATGCAGTCTTCATCACTGTTTTTTCACTTTCACCTAACCCTTAAGAAGGAAAAAGGAACATATAATTGCGTATCTAATATAAACCAGTGAGTTAAGCATATAACTCATCACCATTTAATTAAAGAGCTCTTCAAGATTCTACACAGCGGTGTGCTCTCTTAAGAAATCCCACCCTTCCCACAACTCCGACTAGTGCCACCCCACAGGCAATTTCTCAATTTTCACCTACATATAGCCTTGAACAACTGCAAGTAAGCCTGCCTGTAAGTCAGAACAATGTATATGTCCCATTTCTAACAAACTAACAATGGTCTAAAACTAAATGTTACACTTCCGCTGCCCTCTAACACACACACACACACACACACACACTCCTCTCTGTTCCGTGTTTCTAGTTTACAGCCTGATTACCTGTAGGCAAGCCGGGCTCACATACAGTCTAATTCACTTTGTGGCTCACTTTTCCTTGTACCTTACAGCCATTCAATAGCAGAGTCCTATGTATTCTAACATCACTGTCTCTCATATCCATTGCTTCTTTCACTTAGCACTGCAGATATATTTACAGGCATGGAACCCGAACTTTCACTTAGTCCCAACCACAATAAACTCATTAGTACAACCCTTGTTGTCTCAAATTCATCTCCAGGACTGACAGCAGTGCGACCCTGCCAAAATGTGTAACCCGTCAGGTCATTTCACTGGTGTGAGATCTTGGATAGCTCTAAGCAAAAAACCTGCAGAAGAAAAGGCCAACTGCCACTGTCTATTTTCACAGCCATTTACATACAATCTCGACCCAATGTGCATTTTCTACTTTTGCTCCTTAAACACTACCCACTTACTCTTCTCCTTTGCTCTGGAAAATGTTCAAGTTGCCATTATTGAATATCTATGTGCCACTGTGTATGTGGCCTGATCACGTTTTGTCCTTAAGAATTATTATTCTTTGAAACATGACTTGAAATCTTAATGACTCTCAAGGTTCTACCTGAACCATGGTCAACTACGATATAAATTAGCTATATACCTGAAAGTCTACAATAGTAGGATTATAAACCCCTTTGGGTTAGCAGCCTCACTCATCTTTGTTATTACATATAAGCATCTAACAAAACAAAGGCTTCCCTTCAAAACCTTTCAAAACTGAGCGTACACTGTGAAAGGATTTAAATAATGATAGTAAGATTGTTTATTAAAAAACATATCTTGGGGCACCTGGGTGGTGCAATCGGTTGAGCCTCTGCCTGATTTCGTCTTGGGTCCTGATCTCAGGGTTGTTGAGATCAAGTCTTTCATCAGGCTCCGCACTGGGCATGGAGCCTGCTTAAGATTCTCTCTCTCTCCCTCTGCCCTTCCTCTCTTTCTCTCACTTGCTCTCTAAAATAAATAAATCTTTTTAAAAAATTGAATCTTTCGGGTGCCTGGGTGGCTCAGTTAAGCATCCGATTCTTGATTTCAGCTCAGGTCATGATCTCAGGGTCATGAAAATGAGCCCCACATCGGGCTATGCGCTGGGTGTGCAGGCTGCTTAAGATTCTCTCTCTCTCTCCCCTTCCCTCTGCTCCTACCCTAACCCCCTGCCCGTGCACGCTCTCTCTCTCTCAAAAAAAAAAAAAAAAAAAAGGCATCTTTAACTGATTTGATTTCTAAAATACATACTTTCCATTTCAGAAAACATGAAGATAGGGGTTTTTTTTAAATATGTTGAGAAATACTAAAGCGTTGCATTCTTAATCATTAAGAAAACATATGGGAACAATTAAGACAAGCACTACTTATGATGAGTCTGTTTTATCCAAATGTAAATCACATGTTTAGTCTAGCAAAAATCAAGGTAAATTTATGTTTAGAGGCTAAACTGGCAGAAACGAAAATATTTTAATTATGTGCATTATGACATTTTTCATGTATACATAAAACTGATAGTAAAGATAACGTTAAATTATTTGCATATTTCAGCGCTTATACAAAAACAGTGTAAGGGTTTATAAAAGTATCATTAAATTACTTAATTCAGTATATCATCATGAAGCAGTGACAACAGGATGTAGAGATATGACCCTACGCTCAAATCGCCAAAGACCCACACCACCCCAGAGGACTCCAACCACCCCACGGGAGAGTCCCACACCTGCGGCGCTGTCTCCTCACCTACCTCCACAAAATTTAAGTCTAGGTTGTCCAATCTCAGCTCTCCGGAAACAGAGAGAAATTAAAGCCTTAAACTTATCTAGCAACTAATTACGAGTAGGTAGAAGAAAACTGATCAAACAAAGAAGGCAGATTTCCACAAAATCGGAGATTTGAAGTTGACAGTGGAGAAAGGTGGCAGATTTACTCTGAAAGGATGTGCTGTGCACACACTCCGTGGCAGAGGAGACAGTGATGGGGAGGGCATGACCCTAGCCTTCAAGGGCCTCACAACCTGAAGGAAAAACGGTAACTACCCCAGGAGGCATCTGTGTTTGTGCTACCTGCCGCAATGGAAAGACAGGGCTGGGTGTGGGGGTGACGATCCACTAACTCAGGAAACAGAAGGGAAGCTGAGACCAGGCAGTCAGGCATGTGTGCGTGGGCGGGGGGGGGGGGGGTGTCATTCTCCAAACGTGTGTGCAGGAAGGGCTGAGTGAAGGGGAGCCAGACTGGTGAAGGGCAGCAGGCAGGCACTGTTCTCCCCACTGCCAGTAAAAAGAGCAAAAGAATTCTGGTGACAAAGGATCACAGAGGGCTGGGGAAGTTCATGGAGATAGGTGAATGAGATAAATTCAGATTAAGTATTGTTCCACTGCCATAAAAGAGGGTTTTCTCCTATCAGTTTGTATACACTGTTTCTAAGGGACAAGGCTGATTTGCTTTAGCGAAGGCACATACGCTGCATGAGTGTACTTACAAAACTCTTCTAGAGGTGACATACCCTGACTGTGTACGGGCACCAGCTGAGGCGCTGGAGGCGGGGGAGGCTGTGGTAACGCAGCCGGCTGAGCGGTCGCAGGACTAAGCACAGCAGTGAACAAGTCTTCGACATCCTTCCCTCCAAGCTCTGTGAGACAGAGTTACAGTGATAGTTGGATTAAAATAAAAGACTATCAGAGCCAAAGTATATGGAATGCCATTTTCATAAACTCGAAATACAGAACACAAATACCTGGAATTTTATATAGCTTTCCAAGAATTGCTCCTAGGATAAAATAAAGAAACACAAATATTAACAACTACCATTTCAACGTACTGACACAAAATAGCATTTGACACAGAAATGATCAGAAGAGAAGTTAAATTATAAAGAAGCATGCAGAAATCTTTGAAAATCATATTTACTCATGTCTTTTAGAAAGCCTAGATGTAGGGCAAATATTTTACCATCTGTGACCATTTTGTCTAGCTCAGGACTGAGGATTCCATCTAGCTGCTCTTCACTTAATGGTCGTGAACTCGGATTGACACTTGGCTGAGGCAAAGAGGACGGATCATCAGCGACAGGACCGATGTCTACTCCAGCTAGAGGAGCAAAGTAAACAGATTACAAGTGAATTCTGAATATTCAGTAAAATGCACAGCACTATTTACTTTCATTAATACACAACAATATGATCAAAATAGAGCAATGAAAAGTTTGTAATTATAAATTAATCATGGTTTATATCAATTTGAATAGTCAATCAGTAAAAATCAGGCACAATGTATTTGTAAACTTAGGTGCCACTTAAAGTTATATTTTAATTGAAGTAAATACATTTCCTGAGGAACAGAAGAACACACCTGGTTCTAAACTTCCACAAAAAATAAGCACTACATCATTAATATAGGTAATCTATAAGAAGATACGATATACAGGATTTAAGACATAAGTGATTGCTTTAGCTTGGAAAACAGTGGTTTCCAATGTACAGTTCGACTATCACCTATAGTGTGACAAAGGAGGGATAGACTTTCACATAAATTAATGAAATGTTATAAAATTCTCAATGTTTAGTAAACTATCCTTTTGTGAATAATTTCAACTACAGATCATATTTTGGAAATATTCTGTAGTCACAAAACAAGATATAGATTATGTTTATAATGTAACATGGTTTATTTCATACAAATTGGTTTTCAGGCAAAAATCACATTTAAAAGTGGTCTATCATCTACTTTATCATGCTTTCTCAATATTACTACTATTAAAACTAAAATTTAGTCTGCCCTTATATGATCTTGTATTAGGAACTAACTCTATAACATGTGGGTAATATTATAAATTACATATTAAGAAGAATAAAATCATTCACTTAAAAAAAAAAAAGAACTACTGATAAAGTCATCCAAAGCACAGCACAGCTGTACCATGCTTTAGCTGCACGCACAAAGGGAAAAGCAAGTATGGATTAGTGACAAATTAGCGCTATAACAATATGCATGCACCTACAGGTTGTTTCAGCTGAAATCACTATAAAAAAGACTACTTCTAGTCAGCCATCATCCATTGCTCAGTTTCTTACCAAATGGAAAAGGTGAGCTCTCAACCTGGAAAGTGCATAAATCAAGACCTACAAGACCCAAACCAAATAAAATGGATGATTACCACAGGGGTGGGAAGTGAGGAGCAATGCAAACAAAGGAAGAAACAAGATACAGCAAGACTGCAGGGCGACAAGCCTTAAGTTTGATGCAATTAGAAAGACAACAGAAATTAACTCGCTATTTCCTCTCCTAAAGCAGAAAAGCTGAGGTAGATCAAATAAAATGATGAGTTCTTTGACAAAGCCAAAATAAACTTTCTTTTGGTTTCAAAGACTAAACTTGTTAGACACACACACACACACCTCATTGTATCATAAAACAGACACTAGACAAATATAGACATATATACCTGAATGATCAACTGATTTTGCAAGGTCATCTGAAATTATTCCAAGAATGTCATCATCTGTGTTTAAGACTTCAGAAATATCAGCTAAGGGGTCATCAGTCGTACCTAAGCATAGCAAGTATATTTTTAAAGTCTCAATATTGTCCTAGACATTAAGTTCTAAAACACACTCACTCATTCAACCGTTCACTAAACATCTAGACTACAGGAGATGCTGAGTTAAGTGCTAGAATCATAAGATTATGACTTCTAAAATAAGGAATTTTTCAAAGAAAACACACACCAATGTTTTGAATAACAAAACATTAAAAATTAAGACTTTTTGTTTTGTGACTGTTCATTAGTAAAATTAAAATAAAGACCAGTAAGAGAAATAAAGGCAATAAAAGTGAAATAGAATGCTATAAGAAAGCAAAAAAAAAATGCATTAAGAAAGTGGCATCTCTAAAAGTGACATCTAGAAAATAAAATACAGAAGATAAATATCAAAATCAAATGCATTATTTAGAAATTCCTTGTAAAATATAAAGTAGGTACCATCTAGTTAGATGCCCACTTCCAACTTTGATCTTAATAATGATTAATCATTCACTCAACTTATTCAAAAATATTTCGGTATCCACAGAATTATGTCTATGGATTATGTTAACAGGCATTGTTCCAGCCACTGGGAATTCAGAATAACCACAACAAAGTGCATGCCTACTTTGTTTACTTTCTCAGAGAGGTTAGCAAATAAATGATTGCAGTGTTAAGTGCTAGAAAGGTAACAATAAGGACAAAGGATTAAGAATAAGAGGTGGAGATGATAAAGTATTAGATAAAGTCATCAGGGAAGACCTTTTAAAGGACATGACCAAGGATAAATGTAAATGAAATAAGGGAGTAATATGCATAAAGATGGAGAGAACACTCCAGGCAAAGGGAAAAGCAGATGGAAAGACAGGAGCAGTTAGGGTTCTGCCAAGTGTGGTCAGTGTGGTTGACTGCAGTAATGAAGGGAAGGAGTGCCGGAAATAAAAGGCAGCTAAGTGAGATTACGTATGGTTTTATAAGTCGTGGTGAAGACTGAGCTTTACACTGAAATATAAAGCAGCATGGGAACTTGTTGGAAGGCTGATGGCTAGAAGGGATAGGAGTGATATCTGAAAGGGAAAGCGCTGGCTTCCAGGTGTGGAACAGACTGGGGCAGGTGGGCGTGGGGAGTGTTGGCAGCAGGGGAGGCCTGGAGATCAGTCCAGAAGCTGCTGCTGTAGTGTGAGAGGGGGCGACAGCGAGCACTCTGGAGCAGGAGGGAGAGCGGAGGTAAGACATGGTTGACTTTGGGCTACGTTTTGAAGACAGAGACAAATTTGTGGATGTATCCACTGTGCAGTGTGAGATAATAAAGAGTCAAGGAGGACTCCAAAGTTGACTTCTGAACTCATCAGTAAGACAATAGGCTAGCTTTAATAATTATATTAGACACTTAAGAAACATCTGCATTTTTTAATCTATGTCAACTGTGTTTTTACTTGGGGGAGGGGGGAGACAAAATAAAGATCCAGATCAAATACCCCTGTGAGACACAAACAATCTTGTCCCACTAAACGTATACTTCTCAAACAGAATCCATACATAAGAATACTGTAATTTTTCAAACCAAAAACTAATGTAAATTAAGTGCCAAATATCTGTAAAGTTTTTAGAGAAATAAAATTACTTCAAGAGTATATCTCTAGACACTTTAAGGGGAAAAAAAATCTGAATTCTTTCAGGCAGTGTGTGTGTGTGTGTGTGTGTGTGTGTGTGTGTGTGACCAATGGAATTCTACAACATAAATTATAACTACCATTTTTTCAAAAATGTTTTAAAAGAAGAAAGGGATTTTTCTATCTTACCAACAAATCATTAGAACTTATGTGATAGATTATACTGAATGAAATACAACAACAAGCTGCTACTTGTACGTTCCCCGGTTAGAAAGGCCAGAGTAGCTCAGCTGCAGAGAATGTCCCATCTAGCCTGGGGGTTGGAACAGGTGTTCTTCCAGTCCTCCGCATTCTGGCTTCACCACTGAACCATTCTCTGCACCTCTGTGAGTTCATCAATGTTTTTCCTGCCACAATAGGCCTTCTGTCCAACCTCAGTTCTCTTCCTTATAAAAACTCAAGTGCAAATAAGTTCTAGTTAAGTTTTTAAATGGCTAGTCAAAATTTTCACAGTAAGATATCCTTCACAGTAAGATACTGTATGAAGGATCCGTAAGCCTTTTGCTATATATTAACAATATATTGACATGGATAAGAGCAGGTAATAAGTACTTAAAGCAACAGAATTTAAGTAAAAAGTAAAACCATCTGCTAAGATAAACAGAAAGCATGGCCTTTAGATCAGTGTTCTAACTTCCCCGTTGCCAACAATAAGAAAGACTGGACATCTTGCATGTGTGTAAGAGCACATAAGACTGCTTCTAATTATTTTGAGAAGTTGTATGTCAACCTGTATGTCAATCTAGGGTAATGCCAAGTTAATGGAACTGTAATATATCAAAAGTCATCTCTCAGTAAAAGGTCACCTTAAGATTATTTTACAAAATGAGTTTATAAAATTCACTGAGTTAAAAAAAAGTAATCAATGGTAAAAAGGAAGCTTGTTAGAGAAACATTAATTTATAACTGATAGTAGATAAAAATCTAGACGTGGGGAAGAAACGCTGTGATCACAACTCCTACATACTGAACTAGTTAAACTCCTAGAGCCTTGTTGACATTAATATCACTTTATAAATGTATTAAGTTCTCATACCTTTCCCTGCTTCTAAGCAGTCCCCACATTCACTATACCTAGGGTAGTGGTTCTCAATCAGGGGCGGTTTTGCAGGGGACATTTGGCAGTATCTGGAGACGCTGCTGATCATCACGACATGAGGAGAGAGATGCTGCCAAGTATCCCACAATGCACCACAGGGCCTCCCTCCAACAAAGGTGCATCTGGCCCAAACTGTAAGTAGTAAGAAACTGTAACCCAACACAATATAGTTCATTGAATTAACACAGTCTGTCAGTCAGTTCCCAGCTATAGCATTCTTTTTTCCCCCTCTTTTGAATTTCTTTGGGTCATGTAATTAACAAAAATCTATCTTAAGTCAAAGATTATTACATTTATTACTCACCAACCATGGCAAAATTACACCTCCTTACCTTATCCTTAGCATATTATAAACTGAACATTCTCCTCTGCAACCCTTAATTTTGGTGGCAGTTACACAGATAAATTTATTTGCCAAATCCTATAGACCTGTCCACTCAAAACAGTTGCATTTACTGAATGCATATTATACTTCAAAAAGGTTGACGTTTAAAATGCATTTGAGGCCAAACTAAAGCATTTCAAAGGTTTAATTACAGGCAATACAAATGTCATATGATAAAGAACGTATCTGTAAATTATTCCACATACCGTGAGTTCCAGGTTTTGCTGGAGTGGAGGATGAACTAAGTAGTGGATCTAAGGAAGGATCCAAGAAAGTTGTGTTCATGTTTGTTTTATATGAAAGCTGAGCTGTATCTTCTGATAGATTATCTAAACTTAGCTTGTTTTGTCTACTTGTATCTAGAAGATCCTTTCCAAAGAAAGCTTCCTAAAGATAAGCACATATGAAAATGATTGATTTAGTTATAAAATTCTAAAATGCTAACAGGTAATTCTGCCATTTTTGACAAGAAGGCAGAAATAACACAAAAACTTGGTATTCAAGAATACAGAAATTGAATACAGAACTATATGGACAATATAGAAATAACCTGTCAATTGCTTATTTCCCCTTATTTTAAAAGATTTTTTTGTAGTTTTACTAGACAAATAAAATTATGCAACTAAAACCACATAATTATGTCAAATGTGTTTCTAGGAACTGCAATATAATAATCCAATAATTCCAGATTAGACAACAATTTAAAAACTGATAAATTTATAATACTATTGGCACTTTAGTTCATATTGTAAGAAAAACTAAAGCTTCATGAACATTATTAATATTTATAGATTACTTGCAGAGAATAGCACAAGGGTTTGATCTACAGCTTTAATATTTACATACTTCAGGTAGATTTAGTAACCTCCTATTGATTCATATAACCACATTAAAGACTTAACATGCTATAAATCTGAAAGAGGGTTTTTATAGTCATTTGAACCATACTATGTGTACAAAATTTACTACTACTAAAGGCTTTTGGCTTTTTATTCACTTACTCATATTAACATTTCTCCATTTCAATATATTTCCTCTACCCTAGAGACCAGTGTTTCAAGCTGAGGTGCTTACAACTGGAGGATCTCTCCAAAACTTCTCAAGGATCAATAAGGAGGACAAAAGGAAGTCCTTGAGACCCACCCCACCCCGCCCCAACCCAACAACCAGAGCAGAAGTTCTAGTCTATTTTCCGTATGGTGGTTCTGTCTAGAAAAAGGATCCTTTGCAGAGGACAATTTTGCAGAAACTCAACATTTAATATACTCTTGCCAAAGATACATATACAGAAAAGGTTCACCTTATATATTTTTATAATACCAAGTGAAAGCAGCTTCAATGTCTGTCAAAAGGCATTATGACTAAACAAATTACTGACACCCAAACTATAAAACACATCAATTTTTTAAAAGGATCTAGAGCTATGCTGTCAAATAAAAAGTTTTAAAATACAGTATTAAAAGAAAGCAAGTTGAGCCAAAAGGATCTAGAGCTATGCTGTCAAAGAAAAGCTTTAAAATACAGTTTTAGGGCGCCTGGGTGGCTCAGTTGGTTAAGCGACTGCCTTCGGCTCAGGTCATGATCCTGGAGTCCCGGGATCGAGTCCCACATCGGGCTCCCTGCTCGGCGGGGAGTCTGCTTCTCCCTCTGACCCTCTTCCCTCTCGTGCTCTCTATCTCTCATTCTCTCTCGCTAATAAATAAATAAAATCTTAAAATAGTTTTAAAAGAAAGCAAGTTGAGTGTCCAACAAAACATCAAATAAAAACCAAGACTACTCTCACTATGCGAAAATAAATTGTAAAACAAGTTCTGAAAGGATAAATACCAAACTGTGAACAATGCTAACTTCTGCAAAGGGATGGGGAAGGAGGTATGTGAAGTCCGGCAGAGGTGATGATATATTTGATTTGAAATTTTCACATTTTTTAAATGAACAAGCTGTTTCACTACAAAAAAGAAATTTGAAAATCAGTGAAGTTAGAGCACCGGGTAAAATATGGTCTGCTTCTTAAGAGCGATGCTTTTATCATTAGGAAAGACACTGAATAGCAGAGCATCTTAGAACTTTAGAGATCATTTATTTCATGCCTTTGGTATAAGTCTGAGACCATGATTAGCAAGACACTTTTTCTTTGACTCATGAAGACTTTAGTGCTATTTATAAAAAACTGTAACATTCTTATTAATTTGAGAGCTTTTTATTAACTTTATATAAAGGAATGGCTACACATGGCTTCAGATTTGATAATGTGACTCCCAGAACAAACTGGGGATTTTAAATGTACTACCGGGGTTCCTAAGGTCACATAGCAGCACTAGGTCTTAGGAGACCACATAAATATTTCTATTGGGTAGATTATATAATGATTTATAGTTTATCCTGACACTGTTAAGATTAATAAAGAAAAACTGGAAAACGGCTACTGAATTCCTGTGGGCTTTCATCACTACGTATTCCGTCAATCAGTGGGGTAAAATACAACTGCTACCACAAGATGCCCAAAAAAACAGTAGCATTACAAAGGTTTCCTTCACATCCCCCTGCCCAAAGAAAGGTTAGGTATTACTGATATACACCAGAGGAAACAATCCAGCTCAACAGATTAAGATTACAGGGGTAATTAGGAAATCAGATCCACTGCTTTTAAAGGCTCTTTTCCAAAGCATAAAATGGTCAGTTTTCATATGTTCACAAACAGCTAAAAAAGGCTTCCTAAATACATACTGCACTTTACAGAAGGTTCAATAGGAGGAAACGGAGGTGGAGAAGCATGTTAGATATTCCCAAGAAAGGATTATTAGAAAGGAGGGGGAAGGGATGAGAGGAACCAAAAAGGATGCAATGAAAGATAATCTAAAAAAGGGGGGCTACCTCCTGACCAATAAAATGACTATTATATGTTAAAAAGGGGGTACACAGTTAAGATGAATGGGTATTTGAAGGGAATCCAGGGGAAATAAAACATTTATTAAAGAAAGATAGCATGTATGGCACAAGTTAAGTGATTTACACACATAGTTCCTACTCAATCGCTCAACATTTTGGGGCACAGAGATGGTGAGCAGAATGAGACCACATCGCTAACTGGCAGCAGAGCGGTATTCAAGCCCAGGACTCCAACCTTAAAGCCTCAACTCTAAAATGGACACTGCCCTTAAGGTATTAGCTGTCTAATAAAAATTTACACTCATGTACATTACTAGATACTACACACTACACTTTAAAGTTTTATTAAACACAGATGATTTGTTACTCAAATGAGCATTTGATTTTTATACTTCTAATTACCAAAAGAGAAAACTGAAGAAGCTGGATGTTAGCTAAATGGAAATTTATTTTTTGTTTTTTTTTTTAAGATTTTATTTTTTTTTTATTTATGTGACAGACAGAGAGAGAGAAAGACAGCGAGGGAGGGAACACAAGCAAGGGGAGTGGAGGAGGGAGAAGCAGGCTTCCCGCTAAGCAGGGAGCCCAATGCCGGGCTTGATCCTAGGACCCCGGGATCATGACCTGAGCCGAAAGCAGACGCTTAACGACTGAGCCACCCAGGCACCCCAGAAATGTATTTTTAAACCAGTAAGAGCCAACTGGAAAAATTAGGGTACAAAAAATAACTGCGATTCAAGCAATAAAGCAGTAACTCTGTAGGCCATTATTCTGTGGGAGGAACAGCCCAGATGGACACTCCATGATGGTCCGCTCCAATCCCACTTCCACACCTGAAGAGAGAGGACTAGCCCAGTCCTATCTCTAATATCGGGTCTTCTCCAGTACAACATCATGTGGCTTGGAACTCTTCTGTGATTTCATGCGTACAGATGAGCTAGAAAGATTTCTATTTTCATGCAGCCTATACCTAGTAAACAATGTCTTCATGTTGAGGGATGTTTTTCTAATGTATATTTTAGAAAACAAAAACAATTCTACTTAAAGCTTTGGATCACTGGCCTCTAAAAGTGGTAAACAATTATTAAAAGCTATAACTTGGCTGCTAAAAAGCCATCTTTATTCAGTGAATATAATTACCCTGACCTGTACTGGCAAAGGGAGCTGTCCATGGGACATGGGTTTGGGGAGCACACAGGTGCAAATGGTTTAGAAGAATGAGCTTTCCCCAGTTCAAAATGTCCTTGTATGTCTTATGAAATATTTGGAAGTGAAAAACTGGGATAAAAAAGAACTTTATGAAAGGTATCAAGGCACAAAAAAGGTAAATGTTAATTTTTGTAGGCCTCCGAAAGGTAAAAGTGGCACGAATTAAAACAAGTAAAACATTAACAAAAATAACAAAACCATTTTCAAAAACTCAATACATTGCATTTCTTTTGTTAATCAACTACACAATATAATGTAAAGCAAAGCATTACTTGTAAATAGGCAGGGAAAGTTTCTTCAAGCTTATTTTTCCGTTTTCGGTATCTCTTCTTTATTTTTTCAGTGTTTTCAATAACAGAAACAGATTCATCAACTAGAGTATCTGGTAAGTGCTCACTCCAGCCTGAAAAAATAATCACATTTATAAGTATGTGGTATTTAAAATTTTCAGACAAATTCCCCAAAGTAACTTTATAGCTTATCAACATATACTCAGAACCATATAAACACACAAGGGGTTTTTCTTTTTTTCCTCTCCAGTTTTATTGAGATATAACTGACATACAATACTGTGTAAGTTTAACGTGTACAGCAGGATTTGACAAGTTTTTCACAAAAAGATGTCAAAGCAAGTTTATTAGTAAGCTTTAATTATCATTAAAAAATACATTGCATGTCTATTTAGTAGCAATATCCGTTTACTATTGTCTCTTAACAAGCATTTCCTTACTCGCAAAGCAGCAAATTGTTTTAACATCAACACTGTGTTAAAAATTAAAATAATGAAAATACACAATGCTCATGAGTCTGGGGGAAATGGCTACTCGTATATACTACTAAAGGCAATTTAGCAGGAACAACCTTTTTGTAGAGTTTCTCGGGCATAGCCAACAAAAGTCTTCTCAAAAATGTGTGTTCTTCAATTAAGCAATTCCAAGTTCAGGGATTTATTGCAAATTAGGTTTTTGTAGTACATATATTTTTGTAAACATATATTACTATCTATAAATATACTCATAAACACGCTATGAATGCCCAATCTTAAAATCAATCAGAGAAATGGAAAGAAAACAAAATTTTGATCTATGAAATTAGCATAGTACACTATTTAAAGCAGATAGGTGAGCAATCAAACGACAGGCTCATATTCCCAAGGCAAATAGCACACCCCTTCTGAAAATCAACGCAGGCACTTTTGTTGCCAGAATATGTAAGTGGACTGACTCCTGAAAACTACAAATGGCGGATAATCATTCTTTAAACAATCTTTTTAAATGTAATCTACCAGAAAATAAAGAATCCTCAAAGACCAAAAATTAAGTAAAACAGGAACCACAGAAAGAAATAAGCAAAGAACTAAGTAAAGTTCTCTGAAATTTTGCTAAAATCCAGTGACCTTAAGCTCCAATATTCAGAGCTTTATAAGGAATGGGGACTAGAAGACAAAAGTTTAAAGCCTCTCCCCCCAAGGCAGAGAGAGTAACCAGAGGTGCCTCCAATAAAGGTGAGATCCTGAAGGATTCCATGCTCAGAGCTGGTTTAACAAGAAATACACCCTCCCAACCCCCACCTCCCCATACATCCCTCACCTCCCCCTCCCCCTCTCCACCACCAACAGCAACGAAAACTGTTTGTCATCTTGTCATGGAATTTCGTGCTGGGTAGAAAAGCAAAAAGTGAAAATCTTCCCTGAGAGTTCATAAACTCAATACAGCCCTAATGTGTAAGAAACCTCAATTTATAACACAGGTGGACCAAAAAACTTCAAGGCAAGAATTTAAGCTAAATCCTTTAAGCTAAAGAAGTTCTGGGGTAGTAGCACCTCATGTTCCTGGCGGTAACAGATGCAGATATTCTCTGAATGAAGCCACCTTCAATTCAGTCCTCAAAAAAGTTCAGAGAATGTTCTACAGAATATGAGCTCATGGTTAAAAAAAAAAAATTTTAATATGTGTATGTATGTATCTCAGACAGTAAATACAATGAAATGAGGCACTAGGAGAAGGGGCCAGGAGTGACACACAGGAGAATCACATGTGCAAAGGTGTTAATACTTCATACTCTGCATCACTTAGACACATACAGAAGTAACAAGAGCACTGAGACCCAGGGGGAGCGAGCTGTAAGGAGAAACTAGAAAAGTGTTAAAATACTAAAAAGGCAACTCAGAAAAGGAAACCATGCATAATATAATAAACACTCAATAGATGACTCCGGATGCTGCAGATGAAGGATAAAATACTGACCTAACAGAACTAAAACTAGAGGACAGAAGAGAGAAAGATGGAAAACACAAAACCAGTCTCACTGAACGTGTCACATTTCTTCAGGCTTCTTACAGCCGTAATAAGTCATATTAGAAACTCCCTTAAAACCATCTGGTCCTTCCTTTCAAAAACACAATTTGTAATTTTCATTAATTCACAGGTCAAAACCCCACCGCATAATAATGGAAGAACGCTAATCAGAGCACATGCTGAAAACATCTCTTTCCTTCACATCCTACAGAAAGCGTTTAAAATACGTAAAGCATACAGATTGTGACCATACCCACACAATGTGTCCATTAGAACCAATTCTCAAGCTATGACTTAAGCAATGATTTAGCTTTCTTTGAAGATCTATGTGAGGATGACAGAATATTAATTGGAAGACATATTTCTAAAACATTACACAATTTAGTTAAAAATTGTTGGAGTAGCCTGTCACTTTCAACAAAATAGTCTAAAGTGTCCAACTTTATATCAAGGAGCTAAGACAGGCAGAGAAGCGCCTTCTGTGAGATGACTGGAAAGCACCTAGCATAACCAAGTGATCCAGCCCCTACACTGCCCGTATTTAACTTAAGAAAAACAGAAAGTTGTTTAAAAAAAATCTCAGAGGAATACACTTTACTGGACTTAAACCTTTTCCTTATCAAACCTAATTTCCGTATTATAGGTATGAACTCTACAGGCACTCACATCCTTTGATCAGTAAGAAGCAATAAGGTTGTGACTGCAGCACTATCTAGGATGGTTCTTTTCAATAGGGATAGCAAGAAAAGGGGATTAAATCAAACAAAATCAGTACCATACCATCATCTCTGTTAGGTAACTGCTCAGAAATAGAGCCTGAGGAATCTTTTCTGATGACAGATCTTTTTGTTTTTCCTTGCCCAGTTCGACTTCTTTGCCGTACCATAAATCCACCAATACCTATCCAAAAAAGAAATTGGGTAACTTTGTAAATAATTGATTTCTCCCTGTATTTTCACAGTAAGTAGGGTGAAATTGCTTGGAGGCACTTCCCAAATTCAATATGGGCTAATTTAAATCAATAGAGTTTGGAAATAAGCAAATTAAAAGAGGTCAAAGCTACTGACTGTTACCTTATCACTAACCAAACAGGTATAAAAATACATTATTATAGTACAAAAAGAATGCATGCATTTCCTCTTCTCAACAGTGTCAAAGTAAAGAGTACAGTAAATTGTACTTGTTTAACAAATATTAGGTAACTAATATATTATCATTCAAATTACCTGTACATTAGCTGCGGGAGAATAGATATACAAGATATAAATGAAACTAAATGATCCAAACAAAATCATTGTGACTTCAGGGGTAACATGTCTAATTAAGGCTCCTGGACATGAGACACAAACAGCTCTGTAGTTAAAAGCACAGGATCTGGTTGTAGTTACTTCTAGTTACTACCTGACTCTGGGAAAGTTATTTAACTTTTTAGTGCTTCAGTTCCCTCGCTGTTATAACAGGGATGGCATCTAGCACCTCACCTCCTCATACATATACTGAGTCAAACACTAAGTTATCGTCACAGGATACAGCCATCTAATACACTTTCTGACCTAATGGGTCCCTCAGTCACAAGGATGACTTCCAAAGGAGGCAGAAACAGAGAGAAAAAAAACACAATAAATATAAGCTCCTAGAAGGAGTTTGCGGTCTAAAAAAGTTTGTGTAGTTATAAGCCTCCTAATTAGGAAGATATGAAATGATTTTCATACAGTGACTTGGATGAAGCTAATCTAGGTCCTTGTTACAGATATGGCCCGTCTTATGGAAGGTTACCTTTAAGGTCCTGCAGAGTACAAACAACAGTGAGAAAGTTTTTCCACGCACATCAAAAGATATTAGGACACTCTTATCAATAAAATATAAGCAGTCAGAAGGATAAAGACTGAACTGATTCCATCTAATGTCTCACTGACTGGTAAATAGATATTAATAAACTGCCTAAAGAAAGCCTACACATTCTGCATTGTGACCAGTTCAGTAATTTTTTCTAGTAAGGCAAATAAAATTTGACAAACAAGACAGCTTCTTCCTCTGCCTCTGAGGCAGGGAGGAAGTAAAGAATTTTATCAGTCATATATTAACTGAACTATACATTTTAGGAGGCACAAGAACCCTATTTACCTAATTGTACATTTACTGGCTCCTGCACAAACACGGAAATAAGTTTCAAAAACAGAGAATATTAAGAACGAATGCTGAAAATTAAAAGAATTACAGAAGTACACATCAAGGGAAAAAATAAGTAAGTGGCTTTAAAAGTCAAAGTACAAATAATAGCCAATGTAGTAAAGCATTTAATACAATGGACAGCATTTGGGATAAGGCATTAAAATAATGATTTATTGTGAAGTATTCACATACTCAACATAAGGCAATTCCACCTTAAAAGCATACTGAAATAGCTCAGTCCTTCAATTTCTACATTGAAGTTTTAGTTTAGAGAGTTGTTAAGGAGCTACATTTCATCTTGAGTATTTAATTATAATTGAAGCCCTCAATATTATACTTTTCTTAAATTAACTAAGTTTTGAGTACATTAAAATGTCTAGCTCAGGACTATACCTGGTCTGTATGGTTTCCTTTTTCTCTTTTTTACACCTTCTGTTCCTTCTACTCCCTTAGTTTCATCATCCACAGCTTCCCGTTCAGGACTAGATTCTGATTTCCCATCACAATCCAGAAGTTCTCCTTCTGGAAAAAAAAAAGTAAATGTACAGATAAAAACAGAAAAACCTATAAAATATAGAATTCCTGGGCTCCTGGGTGGCTCAGATGGTTAAGCGTCTGCCTTCAGCTCAGGTCATGATCCCAGGGTCCTGGGATCGAGTCCCGCATCGGGCTCCCTGCTCCGCGGGGAGCCTGCTTCTCCCTCTGCTTCTCTCTCTCTCTCTCTCTCTCTGTCTCTCATGAATAAATAAAATCTTAAAAAATAAATAAATAAAATAAAAATCTTTAAAAAAAAATATAGAATTCCTGAGTAACAGGAAATGCAAGGCAAAGTGGCCACTGAACCATTCTAACTGTGCATCCCAGTAGGTGGGTAAAGTATAGAAAAAGATGGAAAAGGCCCCACATGGTTGTAGAACTCATGCTGCTTAATGCACTGTTTTCAGGAAATGAAAGATCAGCATCAGGGAAGGGGAAACACACACAGAGAATGCTCAGAAAGACAATTATAAATCAGTTTGCAGTTAACAAGTCATTCCCTTACCTTCAATTCCATATTCACGTTCAGGACCCTGAAGCTGTCTCTCTCTCTAGTTTAGAACCCTCTCCTGAGGTCCAACTATAGCTGTGATTATCACCCAGTGACCAAAACCTCTCTACCCAAAATTGAGGACAGGGGAGAGAGTGACTCCCTTCACTACTTACCCTTATTCTTTTTTAGTTTTACACCATGTGAATGTATTAGTCGTCCACAAATCGAATTTAAGAATTTGAGAGAATTAGTGTTAACGCCACAGGCAGTAATAACCTACCTACCTGGCTGCTTCCTCTCGCCTCCCACTAAATACCATTCCTGGCTCCACTCCACCTACCCCCCCCCCCCCGTTGCCTGCTAGAGCCTGAAGGCAAACCTAGGCCCACACCTCGTGTCCCCCTCACACTGGGAGGGTCCATGCTGAGGCAGCCACCTAGAGGGGGGGAGGCACGGTGTTCCCACTCCTGAGACACAGTGTTTCTGTTTGCTTTAGATTTGGGGTTTGTTTTTGTTTTTTTTTGGTATTAACAAGGTTTCCAGATCCCAGATGGTAGTGAGTTAGAAAAAAGCCTGCTTCTGTTGCACAAAGAATTTGTTTCTGATATGCTAAGATGACTGTTTTTAACTTATTTTCCTGAAGAAACATTTATCAGAAGAGTCAACAGTTAGCAAAAGCAACAACAAAGGGGCATTGTTAGAATATTTCAGGAGCATCCCAAGTTCATTTGGCCTTTATAGACTTCTGTGGAATCCACTATGTATTTACATATAATATCACGTGTGACGTTACTTTTTATTTTTATGGGGATGTACCTTCAGACTGCCTCAATCTGGAGACTCTCCAGTTGAAGAAACATCCATCGTTTCCCATGGTATTGTGGTACAAAACAGTAGTCAAAGGGAAATCCTTCTCAGGCCTTTTTGTTGTTGTTTCGCCAAGTTTTTAAAAGGTTCTATAATCTCACACTTTGGGAATTAATGTGTACTGTCAAGAAATGTTCCAAATTTTGTGAAATGCAGCATTTCCCAGATCTGGGTAAATATGGAATCATTTTTCAGACACCTACTGTCCATAGAAACTAGAATTCTTCACTGTGCTCTGGTTGATGGTAATCTGATCAATTCCTCCCAGATATAGACTATTTCTTCACAAGCCACAAATCACCAAAACTTCAAAATCAAACTCCCTGTTTAACATTATTTGAACATCAGTTATACGTAAGCATCAGAAGTTGTTCTCCCAACCACACAGACCCAAAAACACACCGCTATGAAGGAAATGTGAGGACTAACTGGTAAAAGACACCCACTCTCAGCCAGAACGACCTCTCCCCTGCCTCCTCCAACAGCCCCCTAACTGACCACGTGCCACAACTCCTAGGCCCAGTAGTCTAGGCACATTACAGCCGAGTGTGCCTTTTAAAAATGGGTAAGACTAAGCCACTATTCACTCAGAAACCTCCAATTACCTCCTAGTCCATCCACAGGAAATGTAAATTCCTTAAACGTGGCCTTATGGTTCTGTGTTACCTACTGAGTCATGCCTTCTCTCTCCTTATACCTCTGACCTCGGCATCTCTTGCTGTCACCTCTGTTCACTGCTGGACACACTGGTCTTCGTGACATTCCTCAAACATGCTAGCTAGGCACACCCCTGCCCACAGCCTGGGCACTTCTTGCTGTCTGGGATGTCTTCCCTCAGTTAATCCAATGGCTCACTCACTCACCTATTTCACGCCTGTGCTCACGTACTGCTTCCAGTTCACTTGATGCCTTACACCACCATAAGCACTGCCAATTCCTCTCACTCCAATGCTAGTTTTTCTACAGCACTTGCCAAACACATTATAATCAACTCATTTATTACATGTTTTTTTAAGTAATCTTTTCTAACATTAAAAACAAGTTCCATGAGCAGAGAATTTCATCTGCTTTGTTCACTGACGTTACTTCCAACATCCAGCACAGAGTAGGATTTGATACTGTTGAATAATGTGATGGAAGAAAAGTATTTATTACTGTTTCTGCGTCAACTGAAAAGAAACCAACCTAAAAGAAACACAAGTCACTGTGCTAATCTTCTTCAGAGATAAGCAAAATTATAACTCGTTGAGTTTAATAGTACTAAAATTATTTTGTCATCTCAAGGATTCAGCTAGAAAATCCTTAATATCTACTGTGATCAAAAAAATAGTTATAAAAAGTTAAGTTTATGATGAATACCTATGAATATAAATTTGCACTTGAACATTAATAATGGTTTTTCCATGCAGGATTGCATGGATCAAGTTCTACTTCAACTGAGCCATGACATCTGAGCTCACAGCATCTGAGGTTCATGCTGCCACCTAGCAAACTCAAGTCCAGCCCTCTGAACTTTCCTATCCATGATCCTTAAAGATACGGTGTTCCTGGAGATTTCTATAATGTAAATAAGTCTGTTCTAGAGAATATGTGAAGGAAGAGAATCTAAAAAGTCCAAGAAGACAACTCACTTAGAAAGGCCAAAGGTCATATCAAGGGTTACCTAAGTCAGCAGAATTTACTCTGAGATAAAACATATGTATTCTAAAAGCTATTTTATATGATTTAATTCTTGTGAACATATTGAATGGAAAATAAATCAGTATTACCTCGACTATCATCCATTTCTCCATCCCTTGAATGCTCTGATTGGATGTCTGGAGGGGTCTGAAGGACAGCCACGCTATTCTGATTTATAATCTTCAACTTCAACTTTGGTTTTGACCGTTTTCTTCGTGGAACTGTAACTGTGAGGCTCTGTAACTGAGTCATCCCTGATTCAGTCAAACACACACCATCCTGGGTGTACGTCTTGGGCGGATCTAAAATTACAATATCCCAAGGATACACATTAAAACTCTCACCTTAATTTGAATTGGTAAGTTGATCGGTGTTCCAAAATACCATGTGAAGGGAATGTGACTATAAAGCAATTACTTGTGAAATGCACAAATAATTAACAGTACTCAACTGAAACTAAGAAAACTGGTTGAACTTCCTTGGATTATAAGCAGAAAGGTTACAAAGGTCTACCTGGCATTTTTTTCTCATCTATCAAATTAAGGATTTAGAAAGAGAGCACTGAAGCTAAAAGCAATGCTTCAGCTACTCGACTATGAGCCTCTTCCCAGAAGTATCTTCTCAGACTAAAAGGTGAGTCTTTTAGTAGTAGTAGTATTCTTTAGAATACTACTGAAGCCGGGCGCCTGGGTGGCTCAGTTGGTTAAGCGACTGCCTTCGGCTCAGGTCATGATCCCGGAGTCCTGGGATCGAGTCCCACATCGGGCTCCCGGCTCAGCGGGGAGCCTGCTTCTCCCTCTGACCTTCTCCCCTCTCATGCTGTTTCTCTCTCTCTCTCTCTCAAATAAATAAATAAAATCTATAAAAAAAAAAAAGAATACTACTGAAGCCCATTTGGAGAGCCAAGTATCAATATAATCAGTGACAGGGAGAGGTGATAAATAAGTAGAAATCCTGCAAATTTTTAAATGTACAAAATTGCTATCCACTAGGACAATTTCTGTACTATCCAAATGTTTTTTTATCCAATGATATCAAATAGAGTTAGACAAAAGAATAATTTAATAAAAGTATCCTATTAGTCACCACTCTAGCTGATCCATTACAGAAAAAAATAGTAAGAAACTGAATTAACTCTTAAAAAAAAAAAAGGAAAGTCACTGTTTGCTAACCCGGCCTTATTTTCTGCTAAGTGATTACTAACCACAGGAATATATCAATGAAACCAAAGCAAGTATGGAGTCAACAATTACTTTGAGTGGTTACTTCACTGCTATTTTGCTGAGACTGATAGGAAGAGTGTCATACGGTAAGACGAACATTATACGTGTCAATCACAGAAATGATTTACAACATTAGGGAACTCAGGTTGAACACTCATATGACAAAGGTGGGTTTCGTGGAACATGTGGCAGGTCAGGTGTATAAAGAATTCCATATTTACATGCTCTCTGTAAAGGACAGTCAAGTAAAGTGCTTCAGGTTTTACCTAGCTCTTTCACTTTTGTGACAATCTGCGCTACAAGGGAAGATTCACAGCAGTCTGAGGAAGGCACTGAAATGGAAAAGAAAAAAAAATTGTGTAATTTTTTCAGAAAAGGAATATTTAAGGTTTTACATATAATTAAAATTTCTATTTCTGTACCCATTTTATGGAAGTAAATACTTAAACACTAAACGGAGTTAAAGGCTGTCTTTAAAAACACCGATAAGTAGTGGAAGAAACACACATCATGGAGGGAGAAATGGCCAAGATAAAAACCAGCACACCGGATTTCTACACATTGTAGTAACTACAAGATGATGTGTCATGACGGGAAAATTACACTGTGTGTCTATAATGCGTGCGTAATTTATTTTCTTTATGTAAGCCAACTGTTTGAACATATTAAGTTGGGATAAAAAGAGTTAATTTATAACTAAAATAACTTATTTTTCACAAAATACTTGTCCAAATAACTGTTTCACAAGAAGAAAAAGAGAGGCAAGCCCACTCACTGGGTATGGACAACACGGCACAAGTGAGTTATAGGAGCACAGACCCACTGTTCACAGTATTTTCTTACCATTTGACGTAGGCATATAGGGTCTGCACATGCTACAATCAAAACCAATGTCTGCTACATTTTCCACTTCCTCTTCAGTATTTAAGTTTTGACAAACTGCATGCATCCATCTAAAAAGACCATATTTTGTACATTAAAACAAAACCGCAGCAGGAGTTGACAGTTGCCACACTGAAAGCCCCTAAGGCTCGGACGTTCCTCCTATGTTGCCCATGTTGCTCTTTCTCCTAACCACGCCTACTGACCCACAAAAACTATCAGAGCTGAGCATAAGGAAAGAAAAAGGAATGAGATCAAGTACTAGGAAGGAAGCAAAAGCACATGGAGGATAGGATAACTGTTTTAAGATCATATAGTGAATTTATCAGAGACAGCAAGGAGGCTAGTTAGGGCAAGTACAAAGGAATTCAGAAGTCTGCGAGTGGTTTAGCATGTATGTGCTCCATGGGATGTGCATCTACTGTGGAACTGATAGAGCTAATGTACTTGAGGCTGAATGTTAACTGGGAATAAAAGGAGTTATCTTGCTTTTGAACAAAGAATTGACAGCCAGAGTCCTGAGAATCCTGTATTACTGATGAAATAAAACTATTGCTAACATTACACGCACAGTGCTATTAACAGAGCACAATAATATACCAAAGAAAACACTCTTGATTTTGAAGCTGCTCACATACTACTGAGAGAGGGTGGGAGCTCGTGTACAGTATCTAGACATTTAGTAGCTAGAGCTTTAAGAAAAAATAGTTTAAGGAAAATAAAATGTGTGAGATCATTTTTAGAATCTAATAAAAGATTCAAAAACACTCCATAGAAAAATGCATATATGCAGGCAATAACTCTGCATCTAATTTCAAGGGATTCATAAACCCTTAAAAGCCCCCAAGTAAAAAATCTTTGTCTGGAATTGTGGATATAAAACAGGAAACTTGTGTAAGCTTCTAGCTGACAGAAAATCTGGAAAGCAAAAAGTCTTTTCTTAAATTTAAGATGGAAGAAAGTCATTTTCCAATTTCCTTTTGCTATATTTAAAAGAGAAAAGTTTGCAAGAGATAAAAGAATTTGAAAAGTAGCACAATACCTATCACACTGTCTACACTGCAGAATAAGGTCTTCTTCTCGATAATTCCGATAGCAGACTGGGCAAGAAGACAAGCTTGCACAGGGAGCACACTGGGTGTAATTGTTCTGCCATTCGCATCGCAGACCTGCAGATGTCGCTCCACAGTGTCTGCACCAAACGCACCTGAAATCCAACACCCCCCAACAAGACTCCATTTTATTTATGTAGTTATGTAGTTACTAGCATTCAGGAAACTACAGAAGAACAGAACGGGGGGAAATTATTTGATGCATATCTGAACATTTTTCTGAGTAGTGGCATGGTATCTATCCTACTCAACAAGTTATTATGCAATGAAGTGGGTGTGGCTAATTTTTAAGAACTACTGTGGGAACACTATGCGCCTGAGAGGCTAAGGAGGGAAAGGAAGTCCTGGAGTACCATTTGCACTTCCAGCCCCCCTTGGGCACGGTCTGCAGAGGCGGGGCAAGGCAGTAGGTGTGGTAGCTTATGTCACAGTCATCACAGAGCAGGAGTCTTCCAGGGTCACTCGCCTTCCCACAGGCCTCACACACGGTGCACTCCAGGCACCTCCAACCTTTGCTGAGAACAACTTTAGTGATCTGTAAAAGAAACCACCGATCCAAGTGATTTACACATTGACCCACTCCTCATTTTGCACGATCACATATGCCATATAAACGAGTATGCGGTATGTACCAGGAAGCAGAGGAGAGGCAAGCAAGTAACGTACTGAGGACCAACAGTGGCCCAACTCTGGTTTGCGAACATGTACTTTCACAAGTCCCCCGACTGGACAGAATAACAAAAAGCAGTACACACTTTAATGCCACTTGTCAGACCACGTTAACTACCTCATCCTCTGGACTTTATGTCCACTTATAGATGTGGTGACTAGATTTTGAAGAAATCAAGTATACTGCCCCTTCCTGTTAATAAAAGTTTTGCAAATGTATTGGCCTAGTTTCCATTTGTGATGTTTTCATGAATTTATTGAAACTTCTGTACATTGCAAAAGGATCTGTATATTAAAATCAATATTTAAAAATCTAAAAAAATTAGAGTAAAATATGAATTCCCAAGAAAATACATCCCCAGGACACTTCATGATCTTGGAGGATTTTAGGCCATGAAGCTGGGGCTTCTGAAGTTCATCACCCCTCTGTTTATTCTCCTCTGCCACAGGGTCTAAGTTAGCAGGAAAGTTTGAAAATCTCTATACTTCTGACAAACTCCTCAAAGCAGCCACACCATGTACAATTATGAATTTGGAACCAAATGAAAACTCTCAAAAAACTAGAATCTATAAGATAGGACAACAAAGTAGTTGTGTTATAATGAAACAGCAAGCAATTAAAACAGAATAAAAATTGAGATCATGAGGAATAAGAAAGTCTAAAAAAAAAAAGAGCTAACTAAAGAACAACTATCAAAATGGCATCAAACTTTCCAACTCCGGACACTAAAATAGAGTAACAGTGCTACAGGAATATACTTTTCAAGACACAAATCTTAACCAAGTAAACAAGGAAATTAAGTGTGAAAGCAGAATACCTTTTGGGGATACTAGGACCCAAACTTCAGCTCCCAAATAACTCTTCGAATGAAGTCTGAGACAGGAGGAATAAAACAAGGGTGATATCAAGAACAAGGAAGACATGCGATGCAGGAAACAGTGACCCCAACAAAGGACCGCAGCCCAGGGAAGCTGAAGAATGAGAGCTGAGGAACAGACCTAGAAGCTACCAGCACAGATGAGGAGAGAGAGAATGGGAGTGTCAGGAGGGGGTAGGACTTTTTCCAGAAAAAGTTACTTGCCAAAATAACTTGAAAAGATCATGCTTCTATAGCAGGTAAAAAATAAACAACAACAAAAACTAATGAAGAATCATGAATGATTTTTTTCTTTTTGCTATTAAAAATTCCAAGACAAAGCCATAGTAAACTATTTAGGTCTCCAGTGAACACGTACTGAGTCATAACCAACACTGTTTATTAACTAAATGTAGTAAAACAACTACACTGGGAGGATGCTGGAGAATGGAGGGAGTATATTTTTAAGACCTAAACTGGCATTTATTTATTCATAGCAGAAAGCCAACAAAATCGAACACAGATACGGCAGAGGCAGCAGCGTAATATTTAGAGCTATCCAGGCAACTCCAAGAAGGATGTGCAAGGACCCGAAGCGGCTGCCTGGGACAGGACTGAGACATGGAGGCAGAGGAGGGCAGAGGCGGCCACTCATCATAAGGCTCTTAAAGCTCTTTGATTTGTAAGTTATGTACACTTATTACTTTGATTAGCCTCCTGATTCTTTTAAATTAGTCACAGATTATCAAGTTATTTACCCAAAATGGAGGAAAGAGCTTAGGACAGAAGGAGCAGGGTGGCTCCGAGCAGTAACCAGCCAACTTATTTTTATAAAGGGTCCAGATAGTAAATACTCTGAACTTTGCAGGGCATATGGGCCCTGAACTACACAACTGTGCCGCTACAATGTGAAGCCCACACAGACTGTGTCAACACAAGAACATGGCTATGTTTCAATAAAATTTCATTTATAAAAACAGGGAGTATGCCAGATTTGGCCTGTGTGATGCGACTGACCAATCTCTGACTCAGAGAAACAGTAAGATGAAGATAAAGTGGGAGACAGATCCAAGCTATCATGTATCTTCATTCCTATTAAGTTTTCCTATTTCATAGACACCTACCCTGTGGCCCTTTACAGCCAAATTCTCAAGTTACTCAGCGATATTCACTCTTCAACACACCTCAGTCTGGTTACTATGCCCACCACCATTCAAACCACTCAAGTCAGTCAACCCAGACCTCCTCCCTCCCAGCCCTGGGCTGCCGCCATGCTTGTGTCCCGTTCTCTGAGCTCCCTGAAGCACTGCCCCGTCTGGACAGCGCCCCCCCACCCCCTACCATGGAAAGGCCCTCCCAGCTCCTGGCAGAGTTTGTGGAGCTCTAACATCAACTTATTTTTTTCTCCTACTGAACTGGTTTAGTCTTTATTTTGAAAGCTCTTTCAAGAAAGGAATTATCCAGGGTTTCATTCACAGCACCAGGTCTAAAGTTCTGACAGATGTGCTTAATAGTCTGTGAGATTATCTGCTTCAACTACAATGGAGTACCTGGGATGAGACCTTTCTCCCACCACAAAATACCAGCAAACGGGGCAAAATGTATGAAACACTTGTTTCAGATATTGAACAAAAGGCAGTACAGGACTGTGGTTTCTGAGAAGAGAGAACAAGTGAGGTGAGTCCTACAATATCCTGCTGTAGACAGTTTCTGGAATGCTGCCCAGGGAGGGAGAACTCCAGCGGAGTACAATGGGCTCACTGAGTTTAGGACACATGATGGGTTCTGGAAGGCTGAGGCAGTTGCAACTGGCAGGACAGAGTCCTGGAAAGGAAGGAGCGATAAAGAGAAAGAGCTCTAGAAACCTACACAGAACTTCCCTCAAGTGTTTGGCTAAACACCAAACTGCATATACAGAAGGCCAAACAAGGACACAACCAGGACAAAGAACAGCTACTGGGAATCTCTAAGCTGAACAACTGTAACAGCTCACAATGCTGAAGACATTTGAATCTCAACCAGTCAAAGTAAAAAGATACTAGCGGGGGGGGGGGGGAGTGTCACAGGGAGCTGGTGGGGGAAGGATATGGGGAGAATTCAATAGAGACGTCATAAAAGCCACGCCTCATGTCTCAGATTAAACTCAAGCTAGAAAAGCAGTTACTACAGTGCAGTCTAGGAAACCATAGTGGGTCTGTGAGGTCAAAACCATTTTCATAATGATGTTAAGATGTTATTTGCCTTTTTCACTTTAATTCACTCACAGTGATGTTTTGCAGGGGCTACATGATATATAAAAAACAGCATTGCATGACATCATAACAAACATGCTTGTTTATTTCAGTTTTAAAATATTCCCAGTTAATTTCTAAAATGGTAAATATTCAATAATTATTATTCTCATAAACACAAACTCTATGGGGTCCTTAATAATTTTAGACTGTTAATGGTTCTAAGACCAAAAAGTCTGAGAACAGCCACCTCAAAGTGAAGGTTCTCTAGACCTACCCCAGAAAGCCTAGAGAAGCTTCAAATGGTTCGAATGTCTACAACAACCGCCTGCAAAAACTCCACACTTTTTTTTTTTTAAAGATTTTATTTATTTATTTGACAGAGAGAGACACAACAAGAGCAGAAACACAAGCAGGGAGAGTGGGAGAGGGAGAAGCAGACTTCCCGCCGAGCAGGGAGCCCGATGCGGGGCTCGATCCCAGGACCCTGGGATCACGACCTGAGCCGAAGGCAGACGCTTAACAACTGAGCCACTTGGGCGCCCCAAAAAAACTCCATACTTTTTAAAGGAACAAAATCCAAACTGCCAACAATACCAAAATGTACAGCTGCCGCAACCAAAGATTACTAAATTAAAAAAATATATACATCCTTGTAAGGAGGACAGTAAGCTAATACTGTAATAATAAGCTAATAATGAGAAATGTCAGACATGGTAGAATTAACAACAAATACAAGGACTTAAAAAAAACCTCAATGAATAAAAAGATTTAAACTACAAGATAACTTAAACTATAAAACTGTGATTAAAAAATACAATCATCTCTGAAAAATCCACTGGATGGGTTTAAAAATAGATCAGACACTGCATAATAAAAGTGAGTTTGGAACGCAAACAATGAATCATGGGACACTACATCAAAAACTAATGATGTAATGTATGGTGATTAACATAACACAGTAATAAAAATAAATAAAGAAAGAAAAGAAAAGTGAGTTTGGGGAGGGGCGCCTGGAGGCTCAGTCAGTTGAGCATCCAGCTCTTGGTTTTGGCTCAGGTCGTGATCTCACAGTCTTGATACTGAGCCCTGCATCAGGATCCACACTCAGGGCACAGTCAGCTTGAGATTCTTTCTCCCTCTCCATCTGCCCTTCCTGTTCATGCTTGAGCACGCTCACTCTCTTTCTCTTAAATAAATAAAGCTTTTTTTTTTTTTTTAAGTGAGTCTAGAGAATGTAACAGAAACTATACAAACTAAAGTAGCAGGAAGAAAAGCAACTGCAGAAAAATCAACAAAGTGAGAGTGATCTGGGGACAATATCATATAATTTTGTACACATACAACTAAGATTTCAGAAGGAGGGTGTGGGGAACAGAAAAAGAAATACGAAGAAATGGCCAAAATTGCTCCAAAACTGATTTAAAAATACCAACCCACTAATCCAGGAAGCCTAACAGAAAATGTCCTTCATATACAGGTGAGGGTTGAGAAGAATAACATGAGGAAGAGACCAGGTGAATGAATGGATTTTTATTAAGTTCCGTGGTTGGTGTCAACTTTTTATTATCAGTAGACAGAATGTATCAATTAAACTTCATGCCTTAGCAAATAAAAGTATAAAATATCTTTTAAAGACATGCATTTTTATTTTTAGTTTTTTGAGACAGCAGGATAACCACTACAATTTAAGACCACAGATTTATAGGAATTAATTTTTTCAGGTAACACTTGAAAGGCAATATTTAAATATTAAATAAGGTCATGTATGTCTAATGATACTAACAAACAGTAACTAATTGTAAGAATTAGAAACAGCATAATACTACTCTTATCAAATTTCAATATAGTTTTAACTGATTTAAATTCAAGTATATTTACCTTAATACTGACACAATATGGATGGTAACACTGACCACACTGAGAACAGGCAAGTAATCTTCCCTCTGCTCCTTGGCCAAAACTGCCACAAACGACACACATATCCTGAAATTAAAAACACATGAACATAATAATTTGGGTTGGAGACTCAGCTAAGAATGTACTGGTTTTATTTTTTAAATTACCTTCTTAGCTGTTATAGCTCTAAAGCTAAACAGTAAATGATTTCAGTGCATACGGGATAAAGCAGAAGGGGGAAGGAGGAACTCGAGAGTGGAAGGCCATAACTGAGCTCCAACCTGGTGCAAGGTGAACTTGTCACTACTAGAAAACAGCACCACAGTGTTGTGCATGGAGTTTTCTTCTTCATCCTTATTTGATGAAATATCTGCAGCAGACACCTATAAAAAGCAAAATACACAGAGGGCACAGTCATACTTTAAACCTGTAGCACACTTAAATGAAAAGCACAAGAAGATTCATATTCAAAATACAATTTTTGCCAAGGCCCAGAGTAACAATTCCAAATTAGATTATTATTATTACCAAGATAATACCATAAAGGTGTAAGTCCTGACACTTTAGTTACCTAATGGTCTCTTCAGAACTACAAGTCCCATAGATCAGGACCAGTGAGAAAATATAAACTATCTTTAGTAAGACTTAATTAGCCAGAAATCTTAATGAGGAAACAAACAAAAGAAACTGTATTATATTTGTGTATGTGTAGAGCCTATATATCTATACATACATATACCTACATATATATGTATCACTCTGTTTTAGAGACTCTAAAACCTGCAATCTGGCTAGTCAAAACTGAGATGTGCTGTAAGTATAAAATACCTACCAGGTTTTAAAGACTTAAGTATCAAACAAAAAAGAACATAAACATAGCTCATAAACAATTTTACATATTTTACATATTACATGTCGAAATGGTAATATTTTGGATATGTCAGGTCAAAAGGTATAAAGTTAAATTACACCTGTTCCTCTTTTCTTTTTTAATGTAGCTACTATAAAGTTTTAAATTGCATATGTGAGATACATATATTTCTGTTGGACAGCACTACTTTAAAATATTATTATTTTGAATAACTTACCAAAATTTCAGTCTTAGCCAAAAGATTACCCACCACAAATATTCATTCCTGGACATGGCTAAATTTCACCAAATCAACTAAGTACCTACTGGCTTGTTAATAATTATTTCCAGAATGCTTATCACAAAAAAACTCTAAATTAGTTGCTAAAAAAGAAAACAGGGAGACCAATGCCAAAATTTTAAAATACGATCCTCTTCCCTTACAATCTAGCCTGGAAGGACAGACATGAAACATAATAGGTTGAGTTCAAAATAAAAAGGAATAGTATTGTTATTCTTGAGGAATGACTGAAAGAATAACTAAAAAGAAGAAATATATTACAAGAATAATATTTTTCATTGCAAGTAAGTTTAAAAGCAGTTTTAATGGCCAGTACTACTATTATAGAATCAACCATAAAAGCCATTTACAGTCATAATATAAGTCTAAAGACTACAAGGGAAAAACTCTAAGCAACCTACATAGTCATCACTAAGGAATTACTAAAACCATGGTAAATCCAAACTGGAAAATTATGCAGCATTTAAAAAACGGTGGTAGAAATTTGTTTTGATTTCCATCAAAAAAAATAAAATCACCAAGCTACTTAGCTGAGTAGAAAAATAAGCTGCAGAATCATATGTGAGGGAGAACACTACAGTACAAAAACATGCAAAGCAATTATACGTAATCTAATGGCACATATAACAAGTTGAATCATAAGAAATTGCTGTTTTTCCAGGTCAAAAATGGTTGAAGGTTGGCAAGTTCATATGGATCAGCCTAGTATGTAAAGACACCAAACTGGTAAAAGGAAGAAAATCAAGACTCAAGAGGCAGCAGCGGTACTGGTGACCTAACAGTATACTGTATTTTTTTTTTTAGGAAATATATTCAAAAATGTTCATCTTGGGGTGCACAGGTGGCTCAGTAGGTTAAGGGTCTGACTCTTGATTTCAGCTTGGTCATGATCTCAGGGTTGTGAGATCAAGCCCCACAATGGGCTCTGCACCGGGCATGGAACCCATTTAAGATTCTCTCTCTCCCTTTGCCCCTCCTTCCATGTCTCTCTCCCTCACTCTCTTAACAAAATAAATAAAATTTTTTAAAAAAAAGTGTATCTCAAAATTAGCATTTTAAGATTTTAGCAAGTCAAACAAGATGATTCATAAAGTAAAATATCATTCCATTAGTAATAATTAAGTGTCTACCAAAAGTGAAGTTACCAGTAATTCACCCCAAGGACTAAAGATGCACTGAAAACATTATTAAAATATGAAAACTATGACAATAGCTAAAATATAGCTAACAAAAGTATGCTGAAATAAAAAGTATCCATTTCTATATCCCCATCTGCAACACAGAAAACAAAACCGGTTTTAAAATTGGATGATACCTAGTGAATAGGCTCAAAGAAATGATAAAATTTTATTTTTTTCAAAGACAAATTTAGAGAAATCAGAGAACACTTTTATTTGAAATAAAAAACAAGATGGACTACAGTATTCCCAGTACAAACCAGAAACAAAGTCTGTACAGAAAGCTGCAATATCACCCAGATTCAAAGAGCATATTTAAATTTTAAGTGCTAAAAAAATCAAGGCTTTTGAACAGCAACTGTACATGTAAGAAGGAAAACAGTATCAGGTAGCTTAATGACCCACTGTTTTCATTTTATACTTCATTTCATGACCTTTAAACTACGAGATATATAAAATCTACCTCAAAGGTAAAGAAGACAATCTTTGAGAGAGTGTCCTAGTATTGCCTACATACATATTACTCTGATTTATCCTAAAGGTGACAGAAGTCTTATTTGGCTGGACTGCAGAGATAAGCCTAAGAGAAAAGAAACCTCTAACCTAAACCTCACAAGTGGGGGATTTCCAAGCAGGGACATAATAAGTAAACAAAAAAAGAAGAGCAAATTAAACTCAAAGTGAGAGGAAGAAAACAGTAAAGATCAGAGTAGATAACAATGTAATGAAAAACAGAAAAAAAAAAAGAGAAAAATTAGTAAGAGCAAAGGCTGGCTCAAGATAATAAAATTGATAAACCTGCAGCAAGACCAATCAGTAAAAAAGAGAGAAGACACAAATCACCAACACTGGGAATGAGGAAGGTGACATTACTACATATTCTACAGATATTAAAAGGATAACAGGCCAACAGATTTGTCACCTTACATGAAATGGATAAACTCCTTGAAGGACAAATTAATGTAAGAATAAATAGATAACCTAAATAGCCCTATACCTACCAAGGAAACTGAATATATAGTTAAAAATCCTCCCATGAAGAGGGAAAAAGCCTCTTCAACATATCTTTTTGGGAAAACTGGACAGCAACATGCAAAAGAATGAAACTGGACCACTTTCTTATGCATATATAAAAATAAATTCAAAATGGGTCTAAACGTGACCCCTGAAACCATAAAGATCCTAGAAAAGAGCATAGGTAGTAATTTCTCTGACACCGGCCGTAGCAACATTTTTCTAGATAGATCCCCTGAGACAAAGGAAACAAAAGCAAAAATAAACTCCTGGGACTACATCAAAATAAAAAGCTTCTGCACAGCAAAGGAAACAATCAACAAAACTAAAAAGCAACCTACAGAATAGAAGCAGATATTTGCATATAACATACCCAATAAAGGATTAGTATCCTAAATAAATAAAGAACTGATAGAATTCAACACCAAAAACACAAATAATCAAATTAAAAAATGGGCAGAGGACATGAACAGACATTTCTCCAAAGACATCCAGATGGCCAACAGATACATGAAAAGATACTCATCATCACTTATCATCAGGGAAATGCAAATCAAAACTACAACGAGGGATCACTTCACATCTGTCAGAATGGTTAACATCAAAAACACAACAACCAACAGGTGTTGGTAAGAATATAGAAAAAGGAACCCTCCTGAACTGTTGGTAGGAATGCAAACTGGTGCAGCCACTGTGAAAAACAGTATGGAGGTGCCTCAAACAAGTTAAAAATAGAACTACCCTACAATCCAGCAATCGCACTACTGGGTATTTACCCAAACAATACAAAAATACTAATTAAAAGGGATACGTTGCACCCCTATGTTTACTGCAGCATTATTTACAATAGTCAAGATATGGGAGCAGCCCAAGCGTCCACTGACTGATGAATGGATAAAGAAAATACACACACACACAGTGGAATAGTATTCAGGCATAAAAAGGAATGAAATCCTGCCATTTGCAAAGACATGGATGGAGCTAGAGAGTATAATGCTAAGTGAAACAAGTCAGACAAAGACAAATCCCATATGGTTCCACTCATATGTGGAATTTAAGAAATAAAACAAATGAGCAAAGGGGGGAAAAAAGGAGAGACAAACAAAGTAAGAAACAGACTCTTAACTATAGAAAACGAACTGGTGGTTACCAGATGGGAGGGGAGTGGGAGAATGAGTGAAATGGGTGATGGAGATTAAGGAATGCACTTGTCATGTTAAGCACTGGGTGATTAAAATAAAAACTTTTAAAAAAACCTTTTCACAAAGAAAACTCTAGGCCAAAATGGCTTCACTAATGATTCTATAAATACTATAAGGAAGAATGTTTCCAATACCACACAACTCTTCCAGAAAATTGAAGAGAAGATTCTATTTCCCAATTCACTCAAGAAGCCAGCATTATGCCAATACCAAAAACAAAGAAATTAAAAGAAAATAAGACTATAGATGAATCAATACCCTCATGAATAGACCTAAGTCTAAAATTTTTAGCCATTTGAATCCAACGATATATGAAAAAGAAAAAACATCATGACTAAGTGCAGTTTATCGCAAGAACATGGGATACATTAGCATACCAAAAAAGCCAATCAATATTCTTCACCATATCAATAAACAAGCCATAAATGCAGAAAAAGCGTTTGACAAAATCCAACACCTACACCTGATTAAAAGAAAAACATCTCAGCAACTTATGAATAGAAAGGAGCTTTCTCAAACTGATTTAGGATGTCTATTAAAAAAATTAAACAAGGGGCGCCTGAGTGGCTTAGTGGGTTGACTGACTCTTGATTCTGGCTCAGGTCATGATCTCATAGTCACAATATCGCCCATGCTGGGCTCCGGGCTCAGCAGGGAGTCTGCTTGAGATTTTTCTCTCTCCATCTTCCTCTGCCACCCCGCCCCACACTCATGCAAGACACTCTCTCTCGCTCTCTAAAATAAATTAATCTTTAAAAAATAAAAAATAAAACAAAACTAGAGCTAACACCATACTCAATGACAAAAGACTAAATGTTTTCTCTCCTCAAGATCGAAAAGAAGACAAGGTTATCATATCACCTCTATCCAACACTGTATGAAGATTATAGCAAATGCAGTAAGGAATAGAAATGAAAACCCTCTAGATTAAAGAGACAGAAAACTTTATTTGCAAACAACATGATCGTAAGTGTCACAGTGTAGAAAACTCAATGGGTTCCACAAATAAACAAGCAGAAGTAATATAGGAGTTCAGTAAGGCTGTAGGATACAAAAGTCAATACACAAAAATGATTATTTCCAGATACTAGCAACAGACAACTACAATTTGAAACTGAGATAACACTGCCATTTACAATAGCATAAAAAATGTGGAAAACTTAGAGATAAATCTGAGAAATAATGCAAAAGACATTTATATTGTAAACTAAAGAACATCACTGAGACAATTTAAAAAGACCCAAAGAATCAGAGATACACAACGTTTATGGGTTGAAAGACTCTTCACAGTCAAAACATCAACTTCCCCCAAATTGATCTATAGTTTGAAGGCAAACCCAATCAAGATCCTAGCAGGCTTATTTGCACAACTTGACAAGCCAATGGTAAAATTCATATAGAAACATGAAAGATTTAGGATAGCCAAAACAACTTTGAAAAGGTTAAAAAAAAAAAAAAGGAAAACTAATTGTTTGATTTCAATAGTAGTTATAAAGTAAAAATAGTCAATATAGTATAGTATGGGCCTAAAGATGGAGAAATGGATCAATAGTATAGCACAGAGATTCCAAAATTAGATTCACAAATATATAGATAGCTAATTTTTAAGAATGATACAAAGGCAATTCAGAGAAATGGTGTTCAAACAACTGGATATTCAAAATATGATCTTCGATCTATATTCGTATCATAAAAATTAGCTCAAATTGGATCATACGCTAAAAGTTACACCTAAAACCATAAAACTTCTAGAAGAAATCACAGAATATGTTTGTAAATTTGGGTTATGCAATTATTTCTGACATCAAAAGCACAATCATAAAAGAAAAAAATTAATAAATGGGACTTCATCAAAATTAAAACATTTGCTGTCCCAAACAAGTTCTTTACAACATGTCCAGAATACAAATAAAGATAATACAAAAGAAAGTACATAAAAGAAAATACATAAAGAAAATACAAAACTCAGTAAGTTAAAAAACTATTCAAATTTTTAAAATATACTAAAGATCTGAAGAGTGACTTTATCAAAGAAATATACAAATAAGCACCTAAAAATGTGCCAACATCATTAGTTGTTGAGACAAATGCAAATGCGGTATTATTAACATACCTGCTACAGTGGCTGAAATGAAGACTAACCACAGCAAGCACAGGTGAGTATATGGAGGAAACAGGAATCTCATGCACTCTTGCAAACATACACTGTCACACCCAACTTAGAAAGCAGACTCTTCTTAAAAAGCTAAGCATACACCTACCATGTTTCCAGCCATTCCACTCCTAGATATTTATTCATGGGAAAACAAAGCATATGTCCACATACAGACTTAAACATAAAAGTTCATAGCAGGCTATTTTTTGCAGTTTTGTTTTTAACAGCCAAAAAATGGAAGCAACCACAATATCCTTTAGTAAGTGAATAGACATACAAACTATGGCACAAACGAAACAATCCACTAGTCTCCTGAACTTAAAATGACGATTAGACTTTGAAAAACAGGATTTTGGTAAAATAGTATAAAGTTACCACATGAAATATCTGCCACTGTTTGCCAAATACACACTTTTTTCAATACACAATTAAAGCCTCATATACATGCCAATGAGCAAATATTTATCAATCTTGAATTAAAATATATCAAAGATAGGCATAAAATTTTCAACATTTTTAGAGTATGTAGTAATCTGCAATATTTCCAGTTTCTTCTGTAAGCCGTATTATAATAAAAAACTTAAAACATCAAGTTAAGTTTTTCAAATAAGCTCAATAATGTAACAGGAGTTTGCTTTTATAAAAAATAAAGGAGCAAATATATTACATATATACTTTTGGGAATGGTTGCTATATAAAGATCAGAGTCAAAGAGGAAGGTAAGAAAAGAAGATGGGAAACATAAAATATTAAGTTTAAAAGTTTAAAAAAAAGGCAGAAGTAGAGTAAAATAAAAATTTGGGCTTATTTATGTGACTCTTACAATCTAACAATTTTACAAATGAGATTATCATCATCAGTCAACAAATTAAGGATTATAGCAAAGATAAAGGATATGAGAAATGAGCCTTACCCCAGGTAACACAACTGCCCCAATTCCACTTTTCAATTTTGACCTGCCTCTGCCACCTCGTCCTGACAATCCTGCACCACGGGGTCTCCGCTTCCCGGGAAATCCCGACCCACGGCCCTACGTAACAGATAAGGAAAAATCAGCATTCTGCAAAAGTCCAAAAAAATGTTTAAATCCAATGTGAGATAAAACATTGTATTAAATTTTACACAAATACTTGCTTCTCTCTTATTCTTATTAGATGATAAATATTAAAAGACCAGGCTTATTTTTATCTTTCAACACGTATTATGCAACTTAAAAAGTATAAACATAAAATGCCTATGATCTTAGAATCAAATGTTAGGTCTGTTTTGTGAATGCCCTATACCAGCAAACTTTGGCCTTAATTTTTCCACTTCCTAATCCTACATTCTAGGTGGCTCAACAGCCACTAACTCCATCCAATTTATATTCAATATAGAGCAAGTATAAGGAAAGACTCACTAACTGTTCTCTCAGTAATTATAGCAATAGCTGACATATATTGAGTACTGACTGTATACTGGTCTAAGCACTTTTTACTCACAACTATCTCATAAGGTTAGTACTATTTTATTATCCCCATTTTAGAAATAAAAGCACTGAGGGATAAAAAAGTAACTCGTCCAGGGGCGCCTGGATAGCTCAGTCGTAAAGCGTCTGCCTTCGGTTTAGGTCATGATCCCAGGGTCCTGTGATCAAGCCCTGCACCAGGCTCCCTGCTCCGCGGGAAGCCTGCTTCTCCCTCTCCCACTGTGTTCCCCCTCTCGCTGTGTCTCTGTCAAATAAATAAAATCTTAAAAAAAAAAAAAAAAGTAACTTGTCCAAAGTCTAGAGCTAGCAACTCTGACTTGTGTCCACATTCTTAACCAGTATTCTGCAATGCTACTACACTGCATGAAAGCTAATTTTTGCTAGTGTACAAAAGTATTTTTCCTGTCACTAAATTTGTCACTTCCCCTACTATTCAATAGCTATCTGTATGAACTCAACAGGTGTACCTCACTCTACCACAGTATTTAGAGGATAATGTATTTAAAGTTTATAGGAAAGCTGATAAAAAGGCAAAAAGCTTGCTTTAACTGGATAATAATTACTTGAAATGCAAATAACTGATCTGAATTTTTACCCAACACACAAAAATATTCTACAGGAAAACAGGTTAAATTCTCTGATATTCTAACAAATAAATACTAGGGTTGTTATTGTTGTTTTGTTGTTTATACTCCAACTCATGTATTACTTTCTGAAAAAGCCTGACATCAACACATATTTATAATATTCTGTGTATCTAAAATTATTAAAATAATCAGGAAAATCCTGATTTTTTTCCCATAGTAAGTTAAATAATAATGTCACATTTTCAACTGACAGCATTTTTATTGTAGTCTGAAATGCTGAACTCGTTACCTATTTAGCACAACAGTTTCCAAGTTGATAATTTATGGTTATAATGTGAGCATAAAACAAATACACATGAACAAAAAGGAAGGGGGTAATCTTTTCTTCCCTTCAGTGTTGATAATTACAAATTGCATCTCCTTGTTCTCTTAAACTGCTCTTTTTTAGATCTCTTGTGCTTTTTTGAACAAAGGATAGGGAGGATTGAACTGGATAGTCTTCCTGTTGATTAAGTAGGAAAGATTTTTTTTAAAGTTAAGTCAATTATTAAATCAGGACTATAATAATCTAGTTTTCCCCAGCATCTAAAGACACAGATGAGAATAAGTGAAAATTGGTGGTATTTGCTACAAAATTGTCAAAACATCTTTTATACTCTTAAACCAACTATCTCTACTTTCAACACCTTGCGTATCAGAGTGAGCTGAAAAAGTTCTAATAGTGATAGAAAATAAGAAAGTAGAATTGAGAACTCCTTTGAAATCCCTGATTAGTCTAAAATAAACAGCCTTATTCCAGAATATTAAATACAGAAGATGAAGAAAATTATCTTCTCTAGGTAGTAAAATATTTTAACTTCTCAGACGATTAATACTTTTCAAATTAATTTTTTACCCTCTAAAATGCATCAGACTACCTAACTTACTTCAAGAACTAGCAGAGTCCTCCATCAATGACATGAGAGAGAGGCCCTGTAATTGTGAGGTTATTAACACAGACAGTGAAATCTGCTGTGATTCTGGTATTTCTTCTCCATTAGCACATAATAGATTAGTGTAGTTTCCTTTTGTTCTTTTCTAAGCAACAAAATTTTATGATTATCATGAATGAGCAAGTCCTAAATTACTTTATAGCCTATGTGACAAGGATTTTCTCCCATAGAAACACTGGTAATTACAGCATAAAAGAAAGCAACCATAAGAAGAAGTTATTAAAAATTCACACTTAAAATCAGTCATGTAAAATTGCAATATAACTTCCTTCTAATCCAGATTTTTTTTTCCATGCTGACTCTTCATACTAAAATTTTTAGATTAAAAAAGTGGCTCTGGAATCTGAACTATTTATCTAGAAAAGAAAGGCTTAATTCTTAACTTCTACTTGGACAAAACCAACTAGAAAGAAATGATATATGAATGTAAATGCAATTTTATTTACCACTTTGATGCTCCAAATGGCACTGCCAGGAAGCTGCCGGGGTTTAAAAATTTCCCGACCTTCTGAAATGTCTGGGGACCAGGAAGGTGGGCTCACTGTATTATGGGTACTCCAAGCCCCCTAGGATATGGCAGGTGAGAAAATAGATGTATAAAACTCAGCAACGTAAAAGGTCAAAGCCAGCAACTGAGGAATTTTAGAACAGCAAAAACAAATGCAGACGTATGGAAATTTAGGACAAATTGCTTCAAGATAGGGACAAGAAGCTTATGGCTTACAATGATTTTATACTTAAATGTTTGCAGCTACAATTTACATTAAGTATTTTATTCAGATGGAAACATCAGTACAATGAAACATACTGGGAATTAGGGTTTATAGGACATCAACACTGACTCATGAACTTCAATTATAGAACCAAAACATAAATAAAAGTCAATTAAACTCTAAGAATTAATACTTTATATAAGAAACTATTTGGGGATTATTTCCTCTAACAACTATCACTCTCCTGGAAAAGAGAAATAACCTTAAAGAACGTTACATACGTACACCTACTGCTATAAACAACCAAAGCAGTAGGCAAACAAATGCAATCAGCAACATGAGTAATTGATAGACACGTTCACTTTAAATTGTGGAAAGTTAGTCTGCAATCTTAAGATGTAGATATCAGTTATAATCCTAGCATTTAACTACTCTTCCTTCCAGTAACCACTAGTTGTAGTTTCGGTTTTTATTTTTATTTAGGGAACTATCATCCTTAGATTATATCCAGGGGACTAATTTGTACAGTGGAAAAGGTTAAAGCAAATTGTCCTAAATTTGCAAATTAAAATGCCTAAGATACTTGGTTATTTGTACAAGAAACAGTATCTTATTAAAATAGTTAAAATGAAAGTAAGACATTTTACTTCTTAATAACCACATTCAGCATTAACCTGAACTAATCTGATGAAGACGCTAAGCAGCATAAATAAAAAGGTCTACTTCACAAAGATAATATTTTAAAGAAAAACACAGAACAAATGTCAAACAATAAAGAACCTATTTTGAATTAGGCAATTCCATACCATATGCTGTAACTTTTACCACTTAAATGACCCAAACTTAAGAAACACAGTACTTACCAGGTTTCTAGAATATTATCAAACTAACAAGTAGTAGTCTATGAATCACATAAAACTACCACCAGGAATTTAAATAATCAACCAGAATTAGAGTTTGACTACACTTTGGGGAGCAGATAATTAATGCAATAACAGTATTTTGAGAAAAACCACCCAAGGAAGAGCCTGGTTTCACTTTTAATTAACCTACCCTCAAGCTCAGTGAATGGCTGTCCTGATTTTACTGACAGGTAAATTACCTCGCTTTCCCAGTGTCAGATCAACTTGCATCTATGCCTATGTCTTTCCTGCTGCATCCAGGGTCTCTGGGTAACCTGTATTGCTGCCAGTGGTCATTTCTCTATTCTCACTGTACTCCAACTGTCAACGTCACCATACAGTTCTGTTGGGTTCAAAGCAGCACACCTGTGAATGTTTCTCTGCCATTCCTTGCTGACCTTTCTGTCCCCCATGCATGCCCTTCCTCCACCAGACCTCCAAAGCTCCAGTGTTTCCCAGGGCTGAGGCCGGGACAATGTTCCTTTCTGTGTAGTCTCTTCCTAAATGGTATGATCTATCATAAAGGCTATAAACACCATCCTGAACGTTGTTGTCTCCCAAATTCACATTTCTAGTTCCAACATGTTCTTGCAGAAGTTAGTATGGTTTTCAACTTCCTCCTTAGCACGTCCATTCTGTCACACCAAACCTCACAACTTAACCACACCTAAAATCTCTCCCTTACCCAGTTCCGTCTCACAATCTTCCCCCTCTTCAGAAACAGATTCCAGACCTCAAGTCAGAAAATGGGGAGTCATCTGTTCTCTTCCCTCATCATTCTCCCCTGCCACTCCTTCAATCCAAACCATCAGTAAATCAGTACTCAATCTCCCTACCCCGCAACCCCCTCAAGCCCTCCTCTACACAGCAGCCAGAAGGACTTGGCAAAAATGTAAATCTGATCAAGCAAGACACTACCTTGTTTCAAACCCTTCCAACAGCTCCTCGGTGCATTTAGTTTACTTCAAACCTTTCCCACCGCCTCTTTCCAACCGCATCCTGCGGCCCTCTCTCATGACTGGTATGTCCCCGCTACCCTGGTTTCCTTCAAACATGCCAAGCTCTTCACCACTGGGGGGGCTAACTGACTCTGGACAACTGCAACTCTCCAAAGGATGGCTTCTCCACATACGGGCTCAGACATTTCCTCATCAAAGATGCCTTTCTTCAGCGCTCCAGCTGAACTATCCTCTACCTTACATGTTTTGCATCTTCTCACTGATTGAAATTTGGGGTCTTATGTTTTACTGTTTCTGATTATCTACTGGTAGAGAATGGGGGCAAGAGATACCTAAATTTAGTTCTCTCAAGGTTTCCATTGGTTTTTCTCTGATAAAATTCCTTTTGGTGGATAATTTAATGTTATGTCAGGAGAAAGCTCTTAAAACATATTATAAAAAGTCATACTCTCAGATAATATGTTATTCACCATAATTTAAAAGTTAGCTTTGATGCCAAAATTGTGTCTAATTTTAAAAACATTTACACTTCATAGAACATGGATGAACAAAATGAAGGGCTCCATAGATCAAGAATGTATGGATGCCATTTCAGGAATAATTAGAAAACCATTCAACTGCTATGAAGAACTTATATAATAAAAGCTTGGGTAATTACATTATGAATTTTAAAAACTATATTATTGTAAGACATTGGAAGATAGATTGTGTGCAATTTTATAGGAACTGGAGAAAAATTATGATTATACTTAGATGTTTTGACAATGAAAAAATTACCTAATATATTCTTTAGACCTTAAAACTAATATACAGCTATAATTATCAACTTTAGTTATAAATTATCCTACAGATCTCAGCTTTGATGAAAAAGAATTTACATAGACAATTCAGAGGTCAGCTCCCCTGTCTACTGAAACATGGTTTACACTGTTGTTACACTTGAATTTATACTTACTACATTTACATTTATTTGTTGCCATTGGACTAGAAGCTTGATGAGAAAAGACCATTCTTTTTGTTCACTGCTACGTTAAGCATTCTATTCAGTGCTTATTGAATGCCTATTTTTTTCCACTGGGCATGTTTTTTCAGATGAATAAATGCATCAATAAGCATTGTACTTTGAAACATACTAATTCCCCCAACAGATATAGCCTACATTCCTGAATTTCCTTACCTTAAAAAAAATTACCCACCCATCCAATGCACTGCTACTCTTAAACTATAATGAATTAAAAACAAAAGCGTTCAAAATGTAGCCATCAAGAAACTAAGTTGTAAAGAGAGCTAAAGAGAAGCAACTTACTATCAAATCCTATAGAAACTTAAAAAAAAAACTACTACTAGGTTGAGATTCAATTAGATTCTAACAATAATTATTGAACCCAAAACCTGTTTAAAGTTGGTATTATGCTTCTTTCTACCTGAGGCCAACTTCTCAGGTAAATTTATCAACCTGGTAAATTATACAGCTGTTACAAGGGCTGTGGGATAGGAAAATGGAAACAATAATGGCAAGTGGAGAAAAGGATATTAAGGTCAACTTTCTATTATTAGAAGCCTAATCCTGTTGGTTGCTGGCTGTTAAATATGATCAAGGTCATAATTAGAGCCCAACAGCATCCCAATCTACCGAAAAAGTTTCAGAGGAGCCAGAGGTTTGGTGTCTCCTGGGCAGACTTTGCACCCGCAAGTCATCCTCCCTCAGGTCCAGCCCCTCCCAACATGCTCTGTGAAACCAAGGTTGCTACTGAAGGGTAAGTCTGATTCAGAGAAAGCAAAAATGATGAAGAGAGAGCAGAAAGGACAATCAGCAAGAGAAACAGAAAACCTAAGCATTTATAATTCCTTTTCGGTATGTACATTCACTCATGTAAATTACAGCCACAACAGCAAACAACTCATTTTTATGACTTAGAGAATTATTTTCACATAAATAAGTCTCACATACAAAACTGAGTTCAACATCAAATGGAACAAGAAATTTAGTCCTGATAGTGCTTTGATAAGATGCTATAAAAAGACAAAAACAGCTGTTACCAGCTTTAGCCTTCAATAATTTAGGAATGTGAATTTGGCTGGTGCTGGCAATGGTTTTAGAACAGCTTCGGAAATATCACAATAGGCACAAGGAAACCAAGAGAAAAGGGATGCTTCTGATCTCTATGTGTACACAGCTTGCCACCCCAGAGGGCTAGAAACTTTTTAGGTTTAAAACTACAGGTTTTCAGCAATTTAGAGCAGTGTTTCTTGGACTTTAGCTGCACAGCATGCAAGTCTGAGTTGAGTTTCCTCTCACCCCCTCTACTTTTCCATAGTACCCTGGGTTTCCTCTCCTGCAGGACATACCACACACAGTATAATTAATAGGCTGTTCAGTTCCAAAATCTGTGCAGCCATTACTTGGCTTTGAACTCAAGAAACCTACTACATACTGTATTTACTGTGTCCAGTATTTGACTCACTCAAGGCCTACAGCTATTTTCATTGGCACATTTCAGTACAAGTAATTATCAGTCGATCTGATTGGTTCTCCCGAGCTACGTTTAATACAGGACGATTATCTCCTCAAGTTGTCATTGTCACAGAATATATGCATTACTCTGCAATTCAAAAAGGCAAGCAGGGCAGCACTACCACTTGCTAGGTGTCAGGTGCTATATACGTGTTATTGTTAAATTCCAACATCAACCCTAAGAGGTAGTTTTACAGATGAAGAAACAAGACAGTTGGCAAGGTAACGTGCTTAGTGTCACCCAGACAATAATTGAAAATAAGGATCTGAATCCAAGTAATTGCACTATGGAAATGCGCACGCTGAATTTATAGTAACCAATCTTTCCTGGTATCAGTTACAGGAAGAACTGATGTAAACAATACAAAGTACTTCTTAAAAGTCACTTTTTAAAAACGCAGCATAGTATTTAGACTAGACTATAAGTGGAAAATCACTCTGGGCAACTACAGTGCATCTTTTATTCTCCGTAAAGAA